TAGTAGTTACCACAAGTAGGAACTACAAAGGGAATTGTTCATTAGGCATTAATTGTTCAATAATCACCAACACCCATTATTTGGGCTTGACAGCCAAAGTCATTAATTATTTACTAATTTTGTTACGCTTAAACATAACACCGATTCATTGGTCAGATGAAATGGAAACCAATTAGTAGTGCTAAGTCGTCAATTAGTCATACTAATTAACATGGAAATTTGCCGAAAGCCCCTACACCATTACCTACGATTTTAGTGTAAAGGTCAAAGAATTTCAAGGAAAATCTTACAAAAACCTCTAAATTTTTAAAATATGGCGGCATCTTCAAAGAGGTTTTAAAACAAAAATTTGCATAAATTTAAAATATTCCAAAGAGAAAATAGAAAAAATTTAAAAAATTTTGAAATTTAATAAAAAATAAAGGATTAAGGTCAAATTTTAATTAGGTCAAGGTCAATTATATTTATGAAAAAGTATTAAAAACAAAGGCCAAATTTTGGGGGAGCAAAAAAAAAGAAATTGGGAATTGAAAATAGAGAATTTTAATATTTTTTAATAAATTATCGGGTATCAGTCTAATTAACAGCCCGAGTAATCACTAACAAATCATTATTAAGACATTATAATCGAACTGTATAGTAATCACTTGAGATATCAATCTGGGTAATCACTTTCATTATTGATATGAAGTGGATTACAAGGTTTAATCTAGTAATATACGAATTCTCGACATTGAAGATTTGTAAATTGCTCATCTCTACTAATTAATCACTCATTCATTTCGTTCTACATGATTACGTGTTATTGCCAGCCGCGACGTTAACCAGCTTATTACAAATTACCCACTCCCTCTTTTGGTTTCTCCTCTTTCTTTTTGGGTGTCCACTTCTCTTCCTTTTATCGGACCCCTCCTTCCCCACGACAGTGTCCACTCCCTTTGATCTTTACCGCTGCATTCCCTCTCCCTTTTGGTTTTTGTCGGACCCCTCCACCACTTGACGGGTAGTGGATTAGTAAAAAGCCACGACACCGACTGTGGGTTAACTACTTTTATTTAAATAATAATTTCCGGAAATTCAAGTTTACAAACTTGAAAATAAATACAAATTAAAATTATAAACTTAAGTTTATTTATTTTCCGGAAAGTTTTCAAGTTTTCCGGAAACTCTTTATTAAATAAAGTTTTAAGTTTACCACTAATAATTTTTTCCGGATTCTTTTATTTGTTATTTGTCCGGAAGAGGTACAATAAAACACAAACTTTTCCGGAAAATATATCGAAAATACAATTATTTTTCCGGAAATATTTTAATAATATATTTTCCGGAATTTCAATTATTTTACTTCAGGAATTGTTTTAAGTTTTTCGGAAAGCTTTTAATATATGCTAACATTAAGCTTAAGTTTCAAGTTTCACTCCATGTTTTCCGGAATTTATTTTCAACTTTGTAAACTTGTATTTCCGGAACTTGTTTATTAAATAAATCTTAATTATCTATTTCAGGTTTGTTTATTCCCTCTATCCTTTTTTTAAATATAAAAAATAAATAAAAAATACAAATTAAATTTTTAAAAGTGTAAATTAATAAAATTTCGTTTTTGCTGCTAAGGAACACGTAAATTATTTGTCTATTAAATTATAAATTTTATTTTTATTGAATTAAGTAACAAACCATTTTTATAAGTTTTTTCTCCCTTTTTACACCTGTTAATAAAAAATAAAAAATCAAAAGTTTTAAGCAAAAATTAAATTTTTGATAAATTTTATTGCAGTACTATTTTTATTTTTAAATGTTGAAAACAACAACAAGTTTTATTAGACTGTCTTAAATATTTTTTAAAATTAATTTTAAAAATATTAGCTCTCAATATTAAATATTATAATGGGAAATAGTTGTCTTATTCCCGGCGCCACAACTATAAACTCAACTAAAATTGGTACTGTGTTTGTTATACATCCAGGAGGTAGAAATATTAAATTTCTAAAGGAGATTACAAAAGGAAATCCGAAAGTTTGTAAAATTGTTTTTACATTTCCGGAAACTTTTATTTCCGGAAGCAGCCCATTCTTTAGTTGCTTTCAATTCTCTAAGATGGAACTGTAGCACATACTTAAGTTTGTAATTTAGTAATGTTCAGTTGTTTCCGGTATATTTCCGGAAACAGTTTATTAACAATTTATTTGTTTTTTCCGGAAAACAATTTGTTTGTTTCTGGCTTATTCCGGAAACAATTTCCGGAAAACAATTTGTTTGTTTCTGGCTTATTCCGGAAACAATTTATTTGTCCGGAAACAATTTATTTGTTTCCGGTTCATTTCCGGAAAAATTATTTGTTTCCGGTTTACTTCCTGAAAAAATTTATTTGTTTCCGGTTCATTTCCGGAAACAACCAGTGTTTTACTTCCTTTCAAGTTTAAATTGTAGCACAAACTTAAGTTTGTAATTTCTCAAAAAAGTTTATTTGTTTCCGGTTTATTTCCGGAAATTTTAAGTTTACATACTTGTATAAGATTACTGTTTGTAATTCAAGTTTATTTTTATATCCAAGCGTACGACGCTTGTAAACTTGAATTGTTTATAGGTTAATAACGTGTTTTAGTCTATTATCTATTTTTCTTATTTTCAATTTTAAGATAATGATGATAAAAGTAATGGTCTTAAATTTTTATTGTCACGTCGCAATAGAATTTTTTCTCAACCGGAAATATCTCAAGAATTATCTAAACATTCACTCACTTCGAGGGATAAAGAATTGTAAGTTTTCCCATAGCTTTCTAGTAAATATTACATTTCTTGATTTTTAAATAGAAATTCCCACCAATTCCCACCCAAAAAAAAAAATAAAAAATGCCAAAATAAATTTTGGCATTTTCGTTTAATATTTTACCAAAAAAATTTATTTTATGAATAAAAACAAAGGGAAAAATATTTTTTAAAATTTATATGTCAAAATTAGAATTTTGCAATTTTATAAGCTTAAAAATTATAAATCATATTTTTCTCACCATTTTAAGAATTAATCGTTCTTGGCGAGAACAAATTGCTACAGGTCGAAAAGACATTTTCCACAGGACCATGCTCTATTGTATCGAAGCCAGCCCCAAAATGAACGAAGTAATCGCTTGTGGCCGTTATTGCTACAGAGACTTGACTAAATGGCCTAAACTCAACAGGATTTGGTAGGGGAAAGGAAGGGATAATTTTAATTTCTTTAATGTTTAGTCAAGCACAGTTCCATTTTTATGAAAAACTCATTTTTGAATTTTCCTTGGATGAAATAAAGATGCATGAAGCTTGTTGGAATTTGGGAGAAATGCATGCAAAGTATGCACAATATGGACTGAAGCCCCATTTTCTTGATATTTATCAACAACAATTTTTAAGTGAGATAATTTTCTAAAGAGATTTTTTACAAACTTGAACTTTCCGGAAAACTTAGTTGAGACTTACAAACTTGAAAGTGCTTTCCGGAAAGTTTCAAGTTTATTATTTTAGAAACTTTAAACTTTCCGGAAAACTTAGCTGAGCTTTACAAACTTGAAAAGTTTCCGGAAAACTTAGTTGAGACTTACAAACTTTAAAGTTTCCGGAAAACTTAGTTGAGCTTTACAAACTTGAAAAGGTTCCGGAAAGTTTTAAGTTTATTTTTTTACAAACTTTAAATTTTCCGGAAAACTTAGTTGAGACTTACAAACTTGAAAAGTGCTTCCGGAAAAGTTTCAAGTTTATTTTTTTACAAACTTGAAACTTTCCGGAAAACTTAGTTGAGCTTTACAAACTTGAAAAGTTCATAAACTTTAAATAATTTATTTTCCGGAAATCTGTCTCTTTCCGGAAAAGTTTTAAGTTTCTTTTCAAACTTAAGTTTGAGGCCTATTTGCAGTTCTTTCTTTTACTTATTCTAATTATTTAAGCAATTCTTGCTAAAATGGAATTGCCTGATAAAGCGGAGACTTGCATTGCTTATACACACTTAACATCATTTGTTATTGATGTTATGAATCAAGCATATTGTCAAAAAGCTGCAGATATTCGAATGGCAGGAAGTCCAATGCTTAGAAGAAAGAATGTGTAAAAATGTAAATTTAAATTGAAAATTTTGGTTAATAATTAACTAATGCCTTATATTCCCTAATTTCATATAAATATTTTAATTAATACGATTATGTATATAAAATTTACTAATTATGTTTTTTTTCTGAATATTTTTTTATAGTTTACAATATAAAAAACTTTGATTTTGAATAGTTCTAGTTTTCCTGAAAAAAACCTGTAACTAGTATTCGGCAAATGGATTTTTTCGGTTCCGGTACCGGGAGTACCGGAAAATACTGACTCGGTATTTTCGGGAGTACCGAACCGTGCCGAACACTACTTGAAACTGAAATTTACAACCTGAACTTATCAGGAAAACTTAAATTTCAAACTTGAACTTTTCCGGAAAACTTTAAATAATATTACTAAGGGTAGGGGGACGATTCAGTATCGCCGATTCAGTATCGCCAATTCAGTATTGGCCGATTCAGTATTCGAGCTTTTTGGCCATAACTTTTTGCTCGATCAATATTGTGGGAATTATTATATATGATTTGATAGGTCTTGGGGTGCTGCATCTTTTTCATAATTGGACCGACCTGATCTGATCACTCTACAAAAAGTTATCACTGATAAACGACGTCACAGGCATAAAAAATCGGTTTTCACGCTGTAGCTTCTTTTGTGATCATCAGATCTGATCGGGCCAATTATGAAAAAGATGTCGAATCACGAGACCTTTCGAATGATATGAGAATTATTCGAATCGGTCGAATATCAGGAAAGTTATGGCAATATACTGAATCGGCGGATACTGAATCGGCGATACTGAATCGTCCTTAACCGTATTACTAATATGTATAAGAAACAAGCTTTAAATTCCCCAATTAAATTTTTGAATTATTTACAATCTTGAATATTTAATAAAAAATTGGATAATAATAAAGTTTGTTAAATTTTATTTAATTTAGTCATTCATGCACAGTTTCATTTCCATTACTCATCTTTATGTCCCCCAAATCATCATATAGCGCAATTTCCTCTTCCTCTGTTCTATTCTTTCTTTCCTCAATTATTCCATCATCCAAACTCATCATTGTTAACGGAAATGAGTATTCAGAAGAAATATGAGAGGCAAAAGCTTTTTTGGAGGCAACGCAGAGGTATTGGCATTGGAACTGTGTAGCGGCATTTCCATCTGTTCCAGTAGCTCCTTGTGCTCCAACTTTTCCCTTCATTCCTTTCTAAACTTAATTTTCTGAAAAATATTTAAACACTTAAAAGACCTCTCCAGGCATTCCCTTAGGGCCCTGCTTTCCTTGTGTCCCAGGCTGTCCAGCAATATTCGAAGGGCGTCCAGGCAGCCCAGTTAATCCTCTTATGCCTTCTTGGCCTGGAGGACCCTGAGGGCCTTTTGTACCTATTCCACCTGATTTTTAAATATTATTTTTTAAAGCTTTTCTTCATCCACCTATTCGTGTTTCACCGGCCGGTCCTCGTTCTCCATTTCTTCCTGCTTCGCCACGATTTCCTGTTGGTCCAGGCTCGCCCCCACGACCATTCTGGCCTGGACGGCCAGGAATACCTGAATTTCCAGTCCTTCCTGAATGTCCCAGAAGGCCTCTTTCGCCCTGTAAACCGTTTGGTCCAGGTGGACCTTAAAGCAATTATAAAATTAATATCCAAAGTTTCTCGTAGAGTACAAACCGGCAGGGCAAACAACACAAGGAAGTGGTGGAAGAGGCCCTTGCTCAAAATCGTGGCCATCATTTCCTGGCTTTCCAAATAGGCCCAAAGCTCCAGGCATTCCATCTTCGCCTGGAACTCCTGGTTGACCTATAGGACCTGGTAAGCAGTTCAGTCGAGCACATTCTGTTTTTATCTCAATAAAAAATATGAGAATTAAAATATACTTTCACACTTGCTGACAGCCTTAATAACACTTTCAATAGGTTGATTAATTCCTACATCTCTTCTGAAGCGAGTGGATTTAGCTTGAACATGTTGCATTTTATTCCATACATTATTTGAGATTTTCTGTAAAATTGCTATAGAATAGTATTCAGTTTATTTATTTTAAGTTTGCAATCTTATTATTTTATTTTTATTTCTTCTAAGTTTATTTTTAAGTTTATTTATTTTACAAACTTGAGTTTACTTTAATAATATTCTTCAATTTTAATTATTTCAAGTTTACAATCTTACGTTTACTATTTATTCAAGTTTAATATTTAAAGTTTATTTATTTCAAGCTTACACTCTCAAGTTTATTTTTATTCATTTCAAGTTTATTTTTAAAGTTTATTTATTTAAAGTTTGCAATCTTAAGTTTACTTAAATTTATTTCAAGTTTATTTTCAAGTTTATTTATTTTACACACATAAATTTACTTGATTAATATCATTCCAAGTTTATTTATTTAAAGTTTACAAGCTTAAGTTTCCTTGTTCTATACTTAAGCTTATTTTAATTTAACTTTATTTGCCTGGTATTTAGCCGAATACAATTCAGTCTCAATTCGTATTTGCTGAACTTTCCAAGTGAAAGCATTATAAGAAATAATTAGACAGATCAAAGAAAAAATGCTAGCACAAATGCTAAATTGGGCTAAAAGATGAAAAGCATCATGCCGAAGAGTAAACATTTTTAAATTTAAGTATTTTTGTTGAGTAACCAAGTTAATAATTTAAATAATATGAAATAAAAATTCCCAAAGGTTGGATATAAAAGAATTTAGGTTAAACATATTTTCCGAGAAACTTATTTTGATAAACAAGTTTAAAAATAAATTTATTTAAGATATCTGCAACCCTTTGTTGATATCCCTTCCGTTGGTCTTCCAACATTCTTTAAGAACCCAAACGGGCATACCCCAACCTACCGAGAGCCCAACCTACCGCCGAGGCTATAATTTCGTTCAAGGTTGTCGAATCTGAGTCAACTTAGTATGGTTGGATTCAGCTCGTCGAGGCGTATCGAACCATACCAAGGTGTCCCGGATTCGAGAATTCTGAAAGAAGTTATAGCCTCGGCGCTAGGTTGGGCTGCGGTAGGTTGGCCTGCTCCCAAACCCATCCTTTTTCTCTCTCATCTTGATCTTTTATTAATTGATCTTCTGGCCTGATCTACTCTTTTCAGATTAAAATATAAACGTCATTCAACAACTAGAAAATTCGAGAGAGGGTCCGATAGGGGAGAAAATACAAAGTCCATCTTAGCGATGAAGTGATAAAAAAAGTCCGAGAGTCACAGAAACGTGACGAGGAGTTATTTACTTTATTTTTTACTATTTATGTAAAAAATAAACATGTGTTTAAGAAGAACAAACAACAATTTATTATCTTTTTAAATAGAAACAGTTCAATTTCTTAAATAACCTTTTTTATTTTATTCTAAGAATAAAATTGAGGTGTTTTAACATTTCCGGAAGACTTAAAAACTTGAAACTTATTCTATTTATATGAAACTGAAGAATAAGCCTAAAAGAATAAGCCTAAAATATATTTTTACAATTTCCGGAAAACTTAGAAACTTGAATTTGTTTATATAAATCCTTCCGGAAAAAATAGACCTTAAATATATTTTTACTATTTCCGGAAAATACGTACAAACTTTAAATTATTTAATGTCTAAACTTTTTCCGGAAAATACTTTCTCTTTAAATTAGTAAACTTAAAACTTTTCCGGAAACTTGTCAACTTAAAACTTCTTTCCGGAAAATTGTAAATTAAAACATTTCTTCCAGAAAATTGTAGACTTAATAATTCTTTCCGGAAAATTGTAGACTTAATACTTCTTCCGGAAATTTGTAAACTTAATACTACTTTCCGGAAATATAAAATATCTTTAGTATATTTTAAGTGTATGATTTAATTTTTATTTCAAGCAAGGTCCTTTCCTTTTTTCTTTATAGACCCCCCACCCAAGAAATTTTTTCTCCAATTTTTAAAAATATTTTATTATATTCCTTATTTAAAATCATAAATCAATTTAAAATCGATTTTATGTTCTTTTCATTTTGTGATTCTTAAATAAATTTTTCTTCCCTTTTTTATCATTATCACTCCTTTTACGTTTTTAAAAAAGAATTCTTTTTTTATTTCCATATAAAGTAGAAACCCATCTTCCCCAACTATTAAACAGCTCGATAAATAAATTCTTGTTCCTCTCCGCTTTGCTCCTTTTTCTCCTTTTTCCCATCTTACACACACCAAATTATAGAGGTTTTACAACTTTTATTTTTGCGGATATTTTTTATTTTAACTGTAGTTCTGTTCAGACTTGATCAATTTTTTTAAATTTAGTATCATTTTAAAGCTAATTTTCTCCTCTACAATTTAAGCCTAAAATTATAATTATTGCTTCATTACAAGCTGAGTTATGCTTTTTTAAAGTGCCGTCGTTCGCGTCCGCACAACCTCCAATATTTGTCGTCCGCAAATATTTTCCTCTCCCTCACGATAATATCGCTTTCATTGAAACCGCTTTTTCGATTTATTTTCCTTCTCTCCAGTCATTCACTTCCATTATTTATTTTCTATTTATTTTCCATATAAGGGTGACGTGGCCATAAATTATCCAAAAAATATTTTTTATTTATCGACCTCTCCAACACATTAAATAAAAAATATTAATATTTATTGTGTATTTTATCAATTTTAATCAAAAATGGTTTTGTGACGTTTAAATTTATTTAAGAAAAAAATTTTCTAGTTTTATAAAAATTTTAAAAGATTTTTAGTTAATGCTGTCTTTAAAAATATTAATTTTTACAAATTTGAATTTTACTTAAACTTAAATTATCAATATATATATAAAGTTTTCAAGTTTACAAACTTTCCGGAAAAGAAAATTTCAAGTTTTTATAGTTTCCGGAAAATGTTTGTTAAAGAAAAGTTTCAAGTTTGTATTTTATTTTTTCCGGAAATGTTTAATTACTAATCTTTCAAGTTTGTAGACTTTTCCGGAAAATTTTGTAAACTTTCCGGAATTGATGTAATAAATAAAGTTTCATTTTTATTTATTTTTCCGGAAAGCTTTAAAGTAAATTTATTATCTTCCGGAAAACTTTACAGACTTAAGTTTTCCAGAAAATAATTTAAAAAGTTTCAAGTGTGCAAATACTTGAAATGTAGATGCTTCAAGTTTATACATTTTCCTTCAATTAAATAAATTATTAAAAGTTATGATTAAACACACACTATACATTATTAACTAAAATTTGGGTAATTCTTAGTTTAATTTTATTCTTTCCTTTTTTATCCAATTTTTACACGTGTCGAGTTAAATATTTTATTGCATCATGTGTATGTAATTTTGTGTGGTATACCCCAAAAAGAATAATAGGCGGCAGTGTAGCAGTTGGTATTTTATTGTTGTGTGTGGTTTCCCTTTTTTAAACAAATCAAATCATTCCTCCTTCACCAGACAAAAATTTTCTAAAAATAATTATTTTTTATTATTTTTAAATGATTTGAAAAACATTTACTTGATTAAGGGTTATGTAATAAATAAAGTTTCAAGTTTATATATTTTCCGGAAAAGTTGACAGAAAATTTGTATATTTTCCGGAAAATGATTTTAATTGTTTTAAGTTTGCAAATTACCGGAAAATGTTTGTAAGTGTTTCAAGTTTATATATTTTCCGGAAAAGTTTATATTCAAGTTTCGAGTTCAAGCTTAATTTATTTTTCAATTTTTAAGTTTATTTATTTTGGCTACAAAACACATAATAATATAATAATTTATTACCTTTTACCCGTTAATCTTTACTTTTTGGATAAAAACCAAAGTACCAAAATACATATTTTTTAAATATTTTTCTCGAACATTAATAAGTATTCTCCCTTCTAAAACACAATAATTTTTATAATATTTCAGAAAAAAACTGCCATTTTATAATTTAATATTTATTAAAATATTTATTAAAATAATTAAAAATGAAGGCTAGCCAACGATTATGTACTGCATTTATTCAACAATATACTGGTGCTAGCAGTTCGATAGAAAGACCGTTAGCTTATTATAGGTTGGAAATTTATTTCAGAATAATTCTGAAAAAATTCTGAAAATATCGGAATAATTCTGAAAAATTGCCAGAATATTCCTGAAAAATTCTGAAAAATTTTTTAAGCCAATTTCGCCCAGCTTCCCTTACAATGAAGCAATATTTGGACTTTGGCCGTAATGGGACTGACCAATCCTCTTATCTCTTCCTCAAGACTGAACTGCTTGTAAGAATGGCTAACATCATGCAGGAACTTAACTTATTACCATCTAAGCTTTTACAAACACAAAGTGGCCAACATGTTTCTAATTTGTATAAACAAAGTAAGAAGAGGGCACTTATGGGCATTTTGTCCATTTTTGCTTTTATGGGCATTTTGTCCATTTCACTTAATTAACCCTAATTCTCTTATAGGCTTCTGCGAACTTCTCCAATTTGAAGGGATCAACCCCAGCACCTCTGTCCTCCAAAAATTTAAAAGCCAACTACGCTCAATTCTCAGACGACACAATACCGTCGTTGAAACAATGGCTGAAGCTTTAATTGAATTAAAACAAAGCAGAGGTATTGACTTCTCCTGTGAGCAGAATATACAAGTGAGGGGATTTTTAAGTATTTTTGAAGATTTTTTTGGTTTTTAAGTATTTCCTCGATCGTTTCTACCTCAATCGAATATCCATTCGAATGCTTCAAAACCAACACTGTGAGTAATACAGTACCCTCTATATTTAATCCCTCTCACTTTTAGTGGCCATTTTTGGTGAAGGCCAAAGACCTGTTGATCCGGCTGGGCATGTTGGACATATAGGTAAATATTTTTCATTTTTTTCCGGAAACTATTTTCCGGAAATAGAGAATCTTAAGTTTGTAAAAGTTTCAAGTTTGTAATTGTTTCAAGTTTGTAAAAGTTTCAAGTTTGTAAATGTTTCAAGTTTTTGCTTCAAGTTTGTAAAAGTTTTACATTGGATAACTATACTTATTTAATTTCTCTTTCCCTTTTAACAGACCCTAATTGCTGTGTTAGAGACATTCTAATAGACGCCTATGAGAACGCCCTTATTCTTTCTGAACAACACTTTTGTGCTGCCCCTTCATTAAGCCTGGAATGCTTCAACTCTAAAAATCCAGGACAAGAAATACGAGTTCCTTTAGTGCCTTTACACCTTTATTATATTGTTTTTGAATTACTGAAGGTATTTTTTGAATTTTAAAATTTTTAAAAATCTTTCTTCATTAGAATTCAATGCGTGCAACAATAGAACACTTTTACCGTGCAAATAAAGGAAGTAAGATTATCAATGACGAATTGCCTGCTATAAGAGCACAGTTGGTCTTGGGCCCAGAAAATTTGTCTATTAAGGTATTTATGGGGATTTAGTCTAATTCAAATATTTTTATCAGATAAGTGATAGAGGTGGTGGCGTTCCAGCAGAAAAGCTCGATCATCTATTTCGTTACTCATACAGTACAGCACCTAAACCTACATCTCAGAAAGATGTTACTCCCTTTGTAAGTCAATTGTGAAAATTTTCAAAAAAAAATTTTTTTTTATTTTTAAAGGCTGGTTATGGCTATGGATTGCCTATTTCCCGGTACTTTAATTTAAAAAAATAAATTTTAAAATTATATTCAACTTTAAAGGCTTTATGCTCGTTATTTCCTCGGTGATCTTTCATTAATTTCTATGGACGGGTATGGAACTGATGCATTGATCTCTTTAAAGGTGACAATTAATGAAGAAAGGGGCAATTTTTAATAAAAATATTTTAAAATATTTTTATAAGGTCCGAAACTCGATATTCTTAAAAAAAACCCAAGACCAGTACCTCAAACTAGACCCTCACTAAAAAGACTGAAATAGAAAAGGCTTTCCGGAAAATACATACTTGTTAATACAAGTTTACAAACTTAAGTTTATTTCTTATATTAAGTTTCCGGAAAAATAGATTATAGATTATATACCTTTCCGGAAAAATACATATTAACAAACATAATAAGTTTTCCGGAAAGAAACACAATTAAATTCTAAAAATACAAATAAAATTTTCCGGAAATAATATTAAAATAATTTTCCGGAAAAATAAATTATAGCATATAATTTCCGGAAAAATAAATTATAGAATATACCTATCCGGAAAATACATAACAATACATAATGTTTTCCGGAAAGAAACGCAATTAAATTGTTCCTAAAAATACTAATAAACTTTTCCGGAAAACACACTCTCATTAATTAGCGCAACTAAAATTTCCCTCAATTTAAAGGCAATACCCTCAGAAGCTTGTGAATTACTCCCTGTATTTGGCGCTTCTTCTCGTCGTTTAATTACAATGGGGAATCAAGCACCCGATTATTGTTTCCAGACATTTGGGGGAAATAATAATAAAACAGCAGAAGGAGAAAGGAAATGGGGAGAATTGTTAATTTCTAAAAAAGACGAAAATAATAAAGGAATTATTGAAAATTTGAGGGAAAATAATACTAGAAGAGCATTAATTCAATAATAAAAAATTAATTGTAAAAAATTGTGTAAATATTTATTTTTAATTTTTGGTCATAAATAAACAAAGTAGTGTTATACCTTATATTTTATTTATAGTAACAGAATTATAAATCAGAATTTGATATATCAGAATAAAAATCAGAATCCCTGGAAAAAATTGTTCAGAACATGAAAACCAGAATTATAAAACCAGAAGAAAATCAGAACACCAAAAAAAATCAGAACTGCATCAGAATCCTTTCAAATCCCTTTTTTCTCTTCATATAGTAATCATAAAGTAATGAGCATTTGGATATAACACATTGTTTAATAGCCAAGTAGTTGGTGTGTATTTGTAAAATTGGTCGAGAATCCTCTGATATTTTATAGAAAATTTTAATTAGAGTATATTTATTAAAATGTCTTTTTCACAGCCTTTTGAGTCAAATAACTTGAGACTGAGATCAGAATAAAATCAGAACAAAATCAGAACAGAACTCAAAATCAGAACAAAATCAGAACAGAAATATCAGAATTTTAAATCGGAAACCAGAATATTAAAAATCAGAATATTCTGTTCTGATTGGTTCTGATTAATTTCTTGACCTCTTTAAGTCCCTTCTGAAACTTAACAACTCACCAAATACATTGTAAATTGTTGTTGACTGAAAGAAGAATAAAAGCTCCTTGTCTCTTTTGATATTGTTTTGTGCCTTATCCCACCTTCCATTTCCTTTATTCCCTCAAAATTACAAGTCTTCCCATCATCCAGTAGGAAGTAATATCCTTCTAAGCGCATTTTGCCCAATTTACCGCCAGAGTCAGCATCCCCATCAAATTGGATTAGGGAAGGGTTACATTCTGGTAAATAGGAGGGGAATTAAAGAGGGATGTCTCTCATTCTTTCTCACCATTTTTATCAGTTGTAGAAACATAATTTTGTAACCAAAGCCAATTAGTTACTACACAGAAAGGGATTAGTCCACAATTTATTGAACTGGAATAAGAACACAAACTAGTCATTAAACCATTATCCGGAGTATATTTATTTAACAAATTGGTAGCTAATTTGGCAAAAAATTGAGTAGAACGGAGAGATGGCCGTACAAAAATATAGCCTCCAGCAATTAAATTATTGGTTTCTGCAGGGCTGGAGCGATCGAAAAGAATATCGGCAGATTCTAAGAATATTATGTATTTTAGGTGTTTTATAGTCCTTTCCGGAAAATACATAGTTTTATTTATTTAATTTTTCCGGAAAATACATAGCAATGTATAAAAGTTTTCCGGAAAATACATATGCATAATTTCCGGAAAAATAGAATAGAATATATCTATCCGGAAAATACTTAACAATACTTAACGTGTTTTCCGGAAAGAAAAACACAACATAAAAATACAAAAAAAAATACAAATAAACTTTTTACGGAAAACACATTGAAAACACATTCTTACATTTCCGGAAAAATAAAAAGGTAGAATACATATATCTTTCCGGAAAAATACTTAACAATACTTAACAAGTTTTCCGGAAAGAAAAGACAAGCAATTATTTTTTAAAATAAAATACAAATAAACTTTTCCGGAAAACACATTAAAAACACATAGAATTCTTACATTTCCGGAAAGTTTATTTTATTTAATATTGCAATCTCAAAACACTTACCATTAATATTCTCCAAATCAAGTTTCAGCAAGTTTTCTCTCCAATAAGTATCCTATTATTAAACTTTAAGTTTACAAACTTAAGTTTCCAAGTTTATTTAATTTACTTGTTGTATCATCCAGAACGGCTTGCCCAAACTTGAAATTAAACTTGCCAAGTTTGCTCTAAAAACAGTGAATAAATGGTAGGGGCCGTCTAATAGAGAGGTCAAAAAATTAAAATAATTGTTTTAAAACCTCCATAATTAAACGGCAAATGAAGTGAATTAATATTAATTTCCAAAATACGTAAATTGGGCCATCGTTGAGCCACCTTCTTTGAGGCAATTTTGTCTATAGTAATTGGAAGAGTGCGTGCATGGACGCCTTTAATGATTAAATTAATTTAGTAAGTTTTGAGGAAATTTTTTTATAAGGTAGAAACAAGGAATATTAAATTTCCTATGATTATTTTCTTGATATGGAAAATTCATTTTAAAGGGAGGATTGAATAGAGCAATAATGGAAGAGCTGGAAGACGGAGAGCTGGAAGAGCTCAACGGAGAATCCCAGGGAGAAATTATTTTTAAAAAATTGCCTTCCATATGTTGAGTATTGCATAACCAATTAAATGTCATTTGAATTATATGCCTATTCAAAAACATAATTAATGTAGACTGATTATTAGGTAATGAAGTAAGTGTTGCTTTAACATTTGGAAGTGATAACTTTAAGGGAGAAATTTAAATAATTTAATTTTAAATTTTGAGGGGGTTCTAAGAGAAATTTTTAAAATTAAAAAAAATTTTCTGCTGAATAATCAAAAAATTCTTCAAATTAAAGATAGGGCAAGGGTGGAGGAAGGTATACAGTGTGTTAAGAAATTATAACCCCCCTTGAATTTTTTGAGTTTCTTACCTTCCCGATGTCGGATTGTTCTGAAATTTCTGTAGTAGTGTTGTAATGTATATTAAATAATATTTACAAAATATCTTTAAAAATTTCTGATCTCAGACTTTTTTTGGACGTTTTTTCCAAAAAATCAGTGTTAATAAATTATAACCCCCCTTTAAAAAAATTTTTTTAACGCATGGAATATCTCTACAAAAATTTTTCTGAACAGGTCTACCAATATAGATAAGAAATAATCAAAAAATTGAATAATCAAATTGAATAATCAAAAAATTGAATAATCAAAAAATTCTTCAAATTAAAGATAGGGCAAGGGTGGAGGAAGGTATACATAGGTGGAGGAAGACCAAAAAAATTACTATTTATTTTTTTAAAAATTAATAATCCCAACCAAACGTTCAATAGTGAACTTTAGCGGAGAAATTAAAAAAATTTATGAACAACTTTATGGGAGAAATTAAAAAAAAATTTTTTTTGCTGATTTTTGGAGGGGTTTGGAAGAAAATTGATTTTTAAAATTAAAAAAAATTTTTTTCTGCTGAATAATCAAAAAATTCTTCAAAGTAAAGATAGTTGGAGGAAGACCAAAAATAATTTTTTAAATTAATAATCCTAACCAAACGTTCAATATTGACTTGTTCAGAATTATTCTCGACATAATTTAAAACATTCATTCCTAGCCATATTTTCCGAAAAACACCAAAAAGCAAAATGATTAAAAATAAAATAATCCATTTTTTGCAAAACATTTTTTTTGTTTTTTTTATTTAAATGATGAATTTTTAAATAAATTTAAAAATAAAAATAAAAACAAAAAATTTAAAGTTAAGTTGACTCTAGAAAATATTTAAATTAGTATTTTTATTTATTTTTATTTGTTTGGTTTATTTCAAAAAATAACCGGGTGGCCAATAATATTAAACTGATTAAATTTAATAGCGCCTCCTAGTCTGTAATTGATGTCTGGTCACATTAGGGATTATATCAAGCGTTATTTTTCCAACTTTCTAAAATGGAAGTGACGTTAAGGCTTCCGACAGTTGCAAAATTTTAGAAGTTCCGTAATTCCCCTTTATTTTAGAATGTCCATGGTTCCCCTGCCTTCAGGGTGTCCGAGCTTTTAAAGGTTCGAGGTGTGGTTAGATGGTTAAACCTTTATATAAGACCCTGGAACAGATTCTTGATTTCAAAAATTTGAAAGGTTCGGCAGTTTCAGACAGTTACAAAGTTCTAGAAGTTCCGTGGTTCCCCTGTATTACGCCTTGGTTCTGTCCGAGCTTTTCAAGGCTCTAGATCTGTTTAGGTGGTTAAACCCTTATATAAGACCCTGGAACAGATTCTTGAAACTAGGCAACTTTGAATTAAATCTTATTGTTAGACGTTTAGTTATTCTTTTAGGGTTCCTAGTTATCGCTGCAAGGCACCCAAGTAATGTTTGGATCAGTAATTATTTTCCAATTTTTTTTCTTCTTAATCCCTTAAAAGTCCCAAAAATTAATAATCAATATTTACAAAAATATGTAAATAAATTTAGAAATTTTTTTAAAATTTTTATCGTCTATCAGAATATTTTTTATGTGAAAGACACGTGAAAAAAATTTAAAAATCCTTTAACGCATTAAATATACCACCCTGAATAAATAAATAAATGAAATAAAAATTCAAAGTAAATTCCACGTCTTAAAAAAATTTCCTTAATTATAATTTTTTATTTTAAATTTTATTTGTTTTACAATTGCGTAATTGTAATTTGGGGAAAAAAGTTTATTTAAATTCTGCCGTTGTAATTCACGCCTCTAACGCATGCGATACCTCAGCTTACTCTAAAAATTATAACTTTTGAATAGATTAACCAATCTGGCTAATTTATATACCATTCGATAGAGAATTAAATTTGCTACAAGAAGGAAATAATTTTTTAATTTTAGATTAAATTTAAAAAAATGTTGAGGAATAAAAATAGGCATATTTCTTAGAAAATATGGATTTTTGGAAGATTTTTTTGATTAAATTAATTTTATGGGGATACTTAAAATTTTTATTTTAGTCCTATTTTGTAGCAAATTTAATTATCTATAAATTTCTATAAATTTTAGAAAAATAAAATTAATTTTAGTTAGGTTAAATCCCCGCCAAAGGCACCTGACAACGTTGTCAGGTTGATTTACTTAACCAAACTAAACCCCCAAACTATTAAAAATAAAAATTTTTATCGCTTTCTTTTGTAATATTTATTCTTTAAAATACAAACAAAAAATTATTTTATAATATTTTTAACTATTTGCTAACATAAAAAATTTTATTTTGTTAAATTATTTATTTTTTTAAATATAATTGTGGGGTTGGGGGTGTTTACCTATAACTTTGCGATGCGTGAACCTTTTTTTAAAATTTTTTTATGAAAAAATAGAGCAGAAAATTGGCTACAAAATGTAATTTAAATTATAATTTTAGATGATAGTTGAACGAAGTTATGGCCAAAAAACTGTCGTTTATAATGAAATAGACGAAATTTGGCATGTTTTCCTTCCATAACTTTTTTTTCTTATTCAGAATTAATTTAATTTTTATTTTATTTTTTAGCCAAGCTTTTTCTCTATAGAAAAAATTTTAATTCATACAAATTTGCTTATCTATTCAAAAGTTATCGGTGTTGGCGTTTAGCAGGCTTAACACCTTAGTTGACGCAAGCAACGCTTCCGAAAGGCAAAAAAGAGATAAACAGCTTAATTTTTTAATTTCTAAAATTTTATTTGTTTGGTTAGCTTTTAAAATTTTTATTTGTAGGTATTTTTAAGTATTTTTATTTTTCAAATTAATTTTATTATTCATTCATTCTAGCCTACTCCGCATATTTTTTCAATTAAATTTAATCCAAAAATAATTTTTGTCAATTTTTCTTTAGCAAATCTCATTCTTTTATTATTTTTTAAGGCTTCCAATATTTCAAAAAAAATTAAAAATTTGCCTGAGATTTTTTAAATTTATTCAAAAATGTTTTCTATACCCCTACGACAATTATTTTGCTCAATATGCCTATTATTAACAGTCACAATTGGAATTGTAAAATTAAAAAAATATTTTTAATCAAAAAATAAATTTAAATTTTAGATTTATTTATCTTATAATGAACAAATAACAGAAAAAGATGCGGAATATTTCTTTTCTAAAGTTACTATTAGAGAAGTAAAAGAAGAAAGTTTGGATGAAAGGAACAATAAATTGAGGTATTAAAATTAAGTTGAGAAATATACAATTAAAACCTTCCGGAAACTTTAATTAAGTTTACAACTTTCCGGAAAATCAATTTATTTTACAATCTTCCGGAAATGACCATTTTTATAATTTTTCCGGAAACTTTAATTTAAATATTTTCCGGAATAATTCTATGAGATATTTTCCGGAAAATTTGTTTTACAATTTTCCGGAAATATTAATTTATTTTACTTTTCCGGAAAATTTCATTAAGTTTACAACCCTCTGGAAAGTTTAATTAATTGTCCAATTTTCCGGAAAAATTAATTTATTTTACACCCTTCCTGAAAGTTTATTTTATTTTGCATTTTCCGGAAGTAACCTAAAGTGATATTCAAGCTTGTAAATTAACCGGAAGTAGTTAATCATAAACTTAAGTTTGCTAGTCTGTAATTTCCGGAAAGTATTTCTTTAATTTTCTAGTGTTAAGTTTAAGTTTGCGAATAAAAAATAAAAAATAAGATTTTTTACAGAAATGAGTTAAATTCAACATTATATAATCTGATTGAGGGCATGCCTATTCAAGATGAGCATTGGTGCGAAAGAATGATTAATGGAGATTTAAGTATTAACGAAACAAAAAGACTGAAAGAATGGAAATTCAATGAAGAAAATTTTTATGTTGAACCGCCCCCTGATGAGGATGAATTGAATGATGGAATTGAGATAACAGAGGAGGATGATAAGTAGGGGAATATATTTTTGGAATTTATCAAATTAAATAGAATTTATTACAAATAAATTTATAATTGTAATTTTAGAAAATAATACTTTAAGATTACAACTTTTCCGGAAACTTTACAATAACCTTCCGGAAATGCTAGTCTATCATAATTTCCGGAGAATTAAATTTATTTTACAATTTTCCGGAAAGTTTCCGGAATACAAAAGCCTCAGTTGAAGGTAAAAGTTTTCCGGAAAAGTTTACAAATAAAACTTAAGACTACAAACTTTAAAAATACTAACCTTAAAACTTAAGATTATAAATTAACGATTCCAATTGTAATCGTTAATTTACAATTGTAAATTCTGAAGTTTGCAAAAAAAGTTTTTACAAATACAACTTTAAAATTACAATTTTCTAAAATTTTTTACAATTATAAATTACCTAGTATTTTACAATTGTAATTTTAGAAAATAAGACTTTAAAATTACAATTTTACAATAACTTCCGGAAATGGCTAATTCATTATAGTTTTCCGGAAAATTGTAATTTTAGATTGAAAATTAAGCATTTACATTTCTAAAATATTTACAATTCTCACAGATGCTTAAATCTCCAAAATCTCTTCCTCTTTCACAACAAACCATTATCTAAAGAAGAAAACGAATATCCTCTAGCTTATGCAATGGTAACACATAAATCAGTAATACAAACAATGACAATGGTCAGTTCTGTTTATCAACCCCAAAATGCTTATTGTATTGTTGTGGATGATAAATCTAGTGATGAATTTTTGAAAAAAATACAAATGTTGGCTGATTGTTTTCCGAATATTTTTGTTTTGGTAAATTTTATGGCGTTGTTGAAAAATGGGCGGAGCTTATTAAAAAGGGATCTCAAACTTAAAGAAATTTGAGATCCTTGAGTCTAAAATGGGTGGGCCTATAGAAATTGGTGAGCAGAGCGAAGCCTAAGGTGGGTTGACCTAATTTGGGCCTCGATCACCTCCCTATATCACCACTAACCTTAATTAATTTTAAATCTCAATTAGAATGTTGGCACAATCGAATGGTGCAAATTTGGTGTTGTACGTGCTGTTTTTTCTTGTTTGAAGTATTTAACAGAAAAAAATCATAATTGGAGATATTTACAAGTAAAGCGATTTAAAATTATGACCATATTTTTATTAATATTCTCCCCAATTTTTAGTACCTCAGCGGTGTTGATCTTCCTTTAAAAACAAATTTAGAGGTAAATAATTGTTAAATAATTAAAAATAAATTTAAAAATATTTTAAAGATGGTGAGGATATTTAAACAATTAAACGGCACAATAAACGCGGATGTTTTGCCCTTTGAAAGGTACAGAGTGAGATTGACTAAGGGTTCCATAAAACCTCCACTACCTCTTTGGAAGTCAAGCCTTTCCGCTTTAATCAGTAGAGAAGCTGCTGATGCAATGGTAAAGAGTGATAAAGTGTTGGATTTGTTAAACTATTTACAATATACTTGGTGCAGTGATGAAAGTCTGTGGGCAACTATTGCAGGGAATCCGGAAGGTGAGAAAAAAGACTTATGTTTGTAAAAAACTTAAGTTTGTAAAGAATAAAAGGGAAATAAATCAGTAGTAAAACTTTTTACAATTTGTAAAACTTGCCTATATTTAGTATAAGGGTTAATTACAATTTCTTAAACTTTTCGCAATTTGTAAAAAAAAGTTTCTCAATTTTTACAATTTGTAAAAAAAGTTTTACAAATTGTAAATCAATTTGTAAAAAAAGTTTTACAATTTTTACAATTTGTAAAAAAAGTTTTTCAATTTTTACAATTTGTAAAAAAAGTTTAACAAATTGTAAAACCTGATTATTTCTACAGGTTTATTTACAATTAACGAAAACCTTATAATTTGTAAACTTAAATTCCAACTTATTACAATTTGTAAAATTTAATATATTAGAGAAATCTATTTTGTTACAAATTGTAATCATTAAAATTATTAAAACTTGTAAAATTACAATTGTAAAATTTATTATAAACAAATCATTGTAATTTATCAATTTTCAGAATTAAAAATTCCTGGAGGTTTTGACGCCAAATTCTTTTACTATAGTTTACTAAGAGAATCTGAACGATGCATTACTACCCAAAAATCAACATTTAAATCACTAGAACAGCAGCAAAAACAAAAGAATAATAAAACAACCATAAAAACACCCCTTTCGCCTTTAACAAATTCGTTCCAACTTTCTTCCTTTTACATTTCCCGTTATCAAATTTGGAATCAAAAAAGGTACAAACACCCAATTACTAGAACAGGAAAACAATTGGCTAGATGTAATGGCAAATTTGTTAAAGAATCCTGTGTTTTTGGTGTTGATGACATGCCTAATCTTATTAGGAGACCGGAACTGGTAGCACATAAAATGTATATGGATTTTGAACCTGCAGGTAAATAATTGAAACCTGAGATAAGATTGCAATTTTTATTTTTTAATTTGTAAAAAAGTTTTTACAAATTTGTAAAACATAAAAATTAGAAGACTTAAATTTAATACAAAATGTAAAACTTATTTTAGAATTTGTAAAATCTGTCAACTTGAAACTAAACTTTTTTTACAATTTGTAAAACTTAATACAATTTGTAAAATTATAAAACTTATTCTACAATTTGTAAAACTTGTTATTATAATTTGTAGAACCTGGCTAAGTTTTAAAATTTGTTTAACTTATAAAACTTATTTTACAATTTTTAAAAGTTGCTCAAGTTTGTAAATTATTTTTTAATTTTGTAAAAACCCAATTTTAACCCTAAGTTAAAACTTAAGCTTGTAAAATTACAAACCCAATTAAAAAATATTTTCAGCCTACTTCTGCCTGTGGAAAAAAGTTAGAGAAAGAGCTTTAGATTGGAGGGAACAGAACAAATTTAATGCTCAAGTTTATTCTCAATTGCCACAAGTAAGAATAGCTAGAGGCGATCCAGAAGAACAAATACAATACTTTTTTGACGATATTTGTCATTTGTCTATTAGTGGGTAATTAATAGAAATTTTGAAAAAATTTTTAACTTAAAAAATTTGAAAAAAATCCTTGTTTCCTCAAGTCTAATTTGGAGGGGGAAAAGTTTGTAAAACTTGAATTACAATTTGTAAAAACAATTTTCCCCTCTGTAAATACTTAAAACTTTAATTTTAAGCTTAATTTTAAGTTTTCAAGTTTACTCAAGTTTAAACTCAAGTTTTCAAGTTTATTTATAATTCTTAAGTTTGCAAACTCAAGTTTTATTTTTTCAAGTTTCTAAACTATCTTGTAAAATTAATGGGATTTTTATTTTATTTTTCTGTATAAATTATAGTAAAAGAAACAATATTGCGATAAAAAATATAAAAAAATAATAAAAAAATTTCAAAACAAATCGACATTAATGGCATCCCTTAAAAAAGACTAGCCAAATAAAATTTTAAATAAAAATTATCACTAAGGCGAGGACCAAGCTAAAAACACGTTTTTTTTAACGTATTAGATCATGCCAATCTTACAGAAAAAACAGGCATTTGCCTATATAAATCCTCGCCTTACTTATCACATTAGATAATTAGTCAAGTAACATTCTAACATCACTAGGGGAAGATTTCATTGTTGAAACATGAATAGGTTCTTTTCTTCTAAATAATTCTTCTCTTCTATTTGTTAATAATTTGGGTTCGTGTTCTATACTTTTTACCTTTAAAATTAATTTTTTTTAATAATTTTTAATTAGAACAGACCCTATTATAAATTAAAACACCAAAAACTGAAATAAACATTCCACAAACATTTAGAGTTGTAACTGGATTTTTAAGTGTAATTAATGATAATACAATTACAAATATTCTTTTTGCTGCGTTTGTAACAGCGTATGATAATGTTGAAAGCTAGAAAAAAATATTTTAATTTTTTTTAATTTTTTTTTGAAATCTAAGGCTCTCAAAGGCCATCAGTTTTGGACAGGATTAAAATACATATAAATCGGGGATGTGCGTGCCATTTCGGCTTCCGTCTTTCGCCAAAATTCCGACTTTTTTGGACTTTCATCTTCCACCTTTCGTTTTTTATTGACTTTCCACTTTCGCTTTTTAAGATCTGTTTTGGCACATCCCTGATATACTTAAATACCAAAGGTGTGCCATCTCACTTTTCGTCGAATTCTCGCTTTTTTATTGCTTCACCTTTCATTTTTTTAAAATAAGTTGCAGCACATCTCGACATATATCTTCCAGAGAGGTAGGGTTATCCCAAATTGAAACTCGGATAGAAACCCAGGCTTCATTTTCGACCCGAATCCGTAACCAAACTTTTTTCTCTTATTTTTCTGAGATACCTGGTGAATCAACATAAAAGCACACAAATTTGAAAAAAATGAGCATAAACCAGAAAGTGCTAATAAAATCAAAAAATAGGAGTCTGGTGCATGATTGTTATTATTTTGTTGTTGGTGTTGTTTTGAATTTGTTAAATGGGCTAGTTCCCACATTCGACTACCATCTGTCCAAGCCTTTAAAAAAATTTTTTAACAGTGAAAAATTTATTATAGAATTTTTAATTTATTATAGACCCCAGAACCACTTGGACAACGAAGTTTTAAAAAATATAAAAAATCGGCAAGTAAAAAATTTTCCAGACCACAAAAAACAAACTTAAAAAATCAGGAACAAAAAAAAATAAAAAAAAATTTTAGTCAAAAACACCATTTCCGTTAAAATAAAAATTAATGTCAGCCAAACGGATTCGAACCCACGACCCCAAATAAGTGAAAATAAAAAATTAACCAACTACACCAAAAAGGCCAAAAAAACATAAAGACAATCAAAAAAATATTTTTTAATAAAAAACATCATTTCCGTTAAAATAAAAATTAATGTCAACCAAACGGATTCGAACCCACGACCTCAAATATGTGAAAACAAAAATTTACCCAACTAAACCAAACATTACAAAAAACTTTATACCCAAAAAGGAAAAAGAAGCAAAGTTGCCAATTGAGAATTTAAAGCCAATAAACTAATTGGATGCATTCCAGTTTCATCAAAAACTTTTTTGGCTAGCACATTTAAAAAGGCAAATACTGCTGTTGAAATAAATGAAGAACATAAACCAAATAAATTAAAATGAATTTCTGTAACTGAAGCAATAAATACACCAACAACAACAGGTAACTAATTGTTGAATAAAAATTTTTTTTGTTAGATTATAGGACACAAAAAAATTAATTTAAAAATATAATAGACGAATAATAAAGATATTTGGAGATTTTGACCATTTTGAAAGTTGGACGTTTTGAAAAAAAATTTTTAGTATAGTGAAAAATAGTTAAAATACAAACAGAAACACATGAAGAATTAAAAAATTTGGTCAAAAATTTGACTCCTCTTAAATAAAAATTAATGTCCCTGGATGGGGTTCGAACCCACGACCCCTAAAAATGCAAACAAAAAATTATCCGACTAAACCAAAAAAACTTTTTTTCGAATTTTTAGGGAGTTAATAAACGAAAGACGAGTAGCAGTTTTTGGTTAGTCTTTCAAAAAAATTTTTGGAGAATTTTTAAGAAATAAAAACCCATGCCAGGATCCTAGCCAGAGGAATAAAAATAATTTTCAAAGAAAAATCAACGTACAAGTGAAAAATAAAGTTTGAGTGACTGCCTCTCGCCAAGCAAAACTCGAGAAATTAGAACCGTAAAAATAGGCATTGTACCCTTCACAGTTTGAGCATAACTAACAGTTACTTTCCATAAGGCAAAATATGCACTGGTAATTCCAACAGCTCTTCCAACCTTTAAAAAATAAATTTTTTACATTAAAAAAATTAGAAAAAAAAATTTTTCAATGCTTAAATTCATAAGGAACACTTTAAAAAATTTTTTCCTTAAAATATAAATTATTTCCCAAGAGTTGGATTCGAACCCACGACCTAAAATAGGGGCAAACAAAAAATTATCCGACTACACCAAACTAACAAAAATTTTATTTGGTGTGGGTAAATCGAAAAAAAACGCTGGAAAATATTTTATAAACTTTAAAAAAATTTTTGGAAAAAATTAAAAATTAAAATAAAACCGAAATTGGAAAAATAACTCGAAGCAAATAACCAGTTGAAATATGGACTGTTGTAATTTTGAATATTTTAATTAACGGAAGGGCATACAAGGCATTATTTAAACAAGCAGAAAGAGCAATTGTTAAAGGGTAGGGATAACTCTGAAAAATTAAAAATTAGAAAATTCTGAAAAAAAATAAAAAATCAGAAATTCTGATTTTTGAATTAAAATTCTGATTTTGTTCCTATAAAAATCAGAATTTCTGATTCAGACTTTAAAAATCAGAATTAATTTCAGAAAAAATCAGAATTGATCAGAATTCTGATTTTAGATAACTTCTGATTTTTAGAAATTTTCTGATTTTCTGATAAAAATCAGAATTAAGTGGAAAATCAGAATTCTGGTAAAAAAATAGAAATCAGAATCAGAAAAAATCAGAAAAAAATCAGAATTATGATTTTTAAAGGAAATTCTGATTTCTGAAAATTTAGAATCAGAATTTAAAAAATCAGAATTAAAAAAAAAGAAAATCAGAATTTAGCCTTAAATAAATTTAATTAAAAAATAAACCTGTAAGGCTAATTTATTTAAAATACTTGAAACTAAAAAATAAATTTTAATTAATAAAATTTAAAAATAAAGAAACCTGAACTCGAACTCCACCAGCAAATACAAATTAAAATTATTTGAAGGCCAAACCAAAAATCTTTTGGAGGAAATTTCATTTGGAAAAAATTAGTCAATAAATTGGGTAACTAAAAAATTATTTATGGGAGCGTTTTGGGTGTTTAATTACAACGACAAACGAATTTTGCCACGCGACAAATGATGTGAATAAGGATAAAACGTGAAATTGAAATGAAATACACTGGTAGTATGACTTTCTGCTTCTCTAGATGTTGAATAAAATTAAATGACAGAACGCCAAAATTATTTTTTTAATAAATAAATTAAATAGAGTCGAAAAGGGAGAAGCGACCTAACGTTGGTTTTCGGTCCATAATTCTGGAATGGGTGGATATTTTTTAAAAATTTTTGTACCATTCGATAGAGAATTGAATTTGCTACAAGATGGAACTAAAATAAAAATTTTAAATAAAAAATATAAAAAAGTTATGGTCAATGAAAAGGGACGAGCGACTACACGACTACACGACTACACTTGTTGTATGACTATTCTGCTTCTCTAGTTGTTGAATAAAATTAATTGACAGAACGCCAAAATTATTTTTTTAATAAATAAAAAATAAGGTGGCCGAACGTTTCGTCACCGAACTTTTCGTCACCGAACCTTTCGTCAAAACCTTTCGTCACTGAACCTTCCGTCACCAAACCTTTCGTCACTGAACCTTTCGTCACTATTCACCATAGAAAAGAGAAAGCACATCTGGATGGGCAAATTTAACAAAATAGATTTATGGAAATTAAGTTGAATAAAAGAAAGTCATATGAATGAAGATGAAATATAATAAACAAAATTAATAACTTTTTGATAAAAAACAAATAATAATAAGGATGTTAAGTGAAATAAATTTATTTTGATTTAATATTTTTACTATTTTTATTTTTACTAAAAAATTATTTTCTAAATTTTTTTACTCATATTGGCTAAAATGGACGTAGGTTCATCACAGATGAGGGGCAAATTTTTTCTTCATCTTCCGAGGAGATGGAGGATTTACTCGAATTTATTGAAGTAAAATCTAAAAGAGTTCATTCTCTCTTAACTCGTGACGGCTTTGAATACCAGTTTGAACGTTATTCTGCCGTGGATAATCAAGTTGTCCAAAGCCAAGAGGCTTTGGACAGTTGTTCACTATTCACGTCATCGTAGACCCACGAAACACGTTCAAGGATATATTAACGTTTTCCGAGCAATTCAAAATCGCATTCAAGACTGGCCTCCAGAACGTGTCATGTGTGATTTTGAACAATCTGAGATATCAGCTGTGCGCCAAGTCTTCCCTCATGCGACTATTACCGGTAAATCTTAGGAAAAACTAGCTCTAGAAAATTTTTTGAGGATGTGTTTTTCATCTTGGAAATGCGTTATACAATCATATACAAACACTGCCTGGTTTATCTGCTCGTTATAGAAATAATAACAATGATAAAAACTTGCTCCGATCACTTCAGGTATCTACCGTATTTCCTCGAATTCATTAGAGTTTCTTTCCTAGGCTCTGGCATTTGTGCCTATTAATGAGGTTTACACATTTATGTGTATTTTAATGGACGTGCTAATGGGTCCTCCTGCAGATGAAGTTTTGGTAATATAACATTGAGTAGTTGTATTTATACACAATATAGGAACTTTGCAACAAATATTTGCTGAATTTGCTCAGCGAGCTAATGACCCAATTGGGTACCTACGTACTGTCTCCTATCATTTAGCAACACAGTAAATATAACTAAATTACCGATTATGATCAATTTGTCATTTTTGACAACTTCTTATTTGATTTTTAAAAATAAAGTCTTGGTGACGAAAGGTTCAGTGACGAAAGGTTTGGTGACGGAAGGTTCAGTGACGAAAGGTTTTGACGAAAGGTTCGGTGACGAAAAGTTCAGTGACGAAACGTTAGGGAACCAAAAATAAAGTCGAAAAAAGGCGAGCGACCTAACGTTGGTTTTCGGCCCATAATTTTGGAATGGCCGGATATTTTTTAAAGATTTTTGTACCATTCGATAGAGAATTGAATTTGCTACAAGATGGAACTAAAATAAAAATTTTAAATAAAAAATATAAAAAAGTTATGGTCAATGAAAAGGGACGAGCGACTACACGACTACACGACTACACTTGTTGTATGACTATTCTGCTTCTCTAGTTGTTGAATAAAATTAATTGACAGAACGCCAAAATTATTTTTTTAATAAATAAATTTAATAAAGTCGAAAAGGGACAAGCGACCTAACGTTGGTTTTCGGCCCATAATTTTGGAATGGGTGGATATTTTTTAAAGATTTTTGCACCATTCGATAGAGAATTGAATTTGCTACAAGATAGGATCAAAATAAAAATTTTAAATAAAATTAAAAAAAGTTATGGTCAATGAAAAGTGACAAACGACCTAACGTTGGTTTTCGGCCCATAATTTTGGAATGGCCGGATATTTTTAAAAGTTTTTCGTACCTTTCGATAGAGAATTGAATTTGCTACAAGATGGAACTAAAATAAAAATTTTAAATAAAAAATATAAAAAAGTTATGGACAAAAAACTGACGCTATATGTGAAAAAGTTGGGGTTTTTAGTAGGTTTTTCGACTCTAACTTTTTTCGTTACTTCATCAAAAATTTTACAATCTAGTCCATTTTGTAGCAAATTTAATTCTCTATCGAATGATACCAAACTTGGAACAAAAAGCTTCGTGTTTCACCGAGTTATAACGGCTAGACTCAACTGCACCCCATTTTCAGACTCTAGCGTCCTTCAAAGCCAAAAAATTAATTTTTGGCCCCATTCACGCAAAAAACTTTTTTTCTTGTTTATTTTGTACTTTGCAGTCACGTAACATCTTAAAACAACAAACGCACACATATTTTTTGAATGCATTTATCAGCTTTGAGATTGACAGCAATTTATCGACTGTCTGTTTCCACTTGTTTTCCAGCGCAACAACAAGGTGAATATTTTTTCCTCTTTAATAAATGTTTATATTTTATAATTGGCATTAATTTTAGAAGGAGAAGGGAGAAAATGTATCTTTCCTTTCATTTTTAGTATTTTATTAGTAGTACCTTTAGGAGTCAATTTACGTTTGTCCGCAAAATTTGTCCGCAAAAATTTTTTTGTCTGCAATTCTTTAAAATTTCTTGGATATTCAATAGAACAACCGATAAGCAGCTTTTTCGAAAGTTAACAAGGAATACTTCGTTTACCGTCAATGCGGATTCGATATTTTTTGGTAGCTTCCATAGGGGACCTCTCCGTCTTTCTTTTTGCGGACATGAGCAGACGTCCGCAAAATTTTTTGTCCGCAATAAGTAAGCGACGATTCCTTGTAAGAATAAAACCTTCTCATCAAATATTAAACACTAATAACACTCAATTTCTATTTCTAGACTTTCTCAATTTCTATTTAATTAAACGCAATATGTCTACTTCCAGTCCAAATTCAGCAAGCAATCGTGTTCTTACCGTGGATACAATCAATCCTAACGTCATCACTATGGTTTGTAAAATTTGTTATAAATAATTAGTCTTGCTCAAATCAAAAAATATAAGATTTAGTCCCATAAAAATTTGTCCGCAAAATTTTTGCGGACATCCGCAAATGTTGTCCGCAAAAATTTTTTGTCCGCAATTTTTTCATTTTTAATTTGTTCCTATTTTCTAATGCTATTTAGAACTTTATTTTTGATTTACGTTTTTGATTCTTATCAAGCGTTATGTATTTTTAAGGAGTACGCAGTTCGTGGGCCTATTGTTATTAGAGCTGTTGAATTGGAGAAGGAATTGGAAAATGTATTTTTTAAAATTTTTTTCTGAAAAAATTAATTTTTTAGGGAGCAAAGTTGCCCTTCGATAGAGTGATTAAAGCCAACATTGGAGATGCTCATGCAATGGGACAAACTCCAATTACTTTTATAAGGTTAATTTTTTTATTTTTTTTGGTTCTTTTGCTTTACATTAGCCGGTGGCACTCCGGTTATTTTTATTATGAATGTGTCTAAAAATTGTCTTATGCGGTCAATTTTTTGTGGGAGGTTTTTTGAAAAAAATTTTGTCCGCAACTATTTGCGGACAATCCGCAAATGTCCGCAGATTTTGTTTTTTTTTATTTTAAAAATTTTCCTATTTTTTGAGGTTTTGTCTTTTCTGGGATAAAAATAAATTTAAAATTTTTGGGATCAAATGTCCAGGATTAACCAATTTTCTCTTTTTCAGGCAAGTAATTGCGTGCACAACTGATCCTTCCTTGTTAAAAACTAATTTGTATCCTGAAGATGTGAAACAGAAGGCTTTGAGTTTGTTGGGTGCTTGTGGAGGAGGGAGTGTTGGTTTGTGATTTTTCTTTGGAGAAAAAAATTTGTCCGCAAAAGATTGCGGAGAATCCGCAAAAAATTTTTTTTTTCTTTAAAAATTTTTTTTGTTCGATTTATAATTTGTAAAGAGGTTTTATACTTCAAAAATCTATAAATTTTCTTTAAAAAATTTTAATCTTTCATTTTTTAAAGGTGCCTACACTCAAAGCAACGGAATCGAACTTATCAGAAAACACATTGCCCAATTCATTGAGAGACGTGATAAAATTCCTTGTGATCCTGACAGTATTTGCATTTCTGGCGGTGCTTCAGAGGCTATTAGGGTTTCTTTTTTTCTTAAAAAGATTATCAAAAAATATTGTCCGCAAAAAAACTTGCGGACAATCCGCAAGTTTTTTTGCGGATAATCCGCAAATTTTTTTTGCGGACAAATTTCCAAAATTAAAAAAAATCTTTTTCTCTTTTAGAATGTCCTCAAATTATTTATTCATCACGATTCATCAAAAAAGAAGGCAGGAATAATGGTTCCAATACCTCAATATCCTCTTTATTCTGCTTCAATTGAAGAATTCAATCTTGGACAAGTTGGATATTTTTTGGAAGAAGAAAAGAATTGGGCTTTGGATTTGGTAATTTAAAAAAAAATTTTTTTTGTTTAAAATATCCTGGTTCCTTTGATGATTTGGAAAAGTTATTTCCTGATTTTTTGGTTTTTTTTAAGTTCCTGTTTAAGTTACTGTCCAAAGAACTTCATGAGATTGTGTCAGATAGAAAAGAATGTCAGATCGGGTTCGGGGCTTTAAAAAAAATTTTTTTTCGGATCGAAGTTTGAGTGGTTAACCCCTTTTAAAGTGATTTAGTGAATACTTTCCTCTTTTGAATTCATTTTTGATTCTGTTGTTTATTGGTCTTTGTCCGCAAATATTTGTCCGCAAGTCTTAAAATTTTTTAAAATTTTTTCTAGCAAGAATTGGAACGTTCATTAAAAGAGCACCAAACAAAATTTGACGTCAAAGTAATTGTAGTAATTAATCCTGGCAATCCAACTGGACAAGTTTTAACAAAAGAAAATATTGAAAATATAATTAAATTTGCTTACAAAAATAATTTGTTTATTTTTGCTGATGAGGTTTGGATTTTTGAAAAATTTTTGTAAAATTTTCCAAAATTTTTTAAAGGTTTATCAAGAAAATGTTTATGCAGAAGGAGCCAAATTTTACAGTTTTAGAAAAATTATGAAAGAAATGGGAAGTCCATATGATAAATTGGAGCTGGCTAGTTTTTATTCGTGCTCAAAGGTTTTTTTTTTTAAATTTAAAAAAAATTTTTTTTCTTTGGTGGAGAGGTCCTTAAATAAATAAAAATGAGTTTTTATTTGTTTTCCCCATTAAATTCTTATTTTTTATTAATTTATGAAAAATTTGAACTCAAAACTAAGATTTTTCGGTTTTAAATCAAACCGAAAAACTGAAGATTTTCGGTTTGGAGTGTCTCAGTTTCGGTTAACCGAAGAATTCGATGAAACCGACAATCCTTTTTTGTAATTTTTTGGCATTTCCTGGCTTTGAAGAGTTGTATTCTATGTTGTTATTTCCTCAGTTTTTGAGAATCTCATAGGGGGATTTGGTTTTTCGGCGTTTTGGCATTAATACGCGCTACGATTTTGTTATTATAAAATTTGCTTCTTGGAGTATTTATAAATTTTCTAGGGTTATATGGGAGAATGTGGTTTGCGTGGTGGTTATGTACAATTTGACAATTTTGATCCCCAAGTTTATGTCCATTTTAAAAAGATGATTTCTGCAAAGCTTTGTTCAACTGTGCTGGGACAGGTTTTTCTGTTTTTATTTGTTAAAAATATATGGAAAGATGGCATTTCACTCCATCATCCTTCATGATCTATAGGAGGGAGTGGGGGTAGGTGGACTTCTAACAATAAGCAAATATAAATTAAATGATATCAGATCTACATCAGAGAGCTTGACTTATCTCTGAAAAATGGAGGGGGAGGGGGTGAAAAACTTGCTGACATATTTTTTCCCCTGTAGGCAGAGGTGGGTGAATTCCGATTTCCGACGTTTTTCTCCTTCCGATTTCCGACATCACTGACTGTTCCGATCCACCCCTGCTTGTAGGCGACTTTTCCTCTTCGTGGAATTTATAATTTTAATGGCTTTCCATATTTTTGAACTAAAATTTAAATTAACTCAAAAAAAAATTTTTTTTAGATAGCAATGGATTGTATTGTTGATCATCCACAACCTGGTGATCCGTCATATAATCTTTGGTTTGAGGTTTTTTTGATTTTTTTAAATTCAAGCTTAAATTTATTTTAGGAGAAGAACGCAGTTTTGTCTTCTTTAAATCAACGTGCCAAATTAGTAACTGAATCTTATAATAAAATTGAAGGTGTTCATTGTCAACAAGTCCAAGGTTCTTTGCTTTATCATGCTAACATAAATATTTTATTTAAAACCTCGGGCTTTTTTCCAATGAGGCTCATTGAGTGGATCTTTAATAGGTATTTAGGGAAAGGATTAGGATATTTACGGTGCATTTTTATTTCATTTCGGTAAATGTTAGGAATGTCAAAGTGAAAAATAATTGTGTTATGTAGGGGTTAAGTAAAATTTATAAAAAAAATTTGGATCGATCGTGTATCCCAAATGTCGGTTAGTATAATCCGAGTCTTTTGCACTCCTTGGATTAACACTTACCGAGTCATGTGTTTATGTTCCAAATTTGAATCTATAAAATAATTAATTTTCCGGACCCTGTCTTTATTATAAAGAAATCATTATTTGTACTATACAAACTTTTTATTATTCAAAAAAATTTTTTAAAGGAGCAATGTATGCCTTTCCTAAAATTTGCCTTCCTGAAAAAGCAATAAAAGAAGCTCAATTACTTGGAGAACAACCAGATTTTTTCTATGCAAAAAAATTATTGGAGGAAACTGGGGTATTTATTTTAATATTTTTTAAAGGTGAGGGTTTTTGGGAAGAAATTTTTTCGAAAATTTTTTTGAAATTTTTTGAAAATTTTTAAAATTAAAAAAAATTTTTTTCTTTTTAATAGATTTGTATTGTTCCCGGATCTGGCTTTGGTCAACGTCCCAATACTTGGCATTTTCGAACTACAATATTACCCCAAATTGAATTATTTAATGAAATGCTGGTTCGGTTCAAAACTTTTCATGAACGTTTTTTGGCTAGGTAAAGAAATTTATTTTTTTAACAATTTAAAGAGTTTCTCAGTTATTCAAAGCCCTTTGTTGCTTTTCTTGTTACTTTAAAAAATGACAGGATAAAACTGAAGCGGGAGAGATTCCATTCTAGTAAGGTTGTTGACCGATGGGGGACCACAGGGAAAATTTTCGGGAGGCAGCGCTACGGGAAGGGGGGGGGGGTAGGATACAATCCCAATCCTTAGTATGTGAGTATGTGTCTTAGTTATCCAATACCCTGGCACTTTTTTTATTTGTTTCTCACCCAAACTTGTGATTGAAGTTAATTTTGAGAATCCGATCGAAAAACCTTGGCCCAATTTTTTCGCGACTCTGCCCATCTCTAATTTTGAATAAAAATCTTATATATTTTTTTTAATAAAAAAATTGTTTTTTCTTATTTAGTTATAAGTGAAAAAGAAGATGTGCCTTTCTGTAGTCTAATTATTTGTGCATATCAATGAAAATATAACAACAAATGTTCAACTTTGTGTGTGTTTGTGGGTGCTAAAATTTTTTTTTAAAACTTAAAGAAGGAAAAAAAGGTGCTATTTTTTAGATATTAAATATATAAAATTATAGAAAATATTTTTTTGTAAAATTGTAAAAATTCAGCCAAAAAATCCCCCCTAGTCTCTAGTGTATATGTAAAGGGATAAGTTAATCGCATTTTTAAAGATATTTTATTTTGAGAAAATTATAAAGGGGCCTTTTCAAGATTTTTAATTTTTAAGGACCTTTTTTCGGAAAACGAGATTATTGGTATATTTTAATAAAGTTTTGTAGGATTTGATGGAAATCGTTTTTAGATAAATTTATTAGATTACCCAAATAACACAATGTCAAAGAAAAACAAACTTAAAGTCCCATTAATTGTTTGTGGGGGAGGGAGGGGGAGGAGGGGGTGTCACATCTTTACAAATTCTTTCACAGACACCGACAGCTTTATTTTTGGTGTCTTCTAGTTAAAATAGTATCTTCTTTTTTGTCATCTAAAGAATTATCACCCTTTTCTTCCGGAAAAATTGAACCATACACATCTCTAATGTTATTTGCAAAAACAACCAAGATTCCACATTTTTGTTCTTCTGTTAGTTTTTCGTATTCTTTCTTCATTTTCATAGGGAGAAGGATTCGAGCCTTTCCCATATCCGCAGGATGCGGCAGCGCAAGGAAAAACTAGATTAATTCTTCCCTCTTCTGTGGAGGGAAGATTCTTAAAAAAGCCTATTCCAGCTGGTGATTTATTTTATTTTGGGGTTAATTTTGGTGGGGTTTAAGTGAGGGAGGGGGAATGGGGGTGGAGTACATAAAACACAAAAATTTTTTTAAAAATATTTGCACAATGTTGAATTTATTTAGATCTTGTCACCACTGGCTCAATTCAGCAGGACGGAACGATGGGAAGGGTTGGAGGCCTTCCGTGGAAAGTGCAGGCCGCCGCGGCATTGGGAAAGAAGAGAATTCTTCTTCCATCCAGTATGAGGGAGGATTTTGAAGGTATTCCAATTAATGAACGTTATGGTATTGTTGTTAGTTAGAATCAGGGATTATGTGCCGGGTTAAAAATCTTTAAAATTTAGCCTTGATAGGGGTTTTCAAAAAATTTTAGATTTAATAAAAATACTAGTATTTTAATCCTTTTAAAGTTTGTGTTTCTTTTCGAGGAAATTAGAAAGCTGAAAAAAAATCACAAATCACAAAAATTCTCCACATAACTGCAACAATACCATAACGTTCAAATACCTTCAAAATCCTCCCTCATACTGGATGGAAGTAGAATTCTCTTCTTTCTCAATGCCGCGGCGGCCTGCACTTTCCACGGAAGGCCCTTCCCATCGTTCCGTCCTGCTGAATTGAGCCAGTGGTGACAAGATCTAAATAAATTCAACATTGTGCAAATATTTTTAAAAAAATTTTTGTGTTTTATGTACTCCACCCCCATTCCCCCTCCCTCACTTAAACCCCACCAAAATTAACCCCAAAATAAAATAAATCACCAGCTGGAATAGGCTTTTTTAAGAATCTTCCCTCCACAGAAGAGGGAAGAATTAATCTAGTTTTTCCTTGCGCTGCCGCATCCTGCGGATATGGGAAAGGCTCGAATCCTTCTCCCTATGAAAATGAAGAAAGAATACGAAAAACTAACAGAAGAACAAAAATGTGGAATCTTGGTTGTTTTTGCAAATAACATTAGAGATGTGTATGGTTCAATTTTTCCGGAAGAAAAGGGTGATAATTCTTTAGATGACAAAAAAGAAGATACTATTTTAACTAGAAGACACCAAAAATAAAGCTGTCGGTGTCTGTGAAAGAATTTGTAAAGATGGACACCCCCCTCCCTCCCCCACAAACATTTAATGGGATTTTGTTACAAGTTTCCAAACACTGCTCCTGAATTAATTTTTTTTAAAAATTTGCGATTAACTTTCCTGCGATATTTTTTAAATTATCGTTAAGTCGCAAATTTATCTATAACAATTGGCCTTTTTTCTTATTATATGAAGTAGTATATAAAATTTGGCATAAAATTATTTTAAAAAATATATTTTTATTTTTTCGTAGGGTTAAAATTAAAAATTAAAAAAAAATTTTTTATGAAAGAGTAAAAAAATTAAAAAAAAATAAATTTATTTCGAAAGAAAAAAATATTTTAATCCAAACATAATACAACCAGAAAATACTCCAGATAACGGGAATGTACATATCCAAGCCAAAAAAGCTTTTCGAAAAAGTTGCCAGTTAACAGGGACAGATCCGCGGACAGCTCCTACAGCGACTATACTGCCAACCTTTAAATTGTAATTTTATTTTTATCTGAAGAATTTTTTCCGCATATTTTTTGTCCGCAAGTTTCTGTCTGCAAATATTTTGTCCGCAAGTCTCTGTCCGCAAATTTTTTTTTCAAATTTTTCTCCGCAATTTTTTGTCTGCAGTGTTTTGTCCGCATATTTCTGTCCGCAAGTTTCTGTCCGCAAATTTTTCATCCGCAATTCTCTGTCCGCAAATTTTTGTCTGCAAGTTGGTGTCCGCAAATTTTTGTCCGCAAATTTTTTATCTGCCGTTTTTTGTCCGCATATTTCTGTCCGCAAGTTTCTGTCTGCAAATTTATGTCCGCAAATATTAACCTACACAAACATTAATTATAAATTTCGTTGACTACCGTATCCGTAAATTCACCTAAAGTCGTCTATAAAACTTACAATACAAATAGTCATTGATACAGGAATGCCAATCTTTGCTGCACACAAAACAGTTATTGCGGCACCCAATTCGACAGTAAACCCGCAAAAAGAATTAATTTCTGTAAATTCTTTCCCAACAGTTTTTATCACACGATGACCTAACATCCAAAATCCGATACAGGCGGCAAAAGAACCATAACAAAGAATCCATAAAGGGGTCTCGCCGGGTGAAGGAACTTTAGCTGTAGAGAATACGGCAATGAGAGTGGCCTAGAGAATGAAAAGTTTATTGAAAATTTTTTTGAAGATGACTATTCCCTCTAAAAGGTAGGCTGAAGAGAACATGTTCCATTCGGAGTAGGATGAGGCTGGGGCGAATATGTACCGTTCGGATTAGAAAGTAGGCTGGAGAGAACATGTACCCTTCGGACTATAAAGTAGGCTGAAGAGAACATGTACCGTTCGGACTAGAAAGTAGGCTGAAGAGAACATGTGCCGTTCAGACTAGAATGAGATAAGCTGGAGAGAACATTTCGTTTGTACATGTTCTCTACAAAATATTGCCTCTGGGACTTAGAAATAATGGAAAAATAATTTAGGAAATACGAATTTTTAAAATTCTCATTCGTTTACTGTAAATTTTTATATCTCATATTCCCTCAATAATTTACCTACCAAAGGAGCAATAGTATTAGGAATATCTTTAGATCCATGCGAAAATCCAGTAAAGCACCCAGTAAAAACTTGAATGGCGCTAAACAAGCGTAGAGTCTTCGGGTCATCCCTACGCGTTCTATTAGGCAAAAACCAGAAGCGTCTTAGACCTTTAAAAATTTTTTATAAATGATTGGAAGATGATAGACCTAGATCAGGATCTCCAACAGTAACGGCATTATGAGCAAAACTGGTCTCTAGTGAAGTAAAGGCACCATTTGCTGGGGTAAGGCGGGGTACTTTAAAAGGGGGATTAGAAAATTTTTTAAGAGAAATTTTCCAATTACCCCCATTCTTTTCTTCAGAAGAATCTCCTCGTCGTACCCACTTCAAGATAAATGGCCGAAATATAAATTGAAAACTCATGGAAGCCAATGAAGCAACACCAAGGCTGATTAATAAAGCAAGCCAGAAGGGAGTAGTGTCCAATCCAATCCCTAAAATATTTTAAGGATTTTAGGAATTTTTAAAGATGTTTAGTAGTGCGTATGGAACATGGCTTGTAGTGCGAAAGGAACATACTTTAACCTAGCTTCTATAACTTTTAAAGTAAAAAACTATTCTTGAGGGTCTTGGAAGTACTTTCTGCAGGGTTTCTGTGTATTTCTCAGAAAAATTTGGAAAAATTCGGCAAAGCGGAAATTTGGGCAGTAAGGCAGAAAATTGGATAAAGACCCGTGGAAGACCTCAAATCCACCGACTATTTTCCTGTTTACCTAATATTTTCTAATTAAAAAATTTTTTGTTGAGTATAGCCTTCTCTTACATTTAGATCCATGGTACACAACCATAAACGTATTAAAATAAAACACGCAAAAGTAGAATATAGGCATTGCGCGTAGTCCACATTTTAATGAATCTCTCTATTTTTAAAATTCAAAAATTAAATTTCTTTTAGTTAAATCGAGAATTACCCACTCTTCTGAAAACCGCAATGTCGAAAATGATGTATAGGATTGCAGAGACTAGGCCGGAAAGTGCCTGGAATTTTTTTTTAATTTTAATTGGTGGGGGAACGTGAGGTAGTGGAGAAGAAACATGCTTTAGCTTATCCACTATAACTCTTGAACTGATGTACCTTTTTTAGAGTTCTTGGTATCATTCGATAGGGCTAATAATTACCTAAAAAGAATAGGATGATTAAAAATTTATGTTTGAAGTGAAAAAAGTTGGCGACGAAAAACTCTCATTTTTACTGAAAATTTCCGATTTTTGGTGGTTTTTTGATTTTAACTTTTTTACCTAGCTATCCAAAATTTTAATATTAACTGATTTTGTAGCAGATTTTCTTAGCTATCGAATGATATAAAGACTATCTGGAACGGATTATTATTCTAGTAGTTATGGAGGTTTATGCTCTGTTGGTTCAGCTTCCTTTAAGTTCCCCATATAAATTAAATTTATGTTAGAATTCAATTAAAATATTAAATAAAGGCTTTAAATCGTGTAAATTATATTTAAAAATTTTTACAGGCGAAACAATCCACGAAGCCATAATTAAAAACACTTTGTTCAAATGCAATCCTTTAGGTCCCCTCATTACCATAGAAAAACCAATTATACTCCCTATATGGCTATGAGTAGAAGACACAGGGAGAGCACAAAAAGTGGCTGTCATCATCCACATTGCACAACATAAAACAAATAAAATTAAAAAAATTTTTTGGAGAGGATATACCCCCAAGAATAGCAATTTGCCCTAAAAGAAGTTCGTGGGGTGCTTCTGCATACATTTCTAGGTCAATAACTTCAAATCGAAGGGTTTGTAAGACTTTGTAACCTGAAAGGATTAAAATTGGAAAAATAAATCTCTTTTTCAAAAAACAAACCAAGCAAAATAGCTCCAGCACTCTCTATTATAGTAGCCAAAATATAGGCTGTTCTAAGCTTTATTGCTCCGGAACCAACGGATGTTGCAAAGGCTGTAATTTTGTATTTATTTTGTGTTTTATTTGTATTCCGGAAAATTTTGTATTTCGGAAAATATATTCCGGAAAGTTTTGTATTTATTTGTATTTTCCGGAATGTATTTTACCATTTAATTGCTTCCGGAAAGTTAATTATATTTTCCGGAATAATTATTTTATTAGTTTGTATTTTTGTTCCGGAAAGTTTAATAATTTAATACTTTCCGGAAAATTTTGTATTCTTCGTTAATTAATTTATATTTTCCGGATTATTTAATATTCATTATTTTAGTTTACCATTGGATACTTCATTGGAACCCATTGCAAAACCAAAAGTAAAGGATAAATGAAAAGCTGTTATTAATGCCCAAACATATTTTATCTTAAATTTTTTAGAAAATTATTTTGAATAAAAATAAGTACCTGAAAACTAGACCCATCCCCAACATTATCAGGCAAGCTCTGTGTTAATCCAATAAATAACAATATAAAAATAACAGTTCTAAGGGTTAATGGGGATTCTGAAGTAGATAATAGCTTCATTCTAATTTTAATTTAAAAATTATAAAATAATTTTAGAGAATACAAAAAAAATAAATAAAGAAAATACATCAAGTAAAAATAAAGTCTATTTAAAATTTTCCGGAAAATATTTTATTGTATTTCCGGAAGGGTATTACCTGGTTCTATTTTTATTTAATTTTTTCGGTTACTTTCCGGAAGTTGAATTTGTATTTTCCGGAAAATGTTATAATTGTTGTATTAATCAAATAATTTCCGGAAATGTTCTATTCGTATTTTCCGGAAAAGTTTACTTGTCTTTTCCGGAAAGTTTTCTTGTATTTTCCGGAAAAAATACAAAGAAAACACAATTTTTGTATTTTCCGGAAAGCTTTGAAAACACTCTTCCGGTAATTTACTCAAATAATATGTATTACCCTATAATTTAAATATTGTTTTAATTTTCATCAGTAATGGTCGAATAATAGCAATAAAAATAAAATAATTATCATAAAATTGGAAAAATATTTAATTGCAGTAATTTAATTGCTAAAATAATAGCTTAATTTTAACTGATAAAAATTGAGAAAAAAATAATTATTAACTGATTATTATAAAAAAAGTGTCTACAAAAACAAAGATAACTAAAGAATGGATTAATATTTTTTGATAAAAAATTTTTTGAAAAATAAATAATTGATTATACTCCAAAATAAAATTAAAAATAAATTTTTATGTTAAAAACAAAAAAAGTTGTGATTTTTTAAATTTTGTGTCCCCACTAAGTAACACTCCGTGTCTGTTTTCTCTCATAACTCTTGAATGGATTAACATTTTAAAATAAATTTGGTATCATTCGAAAGATAATTGAATTAACTACCATAAAAAAATTAAAAATAAAATTTAAAATAAAAAATCAGGTGGAAAAGAATTTTTGATTAGGCGGGGGCGGCGAGTGTTTGTTGTCCTTCCTCTCCTCTCTCGTTAAAAAGTGATTATTGCATTTTAAAATAATTTTTTTTGTAAAAATGTGAATTTTTGTTTTCGATTAAAAAAGGTTGTTATTTTATTTATTTTTTGTTTTTTTGTTCTTTTAATTAGATAAAATAAGAATGAGAAATAAAATAAAAATTGGGAGGGGTGAAATGTGTCCTCTCATGAAAATGCGCTATCATTAATTTTAATAAATTTTTTTCATGATCAATATAGATAATTAAGGTATGTCTATACTATACTTTTATTATTAAAAAAATATTGAAGGTCTTAGTAATAAAAGATAATTAATTAGTATGAGCTCTATCTCTATTAATATATGCTGACGTTAAGAAAATAAGGCAAAAAAAAAATTTTTTAATTAAGGAAAAATTTAAAAAATATTTTTTTTTTCGTTAAATCTATAAAATAAAAAAAAATAAAAAAATTTAAAAAATTAAAAAATAGATTTCAAAAAAAATGTTTTTTCTTTTGTTTGTTTTAAAGTGATTCTTCTTTTACCAAAGACATGCTCTCCTCTACCTAAATAAAATATAAAACTTAAAATGAGGTATAAATTAAACTTGTTTGTGTATTTTTAAAGAATTTATACACGTTGAATATTTCTATGAATCATTTAAACTTGGTTAAAACTTGTGTGTTTTTACAAAAGTACAAGTGTAATTAATCAGGCTATATAGGTTGTATTTACTCCAATACATTTATTTGTGTTTTCCGGAAAATTAAATTTATTTTTCCGGAACTACCTACATTTTAAAGCAAAATACAAAAAACTTATATGTATTTTCCGGAAAGACTTTGCTTACTTATTTTCCGGAACTGCTATTTACAATTGTATTTTCCGGAAAAACCTTATATGTATTTTCTTGTATTTTCCGGAAAAATCTCTTTCCGGAATTACTTTATAACTGTTGTATTTTCTATTTTATTATCATATTCCGGAAAGTCTATAATCTCTTATATTTTATACCTTCCGGAAAGTTGTATTTATTGTGTTTCAGGAAGGTTTATTAAATTACAATACCTCCCACAATGCTGGTTCCTGTGTTTGTTGTTGCTGACTAGTTTGTAATAAAGGTTGTTGTTGCTGTTGATTTAAATTTGATTTTGAAGGGTGTTGACTAGTTAATAAAGAAGTTGGGGTTGTTGTCATAATCAAAGGTGGTTGTTGGACACCATTCCCCATCTCAACACTACTTTGTGTTGTATTGGGGTGAACATAAACGCTTTCACATGTATTATTTTTTATATTATTATTACAATCCCCCATAGGTATTGTGGTAATTGAAGGTTGAGGATATTTACGTTGGGTTCGCCATTGTTGAGGATTTGGGGGCTTTCTCAATAAAAAGTCTCCTCTAAAATTATAGGTGTATTTTAGTTGTTTTTGTATTGTTTTCCGAAGGTTTATATTAAGTTTTCCGGAAAGTTATTTTCTGCTTCCGGAAAATTTTATATTATATTTCCGGAATGTTTTATATTCTATTTCCGGAAATTTATATTTTATTTTTCCGGAAATTTCTATTCTCTGCTACCGGAAAGCTTTATATTTCAGTTCCGGAAAGTATATTCAAATAAGTATATTTGCCTTGGGGGAGGAGGCATGATTATATTTGTAGCATTGTTAGTCGCTGCAGAAATTCCCGCACCCGTTGAATATTGTGCTGCTGCTGTACTACTGCTTGTATGCGTTTGGTGTTGTTGTGAGAAGCTTGGAGAATGCGTCATAACGGATTGGAAGAAGAAGCCGCTCTGAAATTTCGAAAAAATATTTTTTGTGAATTTTTCATGACCCACATGATGTACACCGTTTGGTTGTGCACTAACTAGAGGTACTAGAACACTAGTTTTTCGCTTAAAATTTTGTTGAATTGCATTAGAAACGTGTTTAGATGTTTGTAGTGGTTGGAGTTCATCTGACGGCCTGATAAGCGACACTGAAGAATTTTGTGGACTAGAGGCAAGTAAATGGGCTCGTTGTAAACGGCCTGGAAATGAGGCAAATTTAGAGGGTAACAGTAAACTTCTGAAGCAATTTCAAGAAAAATCCTTCCTATTTTTATTTTAATAAATCAACTTACTACTACTCCTGTTAAACTCCTCCCACATGGAATCAACAACTTCAGTACATACCAAAATACCAGAATGGATAGTTAACATTCTTAGCATAAATACCCCATCCATTTTGATATAATCTCTAACAAACTCGGTAAGTTCAGGTTCATAATTTATTCGTTTAAATTCAATATCTGCCAATTCCAGGCGACGAGCAATAAATCTGTGAGAATTAATTTTGGCTCTACTCCAGTTTATGCGTCCAATCGACTTTTATGAGTCCAATGAAAGTTTATGCGTCCAATAAAAAGAAAATTGGATTTTTCTTGGTATTGCACAGTTGGGGTATGGTTCCACAACATTTCTTCATGTTCGGGACTTACGCCTACTGGGTCTGGGACCGCTCCTTACCCTATCGCTCGAAATTTCTTAAAGTTACAATCGTTTTTCTGAGATTTTTAAAAATTGGCTATAACTTTCAGAAATTTCGAGAAATAGGGCAAGGAATGGCCCCTGACCCAGTGGGCGTAGGTCCCGAACATGAATAAATGTTTTGGAACCACACCCCAACTGTGCAATACCAAGAAAAATCCAATTTTCTTTTTATTGGACGCATAAACTTTCATTGGACGCATAAAAGTCGATTGGACGCATAAACTGGAGTAGAGCCTTAATTTTTTCTAATAGTATGTTAAGAATTAAATACTTCCGGAAATAATATTTCCGGAAAAACACTATGGTAAATAAAAATATAGCTATGTAATATTATATAGAAATTTCCGGAGGTGTAATATAAAAAGTTTCCGGAAATTATAATTAGAAAAAATCCGGAAAGTAATATTAAGTTTCCGGAAAATAAAACATAAAAAATTCCGGAAATATAAAAGATTTCCGGAAATGTAAAAACAATTTCACAGAAATATAAAACCGGAAAAGATCCGGAAAGTAATAGAAAGTTTTCAGGAAAAAATGCAATAGCAAAACTTTCCGGAAAATAAAAATAATTTTCCGGAAAGTAATTAAAGTTTCCATGAAATAAATACAATAGAAAACTTTCCGGAAAATATAAAAAGTATCAGGAAATGTAAAAATATCTTTCCGGAAAGGAGGGGGGGTTATTTTACTTCGGAGAGTAAAATAAACTAGTTTCCGGAAAAGTAATATAAAATACTACTACTCCGGAAAACAACTACAAAATACAAAATCCTGCTTACCTTTTCCTCGCTTCAAAAGGAAAAGAACAAAGTATCCACTTAAAAAGGCTAATAATTGTGAGGATGAATAACAGTGAATACCAAATCCAAAGTAGAATAAAAAATTTCTCGATGAAGATATTAATAACCAAAACACATTGTACTGTATGCCTTTGAATGGCACCGAGTACTCTAACATCCATATCACAATAGGTAATTCTAGGGAAGTTTCCAGAATCGCTCCAAGCTGTTTTTATTTATTTTGGAGCTAAAACTGAATTTGTTCTTCAAAATGTGTGAGAAGTATACAGAGGGATAAACTTTCCGGAATAAATATATATTGTATTTTCCGGAAAGTAAAATAAACTAGTTTCCGGAAAAGTAATATAAAGTATACTTATAGCTTTCCGGAATTTGCAAACAATTAAATATAACATTCCGGAAAAGTATAGGCATATGCTAATTTATAGATGAAACATTCCGGAAATGTATAGACACAAAAAAATACAAAATCTTTCCGGAATTAGAATACTATTGTATTTTCCGGAAGGTTGTTTTAACAATTTAAAGAACAAATTCATTTTATGCTACAAAAGTTTCTATTGCTTCAGTATTAAATATAAAAATTCACCCCTTCCGGAAATCAAGTCTTCCAACACACCAAAACCATAATAACGATAATTGCTTGTTTGAAGAAACCAATTCATTAAAAACATCTATTTTAGGGGTAAAATAAGCCGAAGATCTCTTAGTCAATTACCTGCATTGAAACATTAGCTAGAAACAAAGTTTTTATTCCAATATAAAGAAAAGTTAAGTAAGCTTCATAATAACGAAGATTCAAGGCTCTCCTCAATTTGTGGTGATGAGGATGGTGTTTGCCACTAAAACGAAATCTGTGTCGAAAAACGGAACCTAAGTGAGCTGACATTCCCTGAACGAAAGTAAAGTTACTGGAAAAAAATTTTTTGAAGCATGATTCAGAAGCATAATTTGTGAAACATTTATTGGAAGCATGAAGCTTCTGAAGCTTGCTTCAAAGACAAAATTTGCTTAAAAAACAAAACTGAAGCAAGTTTCAGACCTACAAAAACATTGTTTCAGAAAAATATTTTGAAGCATAAATATGAAACATGCTTCTAATTTCAATGAAAAAATTTTCTGAAGCATTTTCTTATGCTCACCTTAACATTAGCTTCTCTCAGTTCTTAATATAAAATTCAAAATTAAATTTAAGAAAAAATTCAAAAATTACTTGGCTGAATGTTAGAACGATCATTAGCAAAGGCAACAATGTCTTTAATTCGAATACCGCTTTTTGTGTATAGGGCGCGCCAGACAAGGCATGGGGAGTAGAAAAGAAAGGCACATATTACTATAAGATATTTTTAATTTCTGAAGCAAATTTGTGAAGCATGCTTCAGGGTATACTCTAAGGCTTGCTTCTGAAATATGCTTAGCATTTATATCAAAAACTTGCTTCAGAATATTTGAAACTTGCTTCAGAAAGAGGATTAGAAGCTTCAGAAAGATTATTAGAAGCATCTTTCTGAAACTTGAAGCATCCCTTGAAGCATGTTGAACAAACTTGAAGCAAGTTCTTGAAGCATGCCTAGAAGCTTTTAGAAGCATGTTTCTAAAGCTTGCTACATAAGTTAACTTAAATTTTATCCTAAAATTATCCCTCTTTCCTCTTCCTTTATCCTTTACTCGCCCCAAATTCTCTCCTAAAACAAAAAAACTGTCAGTCACGTTTCTAGGATTTATTGCCGCGCACATTTCCCTTTTATTTTGTTCAATGTCAGCAGTAAATCTTTTTTGGTGTTTTTATGATTATAGGGTTATTATAATAATAATGGATTGTTAAAAGAATTTTTTGAAGTCCAAAAAGGAGTGAAAAACGGATTAGTTTCTCCTTCTTCACACCCTTCCCTCCCCTCCTCTTCCTCTCCTCCCTCCCCTCCCTCCTCCCCTCCTCCTCCCTCCCCCGGCTCCCTCTCCCTCCCTTAGTTCCTCTATCGTTTCCTCCCAAAAACTCATCGACCCCACATACTTTTGAAAAATGCAAATCCAATTCGGAATGCCTTCCATTCATCATTTCAAGCCAAAGAAAGTCAAAGGAAGACAAAAAGGATTTTTGATAGCGGATATTTCCTTTTTATTTTGAGGCGCGCAAATGGGGAAGAATTCTTTCTTTGGTTTTTGGATATGTATACGATCGGTTTGTGGTTCTTTGTTTTGTTTGAACTGTTTTTGATTTTAAAAACAGATAAAAATTTCTTGATGGACACTATTTTAATTCGGATATATTCAAATTTAAATTTATGGGGCAATTAAGGGGGCAAAAGGTCACCAGAGTCCTGATACCAGAAAACAGGGACAATAGGTAGGGCCTAGCTCTAACTACTTTTTTCTAAAATTTGTTTTATTTTTGTCATCCTAAAAATTGATTCTCGAATTATTCCAAGTTTATATGGAGCGAGTCGAGAATTTAATTGTAAAACCTATTGTACCGTCAACACAGGAACACGGTTTACATTAAGCCAAATAACTCATGAAAGAATTGATAAATTTAATGATTTTGGTATCATTCGATAGAGAATTAAATTTTCTACAAGATAAAATTAAAAATAGAATTTTAGAGCAAAGCAAAATTAAAATAAAATCAAAAAACTTACCCCAAAAAATATTTTTTGGGGTTAGAATAATTAGATTTTAGACCACAACTTTTTTTCTAATTTACAAATAATTTTAATTTAAGCTGTATTTGATAGATAATTTTATGCTCTATCGAATGGTACAAATTTCATACCGATCGGTTCACTAGTTTTTGAGATACTATTAAAAAAGTGACCCTACCCCTTCTTAGTGCTTACTCAAACCATCCCCCTTTAAAAAAATATTTTTTCTAAACAGATTAATTTTTATATCTAAAATCCTTGGTTTCCTCCTTTCATTGTTGCCTTTTTCATCCTCTCAATAATGCCACACAGCATGTAAAAAAATAAAATTAAAAGGGAGGCGACAAAATATGTGTGTATGTTCGCATGCGCGAGGTCCGCCCATTCATTAGCATTTAGTAAATGTCCCTAATAAAAATCAGAACAATGCGAATAAAAAAATAAAAAGAGAGTTAATGTACCTTTAATAAATACAATATTTTTTATTTTATTTTTTCCATAATTATTTAAAAAAAATTTTTTCTTCCCAAAAATAGGCTTATTTTTGCCTATTTTTAGCCTATTTAATTAATTAAAAAATCAGAATAAAATCAGAATAAAAATCAGAAACTTCAGAAAATATTCTGATTTTTATTCTGATTTTTTCAGATCAGAAAATCAGAATAAAAATATGAAAAATAATAATTCATCAATTAATTCCACTACCAATTTATTAATTAAAAAGGAGTCGAGGAGAATGAAGGCTAATAGCCGTGAAAGAAATAGAATGCATGGATTGAATAAAGCTATGGATAAATTGAGGGTATTTTAATTAATTTAAATTCATTTTTAAATTAATAAAAAAATTTTCCATCCCCTCTTTTCCTAATTTAATTTTTTAATTCCCCCAAAAATTAATTTTTTTATTTATTAAATACAGTATCCCCCCACAACTCATTCTTTCCCTCTCTCAATTAATTTATTAAATTCTCTCTCCTTTAATTAAATTAATTAAATTAATTACAAGCCCCAACATTCACATCTACATACTCTCAACCTTATCCCTTTAAAATAAATTTTCTAAAATGACCCAAATTAAATTTTAAAATTTAAAATAATTTTTTAATTAAATTATAGCTAAAAGTTCCTCTTTTTTGTAACGAAGCAAGGCAGAAACTTTCAAAAATTGAGACGTTGCGAATTGCGAGGTGAGCTAACCCGTTTCTAAAAAATTTAAAAAATCCGAGGGGGCTTACGGGAAATATTTTTTATTTTCTGTGGCAACTCAACAATTATTTATGAATTAAAAAACTAAAATATTTTCCCAAACAAATCCAGAAAACCCCTCTTAAGGATTACTTGCACTTGAAAAAGTGAGTAAACTTTGAGGGGGAAGGTTGAAGTTGAGCAATTTTTATTTGGAAAAAAATAGAAAAAATATTTTCATAAACCTCTTAAGAATAAAAAGGAAGAGAATAAGTGTCCAGAAAACAAGGCCAAAACATTTTTAAACAAAAGATTTTATTTTTTGTTTGTTTAAGAGAGAGGATTTATGAAGCGCGACCAACTAGGCGTTAGTGCTTATAACTTTTGAACCAGTAAACTTTTCGAACTAATTTTGGTGCCGTTCGATAGAGATTTAAATTCTCTACAAGATAGGATTTAAAATAAAATTTAAGATGGATAGGAAAAAAAGTTAGAGGCAAAAAACTGCCTGATATCCATGAAAAAGGTCGATTTTTGTAGGATTTTTAGCCCATAACTTTTTCTCCTGTTAACCCAAAATTTTGTTTTTTAAGTTTTTTGTAGGAAATTTCAAGCTCTATCGAATGCTATAAAATTTATAAAAATCGGTTTAGGGGTTCATAAGATATAGAGCCTAATAATCTTCCAGTCCTGCATCATACTATCCCCTCAATATTTATTTAAATTTGCTCAGAAAAGGAAGCAAACACTCAATCTCTATCCATTACAAAATCAGGCACATTTGCCCAGCCAATTTTGTGTAAAAAATTTATAATTGGGTCCTATCATTTTTCCATTGCTCAATTTTTTGAATTTAATAATTAGCGATATTATAGGAGAATAATGGAAAAATGAGTAGAGATGGGTTGAAAATATGCCAAAAATTCCCAAAAAAATTCCCAAAAAAATTTCCAAATTTTTTCTTCAGAAACTACATAATCGCCCTAAACCGAATGGCAACATACGGCCATTTAATGACCAAAATCGACTTTGCCTGGCATTTAAGTTTGGGCCTAAGCCAAACAACAGTAAACCAAATAGCAACGTTTTTGGATGTTTCTCCTTTATTATTGGCTAATAAAATTAAAAATTGTTGCAATTTTGAAGAATGGGAGGAAACCAAAAAATATGAAAAAATGGAGATTGAAGGAATTTGGAATGGAGAAAATGGGCAAGTTGAGAGGATGAAAAATGATATAATTATGGATAATAATGATAATGATTATTTTTGAGTTTAATTTAATTAATTTTGAGAATAAAAATTTTTTTCTAAATTTTTGAGACCATTTAGAAACCTATAGGTACGGGTTGGTTCATGAAATTTAAAATAGAGAATAAAATTATGGGGTCATATCTGCTATTATTTTTCGGAAAGCTGACGACTTAATACTATCAGACCCTCAGTGTTTAAATAACGGAAGAAAATTAAAAATGGAAGCGGAAGGAAGGGAGAAGATTGGAAGAGAGAAGAAGCCTCCATTCACAAAAAATTGGTCAAAAATACTTAGGTAGAGGTATTCCCTCAGCTTTTTTAAATTTTCTTTCAATTTTTAATTTCAAAGATTTAAAAATTTAATTTACCAAGAAAGAAAGGTGTCCATTGATAGTAGCTAATCATATTTTTTTCACGCACTTCACTTTCATCGGGTATTTGTTTATCGAAGGGAGTAAAGTATGTGTTCATCGAGAAGCAATATATCTCTGAAATAATTTATTTTTTGAGTACCAGAATTTTAATTAATTCGAAAACACAAAAATTCTATTTGTGTTTTTCTTATAATTATTTCTGATTTTTGTATTTTTAAATGTCTAATAAAAATAATTAGAGAGAAATACAAAAATCAGAATTTTTGTTTTAAAAATAATCAGAATCAAAAATACATTAATCAGATTTTAATATAAATCGAAAATACAAAAATCAGAATTATGAAAAAATACAAAATCAGAATCATGGAAAAACACAAAAATCAGAAAATAAAAACAGAATTTATTTAAAATATCCGAATTTTAATAAATCAGAATTTAATTTTTTACCGGTATATTCCTGCCATGAAGATTGGTATTCTGCGGGCATCCAACACTGACAAAAAATTTTTTTCCTAATTTTAAATTAATTACTAGTACCTCAATAGGTCTTCCACCATACATTTTTAGACTTATTAAAACCGATGTGACCAACAAAAAGGTTGTTGTATAGTAATAGTGTAAGCGGTCAGTCATATCATCATCGGCTTAAAAATCAGAGAAATTAATTTAAAAAAATATTTTCTGAATTTTCTGACTTTTTCAGAATTTCTCTGATTTTCAGAAAATTTTTAAAAAATATTTTTTCATTAAAAAATTTAATTAAGCACCTTGTGGCTGAAGAAAAGAGAGGGTGCCGACAACCTCAGAAAAGACCATCCTAAATAAATTTTAAAAATTAATTTAAAAATCAGAATATTTATTTTTAATTTAATATTTAATTAAACTAACTGAATAAATTTTATAAATTATTCAAAAATTAATTTTTGATTTGAAAATTAAAAAATAATTCGTTCTCGTTATTCTAAGGGGAAGAAAATTAATTAAGTTCAAATTAAAAACAAGAATTATTATTCTGAAAATTTTAAAATGAAAAAATACAAAGATCAGAATTTAATAAAAGAAAAAACACAAAATCAGAACAAAAACACAAAAATCAGAATTAATAAAAGAATTAAAACCTATTTCCGAAAATACAAGAATCAGAATTTAATATTTAAATCTAATAGGAAAATACAGAAAATCAGAATAAAAATAATAAACTTAGTGAAAACACAAAAAAACACAAAAACCAGAATTTAGTTAAAAATAAACTTAATAGGAAAATACAAAAATCAGAATTAATAAGAAAATCAACTTAACGAAAATACAGAAAACTAGAATTAAAACCTATTCTGAAAAATACACAAATCGAAATTTCTCCTAAATAACTAAAATACAAAAACACAAAACTTGTTTGTATTTTAGTATTTTTTTGTGTTTTTCTTTTAATTTGCTCATATATGTCAAACCGCATTATGAAGATTGCCAGGTTGGAATTTGTAACACCGTTCAACTTTTTTGTATTTTTGTTTAAAAACACATTAATTCTTCCTCTTTTCACTCTCCTCCAATTTTGTGAACGTGACAGTTTTATTTTTTTTTAATTTTATTTTAAAGTTATTCGAGAAATAAATATTTTTTATTGATTTTGGGAGGAAATATTTGGAAAAATATTGAATAATTTATTTTTTTTTTGGATTTTTAATGTTATTACAAGGTAAATACATGTATTGAGGGAAGGAAGATTTTTTATCCGAAAAAATATAAGGAAGAAGAAATTTTTTTTTGTACAGGTGGAAAAATATTAACAATAAATCATATAAAAATAATAACTAGAACAATTTATTTATTTAATTTATGTATTTCTTAAAATTGTTTATAAGGAAAAACAAAAATGTGAAACACTTACGTTTAAGTTTACTACATCAGAATTAAATTTAAAAATACAAGTTCTGATCCAAAACACAAAAATCAGAATTAATGTATTTTAAAACTTGAGTCAATATACATAAATAAAAATCAGAATTTATTTGTAAAGAAAAACACATAAAACAGAATTTTTGTGTTTTTGTAAAATACAAAAATCAGAATTAAAAAATACACAATTACAAAGATCAGAATTTTTATTTTTGTAAAATACAAAAATCAGAATTTTTGTATTTTAAATATGCTGAATATTTTTTAAAAATACAAAAATACAATCCCAATCAGAATTCTTAATTAAAAATACAATAATCAGAAATACAAAAATACAATAATACAAAAACCAGAATTTAATTAATTTTAAAATACAAAAATCAGAATTTATTTGGCTGGAGGAGTAAGCCTACCCCTATAGATTATCCAAAAATTAATTTTCTAAAAATTTTAAAAAATTAAAAAAATTTTTTTCACCTCAAATTTTTTCAAAACTATGTAGAACACAGCAAAAAATAATAATAAATTCTAAAAAAGATTAATAATAAAAAAATATTTTTTTAGCGCTAAACGAGCTTTTTGACACCTCAAAAATTTAAAAATAAAAATAAAATTTCTGATTCACTTTCACCGAAAAATAAATAAAGTTGTAAAAATACAGAAAAGCACGCGCCAAATTTTATTATTTTATATATTTTTGACAAAAATCACAATTTTATTTTTCTAAGCAATTTTTATGGGGGAAATACATACTTCGCCTTATATAAAGTTGGTGTTTAAATTTGTCTTTTCAGAAAAATTTTTAAATAAAAATTTTTTTCCACTAAAAATAATTTTTTCTATTTAATTTCTTGAAATATTTAGAGAGGTGAAAAATGCAAATAAAAAAAGTTTTTGATTTTTGATTTTTCTCGTTAAAATAATTTATGTATGCAAATGCTTTTTTAACACCTTAGTGATGTGATTGATAGTAGAAGACTCCATAGTTTCCTGACCAAAAATGTGAAACTTTTATGCTGAAACCTTTTAACGGGGTTATTTTAGGGAGAAAAAAGTTGGCTAGAATTAAAATTAGAATAATTTTTTTTAATTTTTTTTAATTTTGAGGGAGGGAATAAACCTCGTGGAATTGAGGGAAGGATCAGAACAGAGAACCGAAAAAGTAAGTGTCCCATGATGTCAAGGGCCGGGGACTGGTGAAAATGACAAGGATAGAGGACTGGTGACAAACTTAAATCGAGAGGAGGGGATCTAATATTTAATATTATATGGGGCTATATTTTGTGAGGAACCTGATACATGACTGAAGGATTTAAAAGAAAAATTAAAATAAAAATTTAAAAAAAAATTTTTATTCAAGGCTATTTAAAATAAATGAGAATATTTCTTGTTTTATAGGGTAATTAATTTTCCAGTTTTTTCTTTAAAAAAATTAAATATTGGGAGAGAAATTAAAATAAGTAAAAGTATGTGCCCTATAAATTTTCAAATAAATATTTAAAATGAGAAATCAAAATTTAAAAATAAATAGGTGAATTGGGAAGATAAAAAAATTTACTTAAAAATGCTCTATGGGGGTATGTGTGTTTGTAATAATTAGGGATGGGATTTATATGGATTTCCATATTTTTTTCCTGGCCTAGTTGGGTCGTGAAACGCACGAAAAACGTTGTTTTAGCATATGTTGATAAGACCGATAATGAGTTATCAATCCATATTTTCCATATTTTTCCATATTTTGGCGTTCCGTCCATATTTCCATATTTTATCCATATTTCGTCATTTTTTGTAAAATTTTGCCAAAAAACGGTCAAAATTTTGGAAATTTTGCCAAAAATTGGTCAAAATTTTCAAATTTTGGAATTTTTTTGTCAGAAAAAAAAAAATTTTTTTTTGAAAAAATTTTAAAAAATTTTTGAAAAAATTCAAAAAAAATTTTTGGCAAAAATTTTTCGAAAAATTTTTTTGATCAGCTATTATTAAAATTATTTCCCCGGGAAACACTTTAAATCTACCTTTAATTGACAAAAAGCCTCTAGAAAACACATTAAATGAACAAAATTAAATTATTTATTTGTGAAAATTCATTTTTACGTTAAAAATTTTCATTTTTCGGTCCATATTTGATCCATATTTTGGATTTTAGTCCATATTTCAGTCCATATTTTGAGATTTTTAGTCCATATTATATGTCCATATTTTTCGATTGATAGTCCATATAAATCCCATCCCTAGTAATAATTATTTTTTATTATTTTCTAAATTTTTGTCTCACCTTCAATTTTCTGTTGTTTCTGTTTTTCTAAACGTCGCCTTCTCTTCTGCTCATTTCTTATTTTCCTCAATTTTTTATTCAACCTCTTCCCGATTTTTTTAAATTTAAAAATGACTTCCTCGGGTATTTGTATATTTTTGAGTCTTTTAAATATGTAATTTTTGTTGTCGAGTTTCTAAATTTTTTTTTAAAATTAATTTTTAAACGATAAAAGGGTCCCTTGCCTTTTTATCATTCTTCAGTCTATTAATTTCATATTTTTTAATTAAATTATAGCAACAAGCAAGAAGTTCGTTGCGATGTATCCAATTATGTTTGTCATATCCTTTCCATTTTACCTTGAAAAAAATTTTTTTTCAAAAATTCCAAGACTTGTAAATTTTTAAAAAATTTTTAATAAAAAAAATTTTCGAAAATTTTTTTTGGAAATTTCCAGAATTTCCAAAAAAAAATTCAAATTTTTTTTTAAATTTTCCATAAAAATTTTTTCTTCCCCTCCTACCATATATTCAATTTCTTTTGCCGACCGATGTCGATTTGTAATACACTCAACTTCAAATTGAACAGATTCTGTTGCTTTTTTAAAGCCTCTTTTTAAACTACGCTCAAACCTTTCAATTGCATTCTTGTTTCCCTAAAATAAAAAAAATTTTTCAATGAAAAATTTTTGAGAAATTTGTCAGAAAATTTTTCAAAAAAAATTTTTGGAGCGAATCAAAAGCCTCCAACCGAATACAACCGTTGGGCGAGACCATTGAGACTAATATTCAGGGACCAGTCCCAATTAAATGGTTTCAGATCCAAGAAACAATAGAAACAATTAAAAGTTCTCTTCGGGAAGAAAGGATTTGGATCAGGATCGCTTTCTACCAACCCCAACGGGAAACGGCAGCTTTTTAAATTCGCCTCAAAAATGAGGTGGATTTACAATTTATTTATAGAGTGGAAATATTTATTTAAATACTAAATGGGTTGTAAACGAGGAGGGGAGAGAGTTAGGGTTAAGAAGGGTGAGCAAATATAAACTTACTCTAATTTATAATAAGTTTACAATTCAGAATAAGTAAGTTTATTAATTATTTTACCAAGTTTGTAAACTTGAAAAAATTAAACTTATTTTAAATAAAGTTTTCAAGTTTGTTAGGTTTACAAACTTAGAATAATTATAAAAACTTGAATAAAAAAAACTTGAATAAATTTACAAACTTGAAAAATTTAAACTTATTATAAATAAACTTTTTTTGTCAAGTTTGCAAACTTAAAACATTAAAAACTTGAAAACAAACTTGAAATAATTTAATTAAAGTTTAACAAGTTTACAAACCTAAGTATCTTATTTGCAACTTAATTTACAAATTATATGCTTAAATAAACTTTTTTCCTCGGCAATTTTTTAAGTTTATAAAAACCCACCAAAGAAAGTTTATCCTCCCAACTCTGAATTTTTTCATTCCCTTCAGTATACACTCTAGTTGAGTTTTTAGGCCATTCAAGCAAATAAGAATTTGGTTGGCCAGAGTTTCCTCTATCCAATTTTGAAATAACTTTGATTGCTTCAACGACACGGATATTTTTATTAATTATTATTCCTTCTCCACCTTTAGGTAATTGTTGATCATTAACAGAATCAAATTGAGATAATAGAGATTCATATTTTGGTAGGAGATAGTGCCTTAAAAGAGAAAATTGGAGTTATAGAAATTAATTGTAATATGTAAACTAGAAAATAAGGGGAAGTTGGTAATTATTTTAATAAACATGAAAGAATTAAGTTTGTAAACTTAAAAATTATTTTTTTAGGTTTACCAACCTTTTCTAAGTTTACCAACTTTTTTTAAGTTTACCAACTTTTTTTAAGTTTACCAACTTTTTCTAAGTTTACCAACTTTTTTTTAAGTTTACCAACTTTTTTTTAATTTTACCAACTTTTTATTAAGTTTACCAACTTAGAAAAAGTTGCAATTGTATTTAAAACTTAAAAAATTAGTCAAGTTTGTAAACTACAATTTTAAAACTTTTTACAAATCAAAATATGTAATTTGTAAATATTTTAGAAATCAGAATAAATGATTTATTAATATTGTACAAATCAAAACAGGTTTATTTTCTAAACAGAATTCTGATTTTTCAAACTTTTACCTTTTCTCCCAAGTCGGCTCCTTCCACCCTACCCATCGAACTAAATAAATATCTGTGCCCAATGTTCTATCCAATATAGCCTCAACTTCATATTCAGTCAAATCCTCTGCAAGTTTTTTATCTTCTAAAAGTTTCTGTTCAAACTCTCCAATTAATTTGACAATATAAGGTCTAGCTTTCCCTTTTTGTATCCATTGTTGAGAAGTAACTACTTTAGTTGGAAAGCGCTGTTCAAATATAACCAAATAAAAAGCTGGACGGTCTTCGTATAAAAGTTGTTTAACTACTTGAATTGCCCTCTTTTTTGGAATGGGAGTTTTTGGTTCTATAATAAATTAATTTTACAAATTGTAAAAAAGGTTGGACAAGTTTTGTCTAAAACTTGAAGGTTTAAACTTTAATTTAATTAATTCAAGTTTGTAAACTTGAAAAAGTTGCTAATAAAAATAGGCTTTCAATTTCTGGTTTTATAAAAATTAATTTTACAATTTGTAAAAAGGTTTAAAAAAGGTTGGACAAGTTAATTTAATTATAACCTAAATTTTAAATAATTCAAGTTTGTAAACTTAAAAAAATTGTAATAATAAAATTACTAAAAACTTAAGTAAATCCAACTTTTTCAAGTTTGCAAGTTTATATTTAATTTTTAAAACTTTTAAGCTTTACTCAAGTTTGTAAACTTAAGAAGTATTAAAACAAGTTTGCAAACTATACCAAAAATATGTTCTTCTTGTTTAATGTTCCTTGTCGTTATTAATTGAGAATTTGAGCTTGAAGTAGACGTAGATGTTCCTTCATTTTGCCTTAATATTGGTGTCAAATTTGGCGCTTGAATATTTATTTTGTTAGGTGATAATTGAAGCACTGGTGTCAATTTAGGATTTGGTGTTAACTGTCGTTTACTGCTTGACCACAATCTCGGAAAAAGTTGTAAACAATTAATTTGTGATTTTGTAGGTGTAAAATTTACTTCTGGTTTGAAAGGGGAGATATTCTAAAAGTTGGGAAAAATTAAATAAATTTAAAAAATTAAATACAAGTTTACAAACTTGAAATTTTAAAACTGGGAAAAGTTGTATTTTTAAAACTTGGAAAATATGTTTATTCAAGTTTGCAAACTTGGAAGTTGTAATTACTTTAAAAACTTGAAAATAAAAAGTTTGTGAACTTGGAAAAGTTTTATTTATTTAAAAACTTGATAATAAAGTTTATTCAAGGTTCACTTAAGTTTGTAAACTTGGAAAAGTTGAATTATTTTTAAAACTTTTATTTAAACAAGTTTGTAAACTTGAAATTCTAAAACTTGGAAGTTAAATTGTAAAACTCCTAGAAAATGCTTATTTAAGTTTGTAAACTTTAAAAAGTTTAATTATTTTAAAAACTTGGAAATATTCAAGTTTGAACTTAAAAACCTTAAAAAATACTTCAACTTTAATTTAAGTCGTCAATTAATTCCCAAACTTAATTAAATGCTCAAACTCACGTCTAAATTATCGCCGAAACTATTATCTGCCAAAAACGAAAGTCCTTTAAGTTTGAATTGATCTGAATTATTTATTTTTGCTGTAATTTCATTACTAGACGTAAATTCGCTAGTAAATTCACTTCTATTAATATCCATTGAAAACAAATTTAACAAAGTTTAGTTGTAAAAAAATCTATGAAAAATAAGAAATATTTTTTTCCTATTGAGCATTAAAATTGATTGGTCAAATAAGTTGCATTTTTTATAAATGAGAAGATAAAATGAACGGAGGAGAAGAAAAACTATTAATTTATACATCGAACATCGTGCAACCTTAAACCCTATTGTGCAGGAGGGAATTTTGCGTTTGTGACGCTCACGCCGAAACAGGGTTGTGCCAAAACTGATCTTAGAAAGGCGAAAGATGAAGGATGAAAATGAGAAAATTGAAAGTGAAAGACGAAACAACAACAAACACAAAAATCGGCGAAAGGCGAAACTGGCACTCGTTCTGGGTAAGCAACTTTATCAGACAAAAAAAAACAGAAAAATAATTTTAAAAAATTTTTTTCGAAAAATAACGAAAAATAGATTAAAAATTATACATTTAAATATTTATTTACAAATATAAATAACAGCAAATATATACAAAAAAATTTAAAAATAATTTTTACGAAAGTACACTAGGAGAAAGAACGGAAGCCATAAGAGCTGATTCAGTCAATACTTCAGGAGATCCAACAGTGGGAGAGAGAATTCCACCACCCAGAACCTTCGAAATAAAAATAAAAAATATTTATATTTTTTATTATACCTGTGGAGAAAGTATGTCAGGACTGAGAACCTAGAAAATAGAAATTAATTTAAATTAAGTTTCAAATTCGATTTTTCATGTTTTAAGTTTTCAAGAATAAGGTTAAGCTAGCATTCCAAGTTGTAAACCTCATTATTATATTTAATCAAGTTTGCAAACTTTAATTCATTTTACAATGTTTAAAACTTGAATAAAATAAACTTGAATATTTTTTAAGTTTACAAACTTGGAAACTTGAGAGAATATTTATTCAAGTTTGCAAACTTTAATTTTACAATTTTCAAGTTTTAAAGATTAAATACCTTATTTACTCGATTAATTCCCTTGGTGAATTATTTTTTCAACCCATCCGTGGCATGGGTACTTATTCAAGGGAGGGGAATTAATCGAGTAAATACTGTAAGCTTGTTAAGTTTACAAATATTAATTAAATATTCTCCCCAAGTTTGCAAACTAGCTTATTCAAAGCTTTAATAGCCCTCTCTATTAATAAGTAATTTTATATATTTCTACAAGTTTGAATGTCTATATAAAAATATAAAAAAATTACATTAGGACTTAGAATCAATGGAGACAGTGCATACGGATTTAATATATTAGGTGATAGAACGTAAGGAGTTAACTATAAAAATTAAGATTACAAACTTAAAATCTTCAAACTTACAATAAAAGGTGTTAAAGCCATTGGAGAGAGAATAAAAGGGCCTAAAACAAAAGGAGAAAGGATAAACGGCATAGGAGCTCCAGGCGATAGCACAAAAGGGCTGAGGACGGAAGGAGCCAAAATTTGAGGAGCAAAAATGCTTGGTGATAAAATGAGAGGGCCTAGAACTGAGAGACTGAAAAAAATAATTTTTGAAGCTAATCAAGCTTATAAATTACCCCATAGTTGGAGTGAACATGAAAGGGGCTAGAATCACAGGCTGTCCAACTTCAACACCCGCCTGTCTTTTAAAACGGAATTTTCCCCTGTACAATTTTTCAATTTTTCTCCTCCTCCTTTCATCCAATTTATCGGCATATTCCTTGAAGAAACAAATTTTAAATTTAAAAAATTTCTCAAAAATACATCAGGAATGTTCCTCGCTATTCTTTCAATCCGTTTCCATAAAGCCTGTTCTCTCCCTATCCTGTCCAACTGAGAAAATCGTTCAGTCTCTTTCCTCAACTCTTCGGGGAAGTCTGCATCTATTTTAGGATTTTTTTAATTTTTAAAAATTTTCAACAAATTTTTACGTTGCTCTTTGCATAACTGGTCGAATTGACGATGGTCAAGAAATGTCCACCCTCTACTATCTATATCATATTTTTGTTCGTTGTCAAAGGAACGCTCAACTTTTTTGTAGGCATTAATAATCTTTTTGTTTGCCTCCCTAAAGTCTGGTTCAATTTCTAGTAGAAAAGAAAACGTTAAGTTAACAAGCTCTAATGAAACTTCTTCTAAAAAATTTGTTTTGAATACATTTTCAAGCTTATAACTTTAATAATTAAGCGTGCAACATAAGGTTTTAAGTTATCAAGTTCCAACTTTAAGTTTAAGCTTATAAACTTAAATAAACTTTTTCAAGTTTGTACTTTTCAAGTTTTTAAGTTTATAAGCTTAAGTTTAAGTTTATAAAATAAAATAAACTTTTTCAAGTTTGAATTTTTAAGTTTTAAAGTTTCAACTTTAAATTTTAAGCTTAAAAACTTAAATAAACTTTTTCAAGTTTGTACTTTCTAAGTTTAGTTTATAAACTTGAATAGAACTTTTTAAGCATAAAATAAGTTTACAAACTTAAACAAAAAACTTTTTCTAACCGAAAAAGTTGAGAGATTTAAGCAACTCAATCGCTTCCTTAACATGTCCAATACTTCCAGAGAGCTGCATCAACATTTGTAGCAATGCTTGTCTATCTCCCGATTTTAATCCTGAAGCTCTTAACACCTAGTAGAATTTATAAAATAATCAGCTAATTAGGAAGACATTAAATACTTTTGGAAGAGAATCTGCAGTTTTTAATAGATTTCCTTCTTTATCCCCATTAATTTCTTCATTTTCCTCATTTTCGTATAATGCAAATATTGTAGGGGAAAATAAAGATTTTTTATTAGCTCCATCGGGCATTAGAGGTGCAAATCTTGGACTCATAAATTTAAAGTTTGTAGTTTCACTTTTATTGTTTGAGCCAGGTTGAGTTAATTTATTAAATAGAGATATGCCCATTTTTAGAAGACCTTGTGGACTTTCCTATATTTAAAAATTAAATGTTTAATTATTTAAGTTTGCGAAAAGTTTCAAGTTTGTTAATAATTAAACTTTACAAGCTTAAATACACCTTTGAATTTTATAAAACTTGAGCACTTTACAAACTTAAATTAACCATTTTCAAGTTTATAAACTTGAATATAATATGTAAGTATAAAATAAAGTTCCAACTTTTTCTTAAGTTTACAACCTATTTTTCCAACCTTTTTAAGTTCATAAACTTGAACTTTGTATACTTTGCAACTTTTCCAAGTTTACAAACTTTAATTTTCATTTTCAAGTTTATAAACTTGAATAAAAATAATATACTAGTTTTTCCAACTTTTCCAAGTTTGCAAACTTGAATACTTATCTAATCTAAAACCGTTTTTAAGTTTGTTTATTTATTTGAAACTTAATATTTTTCAACACCCAATTAACCTTTCCACCAAAAATTAATCCCTCACCTGTTCAACCTGACTCATTGAAGGTTCATCCCTTCCCAGAACCAAATCATACATTCTCATATTATAAGCACCTATTTATTTTATTAAAAAATAATTTTTTGATTAAATTTAAATCAAACGAGCTCCAGGCGATTTTCTTTTTTTATCATTCTCACGTTTTAACTGAACCAAAAACTCGTACATTTTTGTCCATTTAATATCCCCGTTGTTACTACCAGTATTATTGTTGTTATTATTAGGTGTTAAAGTTGATATTAAATTGGCAACCGAGAAAATAAAAAAAAATAATTTTTAAAAAATCAACGAATATTTTTAATTTATTTAAGACAAACCCTAACAATCGCTGACTGATCACCTCTACCTAATAACTTGTCAATATGTTCTTGTTGCTTGATCTGATAAGGAAAGAAATTTTATTCAAGTAAAATGTTGCTAGTATTAAGTTTTAAGTGTATAGTAAAAATAAACTTTTTTTAAGTTTACAAACTTTAATACTTTCAACATTACAAACTTGAATAGTAAAAGCTTGTCAAGTTTTAATAAAATTAAGTTTGCGCTTAAATATTCAAGTTTTTAAGCGTCCAACTTTTCTGCATAAATAAACTTTTTTAAGCAAACTTAAATACTTTTATCATTATAAACTTGAATAGTACAAGCTTGCTAAGTTTTAATAAATCTAAGTTTGCGCTTAAATATTCAAGTTTTTAAGTATAGCAACTTTTCTGCATAAATAAAACTTTTTCCAAGTTTACAAACTTGAATAATTTTAACGTCAAAACTTTAAGTTTGCACTTAAATTAAAAACCACTAATCATTAATTTTAAAAAATTCCTGCCTCGAAGTTGGGAAATCTTTCCAAATTTTCCCCTTCTCCTTTTCTATTGTCATCTCCGTGTCCATATCCCAAAAATCCTCCATTCCTCCTCTTTATGCTTGTTGTATTTTGCTTTTTTATTTTAATATTTTCAAAAAACATTCTACGTATTCTTTTTTGAAACATTTCTTTTCCAAAATTATTTTTAGTTTTATTGTAGTGTTTATTTAAATGTTGGTGATGTTGGAAAGTAAGTGTTTTGAAGCCTTGGTTATTTCTCTGAATATTTTAAGTTTTAAGTTTGCGAACGTTTTTTGCCAATTAATTATCTCATTTATTATTTGATATTTGTTTATTTCAAGTTTACAATCTTAAGTTTTGACCGATAATTAAATTCAAGTTTATTTAATTTTACAATCTTAAGTTTTCAAGTTTAATAAATTCAAGTTTATTTTTAATAAATTCAAGTTTATTTAATTTTACAATCTTAAGTTTTCAAGTTTAATAATTCAAGTTTATTTTTAATAAATTCAAGTTTATTTAATTTTACAATCTTAAGTTTTCAAGTTTAATAAATTCAAGTTTATTTTTAATAAATTCAAGTTTATTTAATTCACAATCTTAAGTTTAGCTGGGTTTACTTAATTTCACGTTTATTTAATTTACAACCTTATTTTTCAACTTATAAAAGTTTGTTTAAGTTTGCAATCTCGAAAATTAAAAAGTTGAGTATTACAAACTTGAAAACTTTATTAAAACTCATAGGTTTCTTAATACCTTATTTAATATTAAAAATTCACCTTCCATCTCATTTTGTAATTATTATCAACTTGATCAGTTATTAATCGTGCAAAATGCCTCCTCCTAGCATTAACTAAACAATTTGCTGCTACAACCAAATCCATTTTATCTTCTACTCTGTAAAGGCAATCTGCTAGTTGTTTTTGTTCTTCTAATTATTTTATGAGCCTTGGCAATTATTTAATCTAATTTAGTCACCTTTTGATAGTTTTTGGTAGAGTGTCCTTCCAAGACTACCCATTAAAGCCTTCAATCCAGTAGCAAACCAGTTAGCGTGAATATTCTTTACTAATTGAAAATTGCGTTCGTTTACACGCATTTTATCGAATTTCTCCAAGCCTAATAATTTTGAGTATTAAAATAATTAAGTTTAGTTTATTGACATTCTTTATCAGTTAAAAATTAAATTTTTGTTTGGGTTTTAAAATACTTACAAATCTGAATTTTAACCTAAGATGTCTACTTATACTAGAGAGGGTAATGGTAACACCAATTCGAAAACATATAAGTTAGCAACTAAAAGTCCAAAAATTCTGAAATTTTTATCTAAGGTAGATAACACTTCCTAGAATGTCTATGCAAACTTTCACAATTTTAGGTCTTAATCTAGTAATTTTATAAGCTACTACACTTACACCTTCACCTTCAATAACTTCACGGCCTAATAAATCGCCTATAGTTAACCAAAAATTCTGCAATTTTTAGAGTTGCTAGTTAACACTATAAAGAACATCTCTGCAAAATTTCATATTTTTAGGACTTAAATTGGCTTTTTTACAAGCCTAAATCCAGCCATAGTCGCCTACTTTGCCCTCACCCTTAACCAAGCGAAATTAAAAATTACCTTCCAATTTATTTAAATCACTACAATAAAAATGTCCAAATAAATTTAAAAAGTGTATCAAATAAAAAATAATGCAAGTTTTAAACATTTTAAATTTTATTTTGAATTTTTACTTCAAGGGGAATCATTGTAAACACAAGTAAATCATGTCTAGTTTATTTAAACTTTAACCAAGTTTATTTATATATTAAAATTTATTCAGCATTAAAATTCTTGTTTTAATATATTCCAAATATTAATAATCCTATAATAATCTTTTTTCTCTCTTTTAAATTTATTTTTGAACCTTTTTAAAAAATTTGGGGGAGAAAAGTAGGTCATTTTGGGGAACATTTTTCTCCCTCTCATTCTTCCCCATTTTCCCTCTTTCACTTTTTTTGGAATTTATTAAAAATTTTTAAATATTTTTATACCAATTCCTCTTTAATCTACTTGTTCTTCTTCTATTTTTGAGATAATCCCTCCCTTTCAACACCTTTTTTGCCGTTGCACTTTTCATAAATAGAATGATAATACGCGCTCCTCTCACCCTAATAAACAGGAAAAATAAAAAAATTCCTGATATGTAGGCTTTTATTATTTTTTGACATCCATTCTAGGCACTTGGATAATTATAAGAACATCTATAATTAACAATAGGACTGTTACCTTGTTGGAATTTATAAAGCTTGCCTTACAAACTTTTCAAGTTTGCAAACTTAAAGTTTATTAAACAAGTTTTATTTTCTAAATAAAGTTTTAAGTTTACCAACTTTTTTAAAACTTGTTTCAAACATTATGCTTAAGTTTACAAACTTGAATTTAAGTTTAGAAACTCATAAGAATATTACAACCTTTAATTAAATAAAAAATAAATTCAAGTTTGCAAACTTAAGCGTTTGAAACAAGTTTTAAAAAAGTTGGTAAACTTAAAACTTTATTCAGAGAATAAAACTTGTTTAATAAACTTTAAGTTTGCAAACTTGAAAAGTTTATAAGCCAAGTTCAGAAACTTATAAGAATATTAAAACTTGAATATTACAAACTTGAATTAAATAAAATTTATTTTCCAAGTACTGTATAATTTAATAATCAAGTTGGATTTATTGCTATTAAGATTCAGTCAAAAATAATTTTTCATTAAATAATTAATTAAATTAATATTCAAACTCCACATCTAGCTGTATGCACAGTATTAAGTAACCCATATCCTCCATTTTTACAAAAATCTTCGGGGTCATCAGACTCCAACGATTTTAGAAGAACGCCTCCAAGACGGCGTTGTAAGGCGTATTGGACCTAAAAAATTTTTTTTTAATTTCCAAAATATCCCTCAACCTTATATTTAATAGTTTGTTCATTTTCTCCACTCAACCACTCTTCACCCGTCTTCCAATAAGAAGTAACAGCATCGTATCTTGTGTGGTGTTGAACACCCGGTTTTCTAATGAATTGGCAAACCTATCGGGATTTTTAAAAAATTAAAAAAAAAGTTTCCTCTCAACCTCCTTTTGTGTAACAATTAAAGGCTCTGCTTTTTCCTCCTCACGCTTTTGCAAAATTGCAAAGGTTGGTAATTCTAGTATAATCAAGTTGGATTTTATTTTGGCTTGTTCAAGTGTCAGAATTGTTGCACTCTTAAGTTTAATATATTTTTGTGTTTTCAAGTTTATTTTTTTTCAGAATTTATTTCAGAATTTCTTGTTTATTTTTATGTGTTTTCTTTGTGTTTTATACCAGAATTTATTCCAAGTTTATTTTTATCAAAATTTTATAAAATACATTTATTCTGATTTTTGTGTTTTTTCTTATTTTAAATTTATTTTAAATTCTGATTTTGTATTTTATTCTTATTTGTGTTTTGTTCTGATTTCCGAGTTTATTTTTAATTCAAGTTTTATTTTCATTATTAATTCTGGTTTTAATCTGGTTTCAAGTTTATTTATACATATTTATGCATTTGTATTTTTGTTCTGATTTTAATATTAATTCAAGTTTATTTTTTTGTATTTTCTTGTGTATTTTCTTTTTGTATTTTTTCAGGTTATTTTAAATTCTGATTTTTTGTATTTTTCTCTCCTTGTATTTTCTTTGTGTTTTCTGAATTTAATTTTCAAGTTTATTTAATTATTCTCCTGCCTGTGTATCAGTATTTTCCTGATTTGCAATACCCGATGGATACAAAGGATTTAAAACTTTAGCTTTAGCCTTGGAAAGTGCAATACTTGAAGGTAGCAAAATAAACTTGAGCTGTAATTTAATTAATTATTTAAATTTTTTTGTAATTTACCAATTTGTTTAATTGTTCAGGCTCATAAACCTCACTAATATTTTTACGAGAGAGTTGAATTCTGAAAAAAATATTTTTTTAATTTTAAAATTGTATTATGTATTTAATTTTCATATAATAATTATAAAAATTTTTTTTAATATCATAATTTTAAAAATTAATATCTAACGGGCCTTTTAGCGTCTTAAACCAGTCATAGTTTTTTGGTCATAACTTAATTTATACCGAACAAATAAATATGAAATTCTCAGATTAACTAGCTAACAGTCAAAGAAAGCTATCTGCCAAATTTCATAATTTTAACTACATTTTAAACAATTTTATGAATTTTTAAATAACGTTAGTATTTCTGACAAATGGTGAACACAGTCTATACTTTAGGCCATAACCTGATTTACACATTACCAAAACTTATGAAATTTTCAGATTAACTAGCTAATAGTCTGAAAAAGCTAACTGCCAAATTTCACAATTTTAGCTTAAATTTAGACATTTTTATAAATTCTCAAGTCAATCGACTTCTCTAAAAGGGCTCACTAATAATCCAGACCAATTTAAAAAAAAATTCACTTTAAAGCCAATCTAGGCATACAATCCATCAACTCATCCACTACATTCTTCTCATCTTCCTTTTCGTTATCCTTTTCAAATAATTCAGAATTTAATTCGTTTAAAAATTGACTAAAATCTCTGCGAAGAGGGGGGCGCATGAAATTGTCGCAGTCCAAAAGTAACTTTAAAAATAAAATTTTTTTAATTAAAAAAATTTTTTAAATTTAATTTTGAATCGTTAGGAGTCTAAAAAAATTAAAAAAATTTTATTCTATTAAAAAGCTTCCAACAAAATTACCCCAGACAATTGGTAGGTAGTCATAAGCTTGTTTAACGCAGCTACTGTTTTTTCCCGCTTTCGATCTGAAAAATTTTTTTCTTCCAAAAAAATCTAATTTCTACCATTAATTATTCTTTCCCACTGGGTTTGACTCATTTCACACCCAACTTCTCCCCACAAATTATTTTTTTCTTTTTTATTAGCTATTGAAACAATTTTCTCCAATTTTTCTTTATTTTCCTCTTTTTCAACAGTTTTTCCATGTTCATCTAATTTTGCCAAATTATTAATTAAAAATACATTGCATTGTTTCAATGGAAGTTTAGTTAACATCTGTGGGAATTTTATGGAATTTAAATTTGAAACAGGATTTTTATGCAGAAAAATGGAAAGAATATGCATATATATGCATATAAAATCTTAAAATGTCAAGGAATATGCGTGGAATGTCGAAATAGCATGAAAATATACTTCGAATATTTTCTCGGAAAATAAATCGAAATATGCAAAAAAATCGAATTATGCATTAAAATATGCATAAAATGTCAAGAAATGTGAAAAATGTCAATAATGCCAAAAATGTCAAAAAATATTTTAGAAAATAAAATAATAAAATTTACAAACATCAATTTCAACATTATCCAGAGAAAGGGAACAAAACACAGTAAAATTAGTTGTAAATTCTTCAAATTGTTGACAACGCAAAGTTTGATCGTTTGATATTTTCTTTGCTTTTAAACTTCAAATAAAACTTGTTTTTTACAATTGGAAATATTTTTGGCTCTTGTCCAGTTTATGCGTCCCATGAAAGTATATGCGTCCCATCAACAAAAAATTGGATATTTCTTGGTGTTGCAAAGTAGGGGTATGGTTCCAAAGCATTTCTTCATGTTCGGGATCTACGTCCACTGGGTCTGGGACCGTTCCTTACCTTATACCTCGAAATTTCTGTGTGTTAAAATCATTTTTCTGAAATTTTTAAAAATTGGCTATAACTTTCAGAAATTTCGAAGGATAGGGTAAGGAACGGTCCCAGACCCAGTGGACGTAGATCCCGAACATGAAGAAATGCTTTGGAACCATACCCCTACTTTGCAACACCAAGAAATATCCAATTTTTTGTTGATGGGACGCATATACTTTCATGGGACGCATAAACTGGACAAGAGCCATATTTTTAATTACTCTTTCTCCTCTTCAGTTAATTCGCCTTCTTCGTCATCAGAATTTTCTAGTAATTCAGAAGAAGAAGGATTCTGATTTTCCTTAGTTGTATTTTTATTGTTTGATTTTACAGAAGAAACATCGCAATTGTAACATGTCTGAATTATTTAATAAAAATCAGAATTTGTAAATTTAAAATTAAAAAATACAAATCAGAATTTGTAAAAAATACATATCAGAATAGAAAAATACAAATGAAAAACAAAAACCAGAATTTGTAAATCAGAATTTAAGAAAAATACATATCAGAATTTTCACAAATCAGAATTTGCAGAAAAATACAAATCAGAATTTTCACAAATCAGAATTTGTAAAATACAAGGTTTATTTTACAAAATACTTCTTTCCACCTCATTGCAATCTCAAGTTTTTGAAAATGAATTGTAATTTGTTTTTACAAAATCAGAATTTGTATTTTAAAAATACAAACAAAAATCAGAATTTGTAAAATTTTCTTTTTGCTCTATAATAATGAATTTTACCTGACTTTGCGCAATTGTTCTAAGCAAATGGAACGGTTCCCCTTCTGGACACTCCCCAGCAATATTGTCATGCTCAAGACCGTGAAGAGCAATTCCAGCAATGTTTTGAAGGGACAACCAAACAGTCTATTTAATTATTTTTTTTTAATTCCCCCACAAAATACCTTAATTTGTATAGAACGACTGTTATCAAAAGCAATAAATTCCCTATCATTATTTACTAGATAAGGAACGCCAAGTTCGTTTAGGAAATGTGAAATTGTGGTCGGTTCTTTCATTATTGTGCAAACCTTTTAATTTTTTATTTAAAAAATCAGAATTATATAGGACTTGTGTTTGTGAAACCACTCCCGGCCCATGAGCTCTTATTCTATTTTGGGAGATTGACGAAGCGGATTCGCCAATTCTTCTAGATTCCCAAGAACGAGTGCCATAAATATCCTCCACAAAGTGTTGAGACATAGCCTCTGCTGAGAGGGAAACGATTAACTGAAAAATTAGGAAAAACTCTATTTAATGGACTCTCTATAAAATAGACTCTCCCTATAATGGACACCTTTATAATTGGACGCTCTCTAAAATGGACGCTCACTACAATGGACGCTCACTACAATGGACGCTCTCTATAATAGACTCTCTCTAAAAGAGTAGCTTTCTAAAATAGACACTCTCTATAAGGGATTCATCCACATCCTCCAGCCCATTCTGACTTAATTTTTATAAATCCAAAAAATATTTTTTAAATAAAATTTCCTTGCCTTTTTCCGAGGAACCTTCTTATAAAGCAACTCCTCTAGAGTGCCCTGAATAGTCATCTTTGGCTGATTAAGCAACGTACTGTTTTTAAATAAAGGTGAATGATGTCCAGTATGTGTATTTGTAGAGCGATGGTAGCGATAACTTTATTTTGAATTTTTTAAGGGGGTAAAAGAGTTTAAGAATTACCCAATAGCAACAATATAGTCAACGGAACGAACCATGTTGGCAAAATCAAAGTTGAGCTGGTCAACAAAGCTGATGGGGTTTAGGCTGATCTTTAAGGGTGTTACGAATATATTAAACCCTCCAATCCCCTTTAAACTCTCCAATCCCCCTTTAAAACCCCACCAAAATCTGCTTCTTCCAGCCCAGAGTTCTCCTCAAATCAGCAAGAAATGAATTCATTTGATAGGCATTATTAGGCCCATCTAGCCCCCCATTAGCACAATTCAATTCTACACCATCAGCATTGTGTTCATCCAGTAAATGTCGAACTCTTTCGATTAAAATAAAACGGGTTGGTGTAGCGGTAGCAATTCTCCATTGCTCGACAGTTCCAGAGAAAGAAATTATTCTGGTTTTAATTAAATTCTGATTTTAATTAAATTCTGATTTATTAAATTCTGATTTTTTAATTCTGATTTTAATTATATTCTAATTTTTTAATTCTGATTTTATTAAATTCTGGTTTTTACGAAATTCTGATTTTAATAAATTCTGATTTTAATTAAATTCTGATTTTAATAAATTCTGGTTTTAATATATTCTGATTTCTCAAGTTTGTAAAAACAATTTTATTTCTTGTACTATATTCTGATCTCAAGTTTTGTAAAATTCTGATTTTTAATGTTTTAAGTTTATTTTTACAATTCTGATTTTTCTGATTTTCTTAAGTTTGCACTAGTAAACTTAATGGTCTTAATTTTTATTTTTTCCAAGTTTTTACGATTTCATATTCATTTCTATTAATTCTGATTTCAAATTCTATTAACTTAGACACATACAAAAAAGGTTTCCGTTCACGTTCCCAATCATTATACAATTTAAGAGCAAGATTCATTCCTTTACTTGGGCCAGAATAAACATAGGGATTTACTGATGCTTGTCCTATTACCATATGAGAACACCAGCCAGGTTGAAGTTGTTCAAACTCGAAGGAATTTCTGCTTTCTTCTAAATCGAGAAAGCAGAGACGAGTGCATTCTCCTTAGAATTTTAAACGGGAAATTCGATTTGAATAAAAAATTTAGAACCAAGCTGTTCCAAATTCCCCCGTTTTGTCCCACGACGGCATTTGAAGCGATCACCAACTGTTCTATGTAAAGGAAGAAGACCTCTTGTGCAGTTGTTTAAAGGGTCGTCTCCCTTGGAAAAAAATTTTTTTCTAGAGAAAATTAAAAATCGAATCTTTACTTGAATACTGAAAAGCCCAATACCCCCAAACTCATGATTTGAAATCCAATCGAGTTTATGAATAAAAGCGACATGTTCTGGCTCGTTAAAGGAATACCACTGGTCCTCTATTATTAATGAAGTTGTTTCAGATCTGTTGTCATAATGTAATTGTTGATGCTTGTTTTTGGAATAGAGAAGATGGCAAACCTTTAATTAGATTTTTGATTTTAATGTTTCGATTAAATTCTGATTTTCAAGTTTATTATTTTAATTTTGTATTTAATATTATTTTTACAATTTTATTGATAATTTCAATTTTATTATTTAGATTACTATTTGTAAGTTTAAAAATAAACTTGAAAATTACAATTTGTAATTTTAAATTAAATCTGAAAATACAAATTGTAATTCAGGTTTATATAAAATCACAATTGTAATTAAAGTTTATATTTAGAAATACAATTTGTAATTTTAAGTTTATTATTTTTTTACAATTTGTATTTCAAGTTTATATTTGAAATTACAAATTGTAATTCAAGTTTTTATTTAAAATTACAATTTGTAATTCAAGTTTATATTTAAAAATACAATTTGTAATTTCAAGTTTATTTAAAAATACAATTTGTAATTTCAAGTTTATTTAAAAATACAATTTGTAATTTCAAGTTTATTTAAAATACAATTTGTAATTTCAAGTTTATTTTTATTTATATTACAATTTGTAATTTATATTTTTATATTTCAAGTTTATTTTAAATTAAACATTCTATTTGCATACCCTTTATTATATAATTAAAAATCCTTTTTATCCACCTCATGATACCCCAAAGTTCCATCATTCTGTCCACTATCTTCATTTGAATAAACTAAACTTTCAACTTCCGGCATTTTTGATTCTTCATTTTTTCTAATAAAATAGCTTCTAGCCCAAGTGCTCAAACCAATAATTATTTTCTTTCGAGGAACGCCTGATCCAGCAAGGTGTTCTTTCAAAATAAAAAATTTGTTTGATAAATTTTTAGAAATTTATTAAAATTTCAATTAAACTACCAGCATTTCGTGCCAACGAATCCTTTAAAGGCACAAGCTCTGAATTGTGCAAAGGATCCACTGGAACAGCCACACTTAAATTTATTTAATTAATTTTATTTTTCCTTCCAAAATTAATTATTTACGAGGGTATAGGAAATTCACTGTTAGAGCTAATTTCATCAGCCCACAAATAAAAAGCATCAAAATAAGCGTCAAATTTAGGCATTCTTCGATACACATATTTCACCCAATTTGAACTGGGAAAATTTTAAAAATTAAATTTTAATTAATTTTAATTAATTATTCACCTTATAGAAAGTATTAATCTTAATTTTCTCATCCCAGACCTTTTCTTTTCTTTTTTAATTTCATCACCTAGTAGCTCAACAAATTGTTCAAATCCTGGCGTTAGCAAAACATCAGAATCAAATTTTAAAACTTTAAAAAATTAAAAAATAATGAAGAGATAAAAATACATATTCCGCTAAATCCATAACGTTGGGTAAAGAAAACCATTCGACGAGTTACATTTTGGGCCAATTCTGGGCGTTTTAGGTCAAGGAAATGAACGTTGGATGCCTGCAATATTATCATAGCGTATATTATAAATAAACTTGGAGATTTTAGAAATCAGAATTACAATTGTAAAATAAAAAAATAAACTTGAATTTAAAAATAAACTTAGAGAAAATACAAATGTAATGAAAAAATAAAAAATAAGCTTAAAAATAAACTTGGTAATGAAGAAAATCGAAAATACAAAAAGACAAAATAAACTTGAATTTAAAAATAAACTTGTAATAAAAATAAACCTAAAATACAAAAAAACACAAATGAACAAAGTAAAATACAAAAATCAGAATTTAACTTAAAGCAGAAGAAAATAAACTTTAAAAGAAAAATAGACTTGAAAAAATACAAAAACACAAACTTAAAATAAAACACAAAAATCAGAATTTAAAATAAACTTGAAACAGAAATATAAAAATAAACTTGAATTCTGATTTAATAAAACTTGAAATAATAAAATCAGAATTAATTAAAATTTCAGAATTAAATATTCTGATTTTTACCATTTTCATTCCTAGCAGCACACGTGGAGAAGTAGAAATTAACTGTAAAGAAGTTATTAATTTAAAATTGCCATAATATGAATGGGGAATTAAATCTAATTTTGTTGGCAATTTAAGTCCATTATCGTTTACTTCAGCAAAGCCTTTAATTTTATTTTTTCTAATTTTTTTATTTAATTTATTCAAATAAAGTACCATAAACTATGTCAGAACAGCTTATGTTCTTGTAAAAATGAAGGTCAATTTGGACATTATCCTTTAAAAATTGAATAAATTTTGTGTTAATTATAAGGTTATTTAATTAAAAATTATTTTAAAAAATATTCTGATTTTTTTCCGATTTTTTCTACCTTTAACGGAACAAAAAAACAATAAAAAGCACACTTGTCAAGCTCAAATTTAAGAGCATTTTGTTCACTAACTTCATCAACACGAAATTCTGGTTCAATTTCTAGTGGTGGACGCTTCTTTGCTTCACAACTCAAAGCGAGTAAAAAAATGCAAAATAATTGGAAGATTTTCCCAATAGGGAAGGCCATAATGCTTCTTTTTGATTAAAATTAATAATAATTCTGATTTCAAGTTTATTTTATAAATTCTGAAAATTAAACTTTTTTAAAAAATTCTGAATTGTATATCAAGTTTATTAAATAAATTCAAGCTTATTTTTATATAACAAATAATTATCATCAGAACAAATAATTCTGATTCCAAGTTTATTTATTTTATAATTTCTAAATAAACTTGAAAATAAATAAACTTTAATTATAACTCCAAGTTTATTTATTCTGATTCAAGTTTTAAACTTTAATTTCAAGTTTATTTAAAATTCTGAAATTAAATTCAGAAATTAAATTCTGAAATAAATTCTGAATAAGTTTTAATATAAATTTACAGGGTTAACATTTAATTAATTTAATAAGGAAGATTGTCAACAATATTTTTAATTTAATAAAATGAGAAAATGACAACGTCCCATTCCATTATCAATTATTTCATAAACTACACCTTTCACTCAACTTTTTTACAAAATTTTTTTTTGAAAATTAAAAAGCAACTTAAATTATTTTTAAATTAAATAAAAGATGAGAATGTAAAACATTAATTTTCAGAATTTACAAATAAATGCTAAATGATTTAACAATGAAAATGTTTCCAATTCTTGTAGTAAACGGGGTACTTTGTTCATATCCCATTCCCCACCCCTATTTTAGTCTCTGATTAATTTTGGTTTTTTTTTATTTTCTGCCTCAGAATGGATGCCTTTATTTAAATATTGAGCCGTTAGTTTGATTTTTTGAGACTATATCTGTTCCTTCCTAATAACTTCCTTTTACCTAAATTTTTGAGAAAAATTAATGATTAACAAAAAAAGAAAATTAATCTGAGACTCATCTATTTCTAATTTTTTTAACAAGAAAATTTTTTCCAAAATAAAAAAATTATTTTATTTCAAAATTATGTTAACAAAAAAATTAAAAATAAATTTTAACATAAAAAAACATTGACAAAAAATTTTTTACAATTAAAAAATTTTTTTCAAAATTAACACATCTGATGATGTGTCATTTGTATGTGTGCTTTTAGCATGTATTCTTTAGAAAAAGCCACCAATTGGTATTAAATTGAATTTTTTGTGGTTTTTTATATTTATTTTTGAGGTAGAATAGGGTAAAGGGTATATATAGGGTAAAGGGTAGAATAGGGTAGGGGTATATATAAAAGTTTCATTTTATTGTATTTAAATAATTTTTTTTATTATCCCATAACATTGTTACCATTTTTTTTTCGTTGTGGTCTTTAATATTAAAAAAACTAAACTATCAATTTCGAACTAAATGATGAAAACTCTTCTAGTTCAAAAAACTTATATCTCATTTATTTTCACAAAAAATTGACTGCACAATGAAGAAACTAGACTTTGATTGAATCCGAAGTTAACCAAAAATGGTTTAAAATATTTTTTCAAATATTAAAAGAATACCGGGTCTAATTCAAAATTTGGAGTCATATCAGGAAAAGCAATTCCCCTCTTTCTACAAAAAGCTTGACAATAAATCACAGCTTTATCACACGAATTCAAACAGACTCATCAGGTTTAGGATGAAATAATGAATTTGTTGAACATTCAGACCATCCAAAGTTTACTGTGTAAACTTCTCCAGAAACAACTGGTTCAAAAACAAGTTTTAAATTGCCATCATTGTCCGGTTCCTCTTTCAACGTAAAACCACAAAAAATTCAATCCCTTAAATTAAAAATTTATATCGTAATTAAAGGGAAAATTTTTAATGAATAATTCTCTAGCGATATAAATTTTTAATTTAAGGGATTGAATTTTTTGTGGTTTTACGTTGAAAGAGGAACCGGACAATGATGGCAATTTAAAACTTGTTTTTGAACCAGTTGTTTCTGGAGAAGTTTACACAGTAAACTTTGGATGGTCTGAATGTTCAACAAATTCATTATTTCATCCTAAACCTGATGAGTCTGTTTGAATTCGTGTGATAAAGCTGTGATTTATTGTCAAGCTTTTTGTAGAAAGAGGGGAATTGCTTTTCCTGATATGACTCCAAATTTTGAATTAGACCCGGTATTCTTTTAATATTTGAAAAAATATTTTAAACCATTTTTGGTTAACTTCGGATTCAATCAAAGTCTAGTTTCTTCATTGTGCAGTCAATTTTTTGTGAAAATAAATGAGATATAAGTTTTTTGAACTAGAAGAGTTTTCATCATTTAGTTCGAAATTGATAGTTTAGTTTTTTTAATATTAAAGACCACAACGAAAAAAAAATGGTAACAATGTTATGGGATAATAAAAAAAATTATTTAAATACAATAAAATGAAACTTTTATATATACCCCTACCCTATTCTACCCTTTACCCTACATATACCCTTTACCCTATTCTACCTCAAAAATAAATATAAAAAACCACAAAAAATTCAATTTAATACCAATTGGTGGCTTTTTCTAAAGAATACATGCTAAAATCACACATACAAATGACACCCCACCAGATGTGTGAATTTTGAAAAAAATTTTTTAATTGTAAAAAATCTTTAAATTAAATAATAAAAACAACTTTAATTTATTCTTCGGCAAATGTTTTTGTTAGGACTCTCTTTAAAAAAATTCTAAAAATGACAACACAAAAATTATTTAAAATTTTAAACCAGAAATTCTCTCACCATAAATGGAACTTAAGAAAATTTTTCCCATATAAGGTTTTATTAACTCTGGTCTAGTTTAGTAGGCCAATAAAAGTTTAATTGTCTCGGCTTAGACTGTAGGAGGAGGAAGGGGCTAAAATCTAAAATTTCAGAAAAATAACTTCTATAAAAACAAATTATATACGATAAAAAATTTTTGGATTTATAAAAAAATTAATTATTTTATGAGAAAAAAATAGTATCAAAATAATCTTTATTTTCCTCGGTTAAAATAATACTTTTCCGTCCAATTGCATTAGCCTCTATTAATTTAAATTTAATCCCCCCAATTTTCTTCAGATCACCATCGAATGTAATTTGACCGGTAGCAACCAGATCTGGTAAAAAATAATTTAACTAATTAAATGAAACTTTTATTTTTTTAATCCCCTACCCCTATTTTACCCACAAAATATAAAATCTTTTAAGAATTTTTACTCACCTTCAGGTGGTTTTTGTCCCGAAATAATGGAAAGGAGTGCAATGGTGAAGGAGTCTCCGCAGCTGGGACCAGTTAATTGCTCATACTGAAATTTAAGGAAAAATATTTTTTATTAAAAATATTTAAAAAACCGTGTCAATATCGAAGGCCGCATTTTTTAAGGCAACATCAATCTTTCTTCGAAGACACAACGAAGAGACGTAGACCTTCAGTTGTTGTAACGTATTTCAGTATTAAATCCTCACTGTGCACGAGGGAGTTTTCAAGCCGAAATAAACTCAGACCAGCAGAAACAATGTAAATTCCTCCACTGAATACTTTTTCATTTACAACCGTCTCTTTCCCTTCAACCATTACTGTCCGAGTAACGATATGTTCTTAAAAAACGTTTTTAAACGGTAAAAAATATTTTTAATTTTCGTATATTTTTAATTTAATTTTCGTCTTTAATATTTATTGCATATTTAGATGTACATTGTTCCTCTTCACTAAGTTTATCAAATTCTGACCTCATAGCCTCAGGCAAAATAATAGTTGTCTTGCCCAAATTAAAGGCTGCCTGAGTTTGTACTTCAATTTGTGTCCACAAATAATTGGAAAGGAGTTAAAGTCAATAATTCTATTGCGACAAAAAATTCAACGGGGAACCTTTTACTTAAACTCAAAATTGCCTAGAAAGGGTCCGAACCCATAGGGGGAGATTTGGAATGATGAAAATTTGTTGGCATAAACAATAAATATTAAGGAAGTCTAGCTAAATCTAAACGAAAATTAAAAATATTTTTTACCGTTTAAAAACGTTTTTTAAGAACATATCGTTACTCGGACAGTAATGGTTGAAGGGAAAGAGACGGTTGTAAATGAAAAAGTATTCAGTGGAGGAATTTACATTGTTTCTGCTGGTCTGAGTTTATTTCGGCTTGAAAACTCCCTCGTGCACAGTGAGGATTTAATACTGAAATACGTTACAACAACTGAAGGTCTACGTCTCTTCGTTGTGTCTTCGAAGAAAGATTGATGTTGCCTTAAAAAATGCGGCCTTCGATATTGACACGGTTTTTTAAATATTTTTAATAAAAAATATTTTTCCTTAAATTTCAGTATGAGCAATTAACTGGTCCCAGCTGCGGAGACTCCTTCACCATTGCACTCCTTTCCATTATTTTGGGACAAAAACCACCTGAAGGTGAGTAAAAATTCTTAAAAGATTTTATATTTTGTGGGTAAAATAGGGGTAGGGGATGAAAAAAATAAAAGTTTCATTTAATTAGTTAAATCATTTTTTACCAGATCTGGTTGCTACCGGTCAAATTACATTCGATGGTGATCTGAAGAAAATTGACCTCTGTTTAATTTTGACCCGGTTAAAAAATGTTTTAAATATTTTTAAAATTTTTGTAAATTTGTGCTGTATAGTTATAGCAAATCCTACACCCTTTCATTTCTCACTTAACATTTTGCCAAAAAATTTTTTTCCAGAAATATTTCAAAAAATACTCTCCTAATTTTGGAGGTACAGTACATTAACGAGAGTCCTAACAAAACGCCAACCCCCTTCTCTTTCTCTCGAGCCCACCCCATTTGCCGAAAAATAACGTTAACACAAAACAAATAACAAAAGAAAAATTCAAAAAAAATTTCAAACTTTACAAAACATTGAGACATTTTCTTTCAAAACCCCGGAGGGTTCCAATTTATTTGTTGTGGGACATGAACTTCTTCAAATACTTCTACTCGATCATCTTCTTTGTAAGATACATTTTTGTCAGCTATTGCGACTCCTTGTAATTGATTAAAAAAATTTTCAAGAAAAAAAATTTTTATTTGAAATTCAGAAATTTTTTTTCAAAAGTTATTAAAAATTTTTTGGTAAAAATTCCCACAAATTAAAAAAATTTTTCAGGCATTTTTTTCGATGGAATTTTTCGCAGAATTATCAAAACACTCAAAAATTTTTTTTATTTTTTTACCAATTTGCATATCTGTAGTTGCTTGATTTATTGCTTGTCCTTCACATTCCATTGAATTTATATTGCCTTCATATAATGTTATGTTCTCTAAAATATTAATAAAATTATTGGAGAATTAAAATAATAATTTAAATTTATATTTAAGACAACAATGATTAGCAAAAATCGAAAAAAAATTTTTTTAACCCAAAAATGACTGAATATCCCACAAAAATTTAAAAAATTAATTCCAAAAAAATAAAATTTGGTATAATTTCGGAAAACGAACAGATCCGAAATAGGACAAATTATATGTCATTCGAAAGGGCTCGTCGAGTTGAGTCGAATGATGAAAAAATTTTCGTGCGGACTCATACAGGGGCTGAGATATAGGCCCCTGAAAATCGAAAAACCATAGGGGGGACCAAGCACTTTTTTGGGGTAAAAAATTCGAATATGCAAATTATAGCTCATTCGAAAGAGCTCATCGAGCTGAGTCGAATGACACCAAAATCAACGAAATCTGACTTGATTTGACAAAGTTATGATCGTTTGTTTTAGCTCCTTACCTTTGGTATCCGTCGAGGTTTTTCCTGCTACAGAGGAAGCCAGATAACCCATTACAGCGATAATTGGAATAGGATTAAGTTACGAGCCCAGAACCCATCGCCCGTAGACTCCCCGCGAGGCGCGTGCCGCAAAACCCCGCGCGAAGCGCGGGGTTTTGCACAAGCGCCTCGCCTACGCCCCATAGGTTTACGTTGACCATTTTGAGCCTCTATCTCGGCTCAGAATCAAGATTTCGAGTTGATTTTGGTGTCATTCGACTCAGCTCGATGAGCTCTTTCGAATGAGGTATAATTTGCATTTTCGAATTTTTCACCCCAAAAAAGTGCTTGGTCCCCCCTATGGTTTTTCGATTTTCGGGAGCCTATATCTCAGCCCCTCTATGAGTCCGCACGAAAATTTTTTCACCATTCGACTCAACTCGACGAGCTCTTTCGAATGACATATAATTTGACCCATTTGCGCTCTGTTCGTTTTCCGAAATTTTTCCTAAAATTTGAAGTATTATTTATCGATTTGCACCAAGAGCCGAAAAGGAATGCTCCAAAAGCCACGGGCTTCAAGAATTTTAAAACCCTCAAAGACGGCCCAGGATTAGTAAAAAGTCGGAAGCAAAGCCAAAAAATACCCAAATCAACATTAATACTTCAAATAATATTTTTTTGGAATTAATTTTTAAAATTTTTGTGAGATATTCCGTCATTTTTGGGTTAAAAATTTTTTTATTTTTAGCTAAAGATAAAACTTTTTTAGTTAATACATCTCTACTCAATTTTGGACAATTTTAGCGTTAATAAAAAAATCGCAACACAAACCTTCTTCAGACGTTGCATTTCCACTTCTTACAAAACGCCAGATAAATTTTCTTTAAAAATTTCATTTAGAAAATTTTTTTTACAAAATTTCCAAACCTATCCATTTTTCCCCAATCAACTTTTATTCCAGCCACAGGTTGCTTCTTTTTTTGTCCATCTTTAAGTTTATAAGCACGTATAACAGTTCCACTGCCAACTAAACGACGTTCTATTATTGGAGTAATTTTTTGTGTCAATAATTCCTATAAGAAAAAAATTTTTTTTTAAATTTTTATTAAAATTTTCAAATTAGGGGGGATAAGACAATTTCAGACAAAAAATTGCGGATATAAAATTTAAAAAAAATTTCCTCAAACTTTCAGTCCGTATCAATCCAAAAAATAATTTAAAAAATATTAAAAGGGTTCAAAAAAGCCGTCATCAGATGGCACTAAACAAAACAGACAACTTCAAAAATTTTTTGGAAAAATTTTTTTAAAGAATTTATATCCGCAATTATCGTACGCAAATTTCCCTAACCCTTTTTAAAGGGGGTCAAAATTCATTTACACTTTCACAGAATTTTTTAGAGTCTAATAAAAAAATTAAAATTTAAACCTTTAATCTATCCACAAGTTTGTAAATAACATGAAATTCTTCTAAAGCCACTCCTTTACTTTTAGCCAAATCTCTAATATATTGATGAATTGGTGCATTAAATGAAAGGGCATAAGCTGAAATTTAAAATTTTCAAAAAATTTTTAAAAAATGTTTCAATAAATTTGAAATTTAATCAGAAATATTAAATTTAATTAATTTAAGAAGATTTCTGGTCATCTTAAGAAAAATAATTTTTCAGTATCTCAAAAACAAAAAATTTTTTACGAAAGATACACACCTAACAGATTTTCCAATCATTAAATACTAGTTACTAAAATATTTTGAGCCATCCTCCAAAAAATTTTTAGATGGAAAATTTTATTTTGGACCAATAAATCCTACACCTATGAATCCTACACCCAAAATATTAAAAAAAATTCAGAAACTCTTCTACTTAAAAAAATTTCCTTTAATTTAAAAAAAACCTCCAATATCAGCTGCCAATTCCAAATCTTTTTCAGTTAAAGGTCCTACACCAGCACTTGCAATTTTAAGGCGAACTTGGTCTTTAGCATTATACGTTGATAAAACATTTTTGAGTGCCTAAAAAATTTCTTAAAAATTATCAAGCAAAAAATTTAAAAAAAAACCTCAAGAGCTCCATCAACATCACATCTCAAAATTATTGTAAGACTAGGAATTTCTAAAGCAGCAATTTCTTCTTCATTAGGTTTTGTATAAGCATCAGGAGAGTGACTTAAAAGAAAGGAAAAATATTAAAAAATAAAATTTGAAATCACTCCTAAATTGATAAATAATTAAAAATCACCACTAAACACTAGAGATGGGTCGGGTTAAGAAAAAAAAGTTCAGGTTTCAGATGAGTTTCCCAAACTTTTTCTAATCAATTTTAAGATAAGACCAATTTTTCTTCTACACACTTGCCTTCGAAAGGCGGAAAAAATATTGCAAGAAAAATTGATAGCATCCGAATTGAGACGATTAAAACTTTGGGTAATCCGAGCAAAAAATTTTTATGACCACATCCCGCAAACCGTCGGGGAAACGGGGAACTCCTATCGGAAACGAGAGGGGGTCTAGAAAAAATCGAAAGGTCCGTCAGGAAATGTCGAAAACACTCATTGGAAACGAGGGAGTTTACAAAAACCACAAAAAAACCTTATAAAATCACAAAAATCCAAATTTATCCAATAAAATTTAATAAACAAACCCAGCTCTAGCAATAATTCCTTGTTTAAACAATTCAAAACGTTGTTGTCTATATTTTCCGCGAGCCTCTTCTCTTCGCTTTTCAATGATTTTCTATAGAAAAAATAAAAAATAATTTAAACAAAAAATTCCTTCCTCACCAAATCTTCAACAAACATTGTGACCATTTTCTTTTGTCTTCTAAATTCAACAATCTTTTTTGCTTTGGACAAATTAGGAACTTCAAAAGCTAATTCACCAGGTGGAGGTAATTCGTCTTTCCAACCTCAAAAAAATAATTATAATTTTTTAGTTAAAAAATAGTCAACATAAGAAAGTCTAATGGAATTTCCAATAGAAAAGTTAAAAATCAAAAAAGAAGTTTTTCAACAAAAAAATATTGGAAAAAAATCCATAGTCAAAGTCCGCAAATGTAATTGCGGACAGACCACCCGATCATTAAAAATTATTTAAATCAACAAAAAAATTAACCAACGGATCTATGGTTAATACGTCCGTTTGTTTCCTTATTATTCGTGTTTTCCGGCCCAAAAGAAAAAAATCCGGAAAAAAGGGACCCCAAAATAAAGTCACGGAACTATCAGCACACAATACTAACTACAACTATCAGTTAATATAATTCCAACCGAGCTAAAACCTACAACTAAAAAATCCCTTACAAAATCCTAATTTAAACAAAAATTAATTTTCATACCACTAATTCGAACAGGAGTACTCGGTCCAGCTTCATCCAAAATTTTATCAAATTCATTGGATAACGTTCTAACTTGTCCATAACACGTTCCAGCAACCAAAATCGTTCCTTTCTTTAAGGTTCCTCTATTTATTATTGCTGTACAGACTAAACCGAGATCTTTAAGGAAAAAATTTTTTAAATTTAAAAATAAAAAAATAAACCAGGCAAATTAGTTGATTCAACAATTGTAGCTTCTACTAAACCTTTTGGTGTTGAACATAATTGCATAAGTTCTGATTGAAGTAAAATAGCTTCCTAAAAAAGATTTATTTCTGAATTAAATTATGGAAAATTAAGAAAAATATAGACGGCAAAAAAAGTTGCAGTTTTTAAGCAAAACACAGTAAAAGAAAACAAAGGGCAAGAATTTTTAAAAAATCTCAAAGTTCAGGTATCCCAAAACTTATCTTCCGATATAAGAAAAAAGGAAAATTTCTTTAATTTTCACGTGTTTCCTGAGGATAATTTATCCCAAATATTAGAAAAAAAGGGGGTATAATTTCGGAAAACGAACAGATCCGAAATAGGACAAATTATATGTCATTCGAAAGGGCTCGTCGAGTTGAGTCGAATGGCGAAAATATTTTCGTGCGGACTCATAGAGGGGCTGAGATATAGGCCTCCGAAAATCGAAAAACCATAGGGGGGGCCAAGCACTTTTTTGGGGTGAAAAATTCGAAAATGCAAATTATACCTCATTCGAAAGAGCTCATCGAGCTGAGTCGAATGACACCAAAATCAACGAAATCTGACTTGATTTGACAAAGTTATGATCGTTTGTTTTAGCTCCTTACCTTTGGTATCCGTCGAGGTTTTTCCTGCTACAGAGGAAGCCAGATAACCCATTACAGCGATAATTGGAATAGGATTAAGTTACGAGCCCAGAACCCATCGCCCGTAGACTCCCCGCGAGGCGCGTGCCGCAAAACCCCGCGCGAAGCGCGGGGTTTTGCACAAGCGCCTCGCCTACGCCCCATAGGTTTACGTTGACCATTTTGAGCCTCTATCTCGGCTCAGAATCAAGATTTCGGATTGATTTTGGTGTCATTCGACTCAGCTCGATGAGCTCTTTCGAATGAGGAATAATTTGCATTTTCGAATTTTTCACCCCAAAAAAGTGCTTGGTCCCCCCTATGGTTTTTCGATTTTCGGAGGCCTATATCTCAGCCCCTCTATGAGTCCGCACGAAAATTTTTTCACCATTCGACTCAACTCGACGAGCTCTTTCGAATGACATATGATTTGACCCATTTGCGCTCTGTTCGTTTTCCGAAATTTTTCCAAAAAGGGAATAACAAACAGAAAATTGCCATATTAAGAAAAATTTAAAAATAACAAACCAAAAGGTTTTCAATTCCTTGTCCAGTAAGTGCTGATATATTCACAACTTGAGTATCCCCACCAAATTGTTCAGGAATTATGTCGTGTTTCAATAAATCATTCAAAACTTGTTCAGGATTGGCTGTAGGTTTATCACATTTATTGACTGCCACAATTATAGGAACTCCAGCTTCTCTAGCGTATCTTTAAATGAAAAAATAAAGAGAAATGTTAAAATAATTCAAAAAATGGCACTCGTGGGTTATCCCTAATTAGTTTTTTTGCGGACATACTTGTGCGAGTTGTGGTTTTCGAGACGTCATCGTTTACGTCAGTTATTTCAGGCCGGCCCGACCAAGCTTTATAAGACCAAAATTCAATGCTCGACTCGATATTTCGGACCGGGCTGGATCGGGCCCCCAATCCTAATCGTTAAACTGACTCAACGGTCAGTGCATCCATATTCAATCTCTCTCTATTCAATAAAAAATAATTGGTTGTGGGGAAAAACTGAAAGTTGAAATTACTTTCATTTCTATAAGTTTTCTTATCTATCTGCCCCACATAAGTCCTCATATGTCCGCAAAAACACGTTTGCAATAACCCACAAATTAACTCAAAAAATTAAAAAAAACTTTATAGCCTCCACAGTTTGTTCCATCACGCTATCATCTGCTGCTACAACTAGCACAACTAGATCAGTAGCCTGGGCTCCTCTTTGTCGCATTGCCTTGAAAGCAGAATGTCCAGGAGTATCAAGAAAGGTGACAGGTAGATTTCCGATAGATGGGAGTTTAACTAGAAAAAATACTGATCAAAATAAAAATATTTTTCGTCAGCGAGATTCAAACCATCGACCCTTTATGGGAGGAGATTAAAGATTAACCCACTACACCAAGCTAACAATAATTAAAAAAAATACCAGAAAACGCCCCAATGTGTTGAGTAATTCCACCAAATTCCTGAGCGACTATGTTTGAGCGTCTAAGGGAATCTAGCAGTGTTGTCTTCCCATGATCCACATGCCCCATTATGGCCACAATAGGAGCTCTCTTTTGAAGTTCTGAAGGAGGCGGTGGAGGCCTAAAATGATGAATAAACGTTAAAAATAAAATTTAAAAAAACTGTGGGCAAAGTTGAAATTCAGATTCATCTATAATTTCTTCTTTAGGAGGTGGAGGAACCCAAACAGGACGCATTTTGAGATAGGAGATCACATCAAGAATTAATTCGCTGTCTAGAGGCGCTTGAAATTAAAAGAAAAATTAATTTGAAGAAAATGCCAATTAATTTAGAAACCTTCAGGATTAGAAATGATAGCATCTGCTTTGTTTTCCGAAGCTATTTGAGTAATTACATCAATAAGGGAGTCGATATCTTTACCAACGGAAGCAGCAAAACGTCTGAAATTTTGAATAAAATTGGTTTTTAAATTTTGAAAAAAATTTTTTGATAAAATTTTATGATTTTTTCAGCTAAAAATGCTTTAAAGTAAAAATAGGGAATAGTTTCGGTCAGTTGGAGTCGAACCAACGACCCCTGACAGAAAAAATCCAAAATGTATCCCACTACACCAAAAAGTCAAAAACACGCATTTTGGGCAAAAATTGCAAAACTGGTTATGCCCAGGTTTTCAGACTCATTCAATCTTCCTGTATTCTTTTAAACTAATCATTTAAACAATCCAAAAACCTACTCCAAACAAATTCCATCAAAGACATTAGCCACAGGCTTTTTGCTTTCAATCTTTTTAATTCCAACAGGCAAAAGTTTTCCTCTTTTATTTTTCTTATTTAAAATTTCAGTCAATTTATGATCCTTTTGAAGAAATGGAGAATGAGAGAAATGCCGAGAAGTCTAAAATTGATAAAATTAAAAAAATAAAGTCAAAAATCACCTTTAAAGGAATTCGTTTAAGCACAAGTTTGGTAAGCGCCAAAACAGTAGAAGAACAAGAAGGCAAAACGCAAGTCATTAGTGAACGAATAAGTGACCTTTAAAATTAAATTTAAACCCTCAAGAAATTGATAAATTAGACAAAAAAAGTTTAAAAAATGAAAAAGTAGACATTTTGAAATTTACCAATTTAATTAAACACAACGCCAAAATATTTATTTATTAATTAATTTAAACAAGCAAATTAGTGGGCTAAATTAAGGAGGATTTGTTAAGCTTTTTTGGGTCTTTAAACGTGTAGATTGTTAGTTTATTGTGGCCTCTACTTATAGAAAATTAGATTGGCCTCATATTGAAGTAGAAAGCAAAGATATTGAAGAAACAATCGAAAGGGGTTGAGTGTTAGTATAAAAGGCGAGCCTTTTTAGTAGTCGTGTGTTAGTCTTATTTATTAATTTTTATTTATTTTACTTCTTATTCTTTTATTCTGCCATCTAATTTACACATTCTGCTCCACCACATAGTCTCGTTTATTTTATTGTTGCTGTTGTATTGTGATAAACTCTGTTTGTTAATCAAAGCTCTTAGATCGGACACAACTACAAGTCGTTACATAGTATGTATTCTGTCAGTCAAGCTAAAAGGCAAATTTAAGTTTATTTTTAACTCTATTAAATTTATAAATTATAATTTTATAAATTATAACGCAAAATTAATTATAACGCAATTTGTAAATTATAACGTAATCTTATGACTACTCCACCGGATAGTCTCGCTTATTCTAAATATTGTCGTTGTTGTATTGTGTTAAACACTGTTTGTTAATCAAGTCATTCTGTTCGTATCGGACACAATCACAAGTCGGTACATACAAAGGTGCTCATTTTTCTTGATGTGGTGTTAGTTTTTTAATCATAACTTCAACTTGCAATTTTTAAAAAATCTGATTTTTGGCTATTTTATAGCTAATTTAATTCTCTATCAAACGCTGCCAAAAGTTACTCGAAAGGTCTGTCCTTTCTTGAGATATGAATTTTTAACTGGACCGTCTCACCGCTCAACTACCCCAACCCTCCATTAAAGGAAAAATAAAGCTAAAATATTTTTAATAATTTTCAAAGCTTTGTACAATTTTAAGAACACTATATATACATTAAATAAAATAAAAATAATTCCAAGATTAATCCGACTTGACTTCTTCCGAATTTTGTTTTAGTGAGGAGGGTTCTTTATATGCTGCTGTGTTTTTTCTGTATTTGTAGCAATACCTGAAAATATTTTTTAATTTTTAAAATAAAATTTTTAAAGTCTACTTGGCTAGAAAAGCAAATATCAACACATCAATTATCATTGCACCTAAAAATTAAAAAAATTATTTTTAAATTAAAGACAAAATTAATTACCGGAAAATAGAAAAGCTCTGACAGCCAAATTCTTTGTAGGTAGGAGTGTGATAATTCTGAAAGAGAATTGAGATATAGTATGAGAAAATAATTGTGATTTTATGATCTAATGATTAATTTGTGTTAAAGTGGCAAAATGTCCATTTCTCTGCCTAGTGGCGAAATGGTCATTTTTTGCCTAGTGACAAAATGGCCATTTTTTGGCCTAGTGACAAAATGGCCTTTTTCTGCGCAGTGACAAAATGACTATTTTTCTGCCTAGTGGCAAAATGTCTATGACAAAATGGCCTTTTTCTGCCCAGGGACAAAATGGCCATTTCTCCGTTTGCTGGCGAAATGGCAATTTATCCGCATATTGGCGAAGTGGCTATTTTTCAGTTAATTAGCAAAATGGTCATTTTCTGTCTAGTGACGAAATGGACAATTTTCTATTAAGTGCCGAAATGTCTAATATCCTTACATAATAATTATGCTGCCAAGTGATGAGGTTAAACTCCAACAGGCACTAGCTATTGCCTTCATAGAAGGGCCAGACTAAAAATTAAAAATTAGTTTAATAAAAAATTTTAAAGTCTACCTGTGAGTACACAAACTCTAATCCAGTTATCGAAACTAATATTTCAGCGACAGAAATAACAAAAATTTGGGGTAACTGCCAAAGAATGCTGACAGAGTTTGGAGGGACAATTTGATGAATTGTTGCGTGTGGGTCTTTTTTAGTTCCGGTAATTATGAGGGCATAGATTCCGCCTTGTGCGTCCATCTTTTTAATTAAAAATGAAGTTAAATTGTTAGTCTTTAAGGGACGTTCCTCTCACCCCAAAGATAAAGTGAAGGGAACATCTCCCACGTTAAAAAATTATTAGATATAAGGGATCCTCCCGCCCTATGGGTAGTGTGAAAGGAACATCTCCCTTGTTCCTCCCACCCTATAGGTAGTGTGAAGGGAACATCTCCCTTGTTCCTCACACCCTATAGTAGTGTGAGGGAACACCTCCCTTATTCCTCCCACCCTATATGTAGTGTATAAATATCAACACTCACCTCGAATTCAACATCCTTTAATTGTTCCTCATTTAATTTTTCTTCCATAAGTTTGGTTGGTTCGTTGTGTAGAAGGAAAAGTTTCCAACTAAACTAGGTAAAGATTTAAAAAAAAAATTTTTTTCCTTCTGCTAACCTCCCCGGCCTAACTTCAATATAAGGGTGAAGGGACGCAGTCAAATCTGAAGATGTCGATGTTGTATTTGTTGTCATATAATTAAATTGGAGGGAGTGTTCTCTCTTCTTGTTTAGGAAGGCATAGAAGTTCTGAAAATTTTTTTGAAAATTATTTTTTCTATATAGAATGCTCCCCTCAACACAATGGGTAGTGTGAAAGGAACATCAAAAATGGTACTCATGTTCCCTCCACACCATAGGGTAGTGTGAAGGGAACATTGTGTGTGGGTTCCTTCCACACCTTGAGTAGTGTGAAGGGAACATTCCATGGTATATCTGTGTTCTCTTCACACCTGGGTAGTGTGAAAGTAACATTTTCTATGTACCTTTCCATCATGTTGATTACACTTTTGATCATTACGACAAAATGCCAATAGTTTGTTATTATGCCCATCCTTCTCATCCTCCATCGCCATAATCACGGCAATTTTAAATTGACCAGAACCGCCTGTAGGCTTCTCAGTTTCGGCCGAAGCCAAAATCGCTCCTCGTGTAGTTATCGCAATAAAGCTCATAGGCTCTTTAATATCAAATTCATAAACTTGAGGCAATTTTATATTTAAATCAGCACAATTGTCTCCAACGCCGTCAATCTTCCATTTATTTTGGCCAAGAAATACACGGAACATTTCGATGCGATTTTGTGTTTTGTCGTTTATTAGAGACTAAAATGAGTTAAAATAGTAGGAAAGTCGAAGAAATTATTTCTACCGTATTTGGTAACAAAAGCCTCGTCTCGCCTGTCTCCAAATGAGTTATTTCCAGAGGGCATTTAGCAAAAGTATTTACAATGGAAACAAATGCTTGGCCGTCATCAGCAAACTCGGGTAGAGATAACTGCAAATTGAAGGATTTCTAATGGTAAAATGAGGAATTTCTTAAAGCAGCTCTGTAAACTAGTCGAAGCCAGCATGCGTTTAAAGAGCTACTTTTTATGTTTTTTTTAAATAAAAAATTTTTTATAAAATATTTTTTATAAAATTTTTCGAAAAATTATTCAAAAATATTTTTCATAAAAATCTTAGAAAATTTTTCGAAAATTTTCAAAAATATTTTTCATAAAAATTTACAACAAAAATCAAGTTTTTCATAAGGAGCTCTTTAAACGACTAGTTAAACCATTATGTTTACTGAGCTACTTTTATTTTTTTACTCTTCGTTCGTTTAAAATTAATTTTTCTAGTATTCATACATATAAAAAATTTTTTATTATTTAAATAAAAATTCAAATCAAAATTTTTTTTACATTTATTCGTAGCTGTACAATTCCCGAGACAAAAAAGGCTATTGCTGCAATAAATCCACCAGCTACCATCTTCCGTAGTGGAGTTAATCTTACAATTTTTTCAGCAAAGGGGTAGATGAATGATTGAAAAATAAAAATGAGCACAATAATAAGCACCTATTTAATTTAAAAAATAATTATTTTTTAAATTTTAAAAGGCTTAATTTTACTGGAGGGGGCAGATATGTAAATAACCTCGTAGAAAGGGACACGTCTAACTTTTGAACGGGTAAACGGATAAAAGAGCTTTTGGTGTCATTTAATAGAGGAAAAAATTTTTTATGAAACATGCTTAGTTAGAAATAAAATTTTTAGAGAGAAAACAAAAAAGTTGAGGTCAAAAAACTGTCATTAAATAGGCATTTTCAAGCCAAAAAGGGTTAGTTTTTTGACCTTAACTTTTCGAATAATGAATCATAAATTTTAATTGTAGCCTTTTTTTGTAGAGAATTTAATTCTCTATCGAATGACACCAAAATTTAGTAAAAAGGTCAATTTTCCACAGAGTTAGAGCGGTTGGAGCCAACTCGGTCTCCGTACACACTACTAGACCAATAATTTAGAATTTCCCCAAAAATTTACCGGATTAACGACTTGCATCTGGTCAGGCAAAAGATGAATGCCACCCCATATCCGACTATCTAACTGAAGTGCCTGATTCATCCAAACATTGTATTGCTGATCATACAAAGCCCAAAACATAGGCATGGGTATTAAAACAACTACAAGTCTTAACAAACAATGAAAATCTTCAATAAATTGTTGTTTGTGACAAACATTCTCATCTCCCTTTTCCTTCTTTAATTCAATACATTTACTATCCTCCTCACAAATGTGGGTATCAAAATAGTGATCAAGCCAGTGATTTTTGGGAATTTTGGCATATTTTTTGTTGGAGCGGGCAGTCTATTGAAGCGAAAAATAATTTTTATTTATTTAAATTATTGGGTAAAATAATTTTAAAAATATTAAAAATTAATTCTAATATTTTTAATTTTAAAATTTCCACCTTAACAACATCATAAACGGCCCCAAAAATGTTTCCTTTAGGAGGCTGTTTGGTGTACCATTTACTGCCAATGAAGAAAAATGCTGAAAAAATATTTTTTTAATTTAGTTTTAAGGATAAAATGAATTTTAAAATTTCGAGAAAATTTCCAGAAAATTTTTAGGAAATTTTTAAAAAATAAAAAAATTACAAACCAAAAGAAATAATAACACCAATAGTTGAGACGCTGAATGAAAAAGGGTAACCTGAATAAATAATTTTAATTCTGATTTAATTCAAGTTTATTTTTCAATTCTGATTTCAAGTTTATTTTTAATTCTGATTTTGTATTTTCTTTTTTATTTGTGTTTTGTTCTGATTTCAAGTTTTATTTCAAGTTTGTTTTTAATTCTGATTTAATTAAAGTTTATTTTTACTATTACTATAATTCTGATTTTAATTCTGATTTCAAGTTTATTAATATTTGCAAGTTGTATTTTTGTTCTGATTTTATTATTAATTCTGATTTGTATTTAATTCTGATTTTAATTCTGATTTTAAGTTTATTTATTTTTTCTATTAATTCTGATTTTGTATTTTATTTGTTATTTGTATTTTTGTTCTGATTTCAAGTTTATTTTTATTTCTGATTTTTTAATTTATTAATTCTGATTTTTATTTCTTTTATATTCCAAGTTTTATTTCTGATTTTTAATTTATGTTTTATATTTAATTCTGAAATTAAATTAATCACATGAATCTCTTCCAAAACAAGGTCTTGCTCTGAGCAAAGGCATTACAATTGTAGATATCACAGCACTAAAAATATTACACAAATAATTAAATTAATTATTTATGGTTTACCCTATATTTATCGCAGCATAAAAAATTGAGTAAAACACTGAGATCTTAATTAATTAGTAAATTAGAGAAAGATAATTTATGATTTATTTTTGCAAATTCAGATTTTTAAATTTTAATTTTTCTGATATTATTTTTTTTTAATTATGATTTTTTCCAATTTCTGATTTTTTAGTTTCTAATTTCTGATATTATTCTGTTAATATTCTGATCATATTCTGATTTTAATTTTTATTTTTTTGGGTGTTCTGAATATTTCTGATAATATTCTGATTTTAATTATGAAATTCTGATAGTGTTCTGATTTTTATAATTTTTGATTCTTAGTTCTGATTTATTCTGATTTTTAATTCTGATTTTTCTAGTTTGTTCTGATTCTTAGTTCTGATTTTTTCTGATTTATTCTGATTTTTAATTCTGATTTTTCTAATTTGTTCTGGTTACCATTCTTTCTTGATGAGGATCAAATTGGTCACCCGCAAAAGGTGCAATGCTTGGACTCATTGCACTCGTGCCAATAATAACAATTAAAACACAAGCAAAATCAAGCCAAGGGTGGGGGAAACCGGGCGGGAAAAATGAGGAGGCTTAATAGAGAAAATTAGGAAATTTTTTTTAAATTTTTTTAATACTTGTCAAAGCAATCTTTCCAATAACAAAAATACTAGCACCAAAAAATATTGCTCTAAATTTCCCCAAATAACCATCAGAAATTGCTGAACCAATCAGTCTACAACACCCAGACAAAATTCCGGTAAAATTGAGAATTACAACGGTCGTATCGGGATGAAAGCCCAACACATTAATATAATACAAATTGAATACATCTTTAAATATTTTGGAATTTTTAAAAAAAAATTTTTGAGGAAAAAATTTTTACTGTTTAAAGCTGTCAACATCATTGAGAATTCCATAATTACAATAAGAAATGTATGGTAGGGCCATATCTTTAAATTCATGGGTTATTTTGGAGAGATTAATGAGAAAAAGATAATTAGGTATTGAAAAACTCGAGAGGATTGCCCCCCTAGACTAGGTGTGAAAGAAAAATTGAAACCTGAATTTAGATGGGTGGATCTTGACTGGATCCTGTTCCGATTCCCGAATTGGGAACTGATTTGAGGCTGGATTGTTTAAGAGGTCTTTTAGGAGCGTTCTAAGGATCTTTCACCCAATTTTGGCTACTAAATATTCTGAGACAGGTAAATATTTCTGAGACAGGTCCGGTTGCTTTACCGTGAAGTTTAAGAAGACCAGACACTTCAAGAATTTGTGTGGCTTTGGATTCCGTCCATTCCCGTCTTTACCAAATTTTAATTAAAATTAATTAAAGTACCCTCATCATTTCACTCCAACTCCTAGCCATTGTATGCTCCTCCTTTTCAAATCCTCCGTTTTCACTGTCACTAATGGAACTACATTTCTCGTCAGAATTATTGCCTTTTTAAATATTTTGAATAAAATTAGACAAAATTTTATTTAAATCTTATTTTTATTTTAATTTATTTACTACCTTTTTCACTGGTTAATGAAACAGGGTTTAACATTGGTTGATAAGATAATTAAATTTAAAAATATATTATGATAATATTAATAAAAATATGTTGAAATGTGTGTTATGCTTTGTTTAAAAAATTTAGAATGCCTAAAAAGTTTTAGGGTGATTAATCTGGTGGAATTTAAAAGCGCTTAGAGGGGGGTTAAGTGATTTTTAAGGAGAAAGGACAAATTAAAAGTTGCCCCGGTAGCTCAGTGGTATAGCAAACGTGTAAACGAAAGCCTAGAGGGTGTTAAGTGATCTATTAAGGAGAAAGAACAAATCAAAAATAAAGTCGCCCCAGTAGCTCAGTGGTAGAGCAAACGTGTAAATGAAATCTTAACAAGCAGTTCAAGGCCCGTAGAGTAAATTCGAAGCGAGTGTTATTTAACAATGTTATACGGATCGGGATTAACCTTCTAAGTTAGTCTACAGGCCCTCGAGCTGGGGTTTATTTAACAATGTTATTCAGATAGGATTTACCTTCTAAGTTAGTCTACGGGCTCTGGTCTTCAGGCTCGAGCTAAACTTTTGCTAATCTCTTATTAAAGTAATATTGAAGGGCAGTAAGATTATAAAGAAATCAAGAAAACATTAAATAAAAAAAATTAAGGAACAAAAAAATTTTTTAAATTAAGGAAATGATTTTTAAATTTTAAAATAAATTTTTCTATTCCAAAAATGTGATTAAAAATTAAATCAAAGTTTAAATTACTAGAACTGACACATTTTTAAGATCACATTCAAGTATATATTTATCAAAAAAAATTAATGTACGGAACTACCACTTTTTACCATAAATATAAATATTTATTTAAAATAAACCTTAATTAATCAACTAAAAAATTTCACGTGAATTTAACTTTCATTTTACCCCAAAAATTAATTTTAAACTATTAAATACGCTCATCTTTTTGGTAAAGTTCCAACAAATATTAAATAATTAATTAAATTTAGAGGGAAAAAAGGGTCCAAAAATTTATTTTAATAGTAATATTTCTATTTCCAACCTTTTGAGTTGGATTATGATTTATTTTATTCGATTTTTTTATTTTAAACGAACGGAGAGTTTAATAATGCAAGGTATAAGGGTGAGGGAGAGTGGAACTTGTAATGTGCGCAAAAAAGTTTTGGAACGCCAAACAGGGGAATAGGCGGATTTAAATAAATAAACTTGAAAATCAGAATTTAAATAAAATTGGCGTCAGAATTAATATTTAAGTTTGTTTTTAAGGTTTGTGCACTTAAGTATGTAAATCAGAATAAGTTTAAATAAATAAAAAATCAGAAATTAATATGAACATTAAAAATAAAACCGGAAAAATCAGAATTAAAAGAAAACACAAAAATCAGAATTTAAGAGAAAACACACTATCAGAATTTACGAGAAAATACAAAATCAGAATTTCAAAAAATACAAAGTCAGAATTAAAAGAAAACACAAAATCAGAATTTGCGAGATAACACAAATTCAGAATTTAAAAAAAACAGGAAAAATCAGAATTTAAGAGAAAACACAAAGTCAGAATTAAAAGAAAACACAGAATCAGAATTAAAAGGAAATACATGTACAAAAATACAAAAAACAGACCTCAAAATCAGAATTTATTCTGAAAAAGGCAGAATTTAAGAGAAAACACAAAATCAGAATTTAACCTGAAAAACCAGAATTTAAGAGAAAACACAACATCAGAATTTATAAAATACACGTAAAAAATCAGAATTATTTTTAATATAAAATCAGAATTAAATAATATTTATTCTCATGATTTTAAGCGTATATGTTATTTCCCCCATCGATCCTTATAGCTAATTTAAAAAATAAAATAACGAAAAATTCAGAAATAGTTGCTAATAAAACAATTTTTATTAATATTATCGAAAATGTTTTACAACAACTAAACAAACTTTAAAAATAAAAATAAAATTTTTATTACGCCTACTAATTTTAGTTGAATCAACGTTTCATTATTTTAAAAAATTAAAAAAATTTTTTGGGGTAACAATTTTATTGTTAAAACAAAATATCGTGTATTTTTAGCAGTAAAGTGAACGGGAAAAAATTATTATTTTTAATAAAAAAATTACTTAGATTGCCCCAAATTTTTATTTTTTTTTGACTATTTACTTTTGCAGAGGCCGCATATTTTTTATTTTATTTTACCCGTAATTCGCGCAGCTCATACAATTTTTTATTTTTTTTTGCTAATATATTGACAATAAATAAAAATGACAATGAAAACAAATAAAATAGGGAAAAGGATAGTGGGGCCTTGCGTGGGTGAAAGTGGGCGCAAGGCTTTAATAACGAGTTAAATGGTGAACTACTTGAGGTGTTTTGGTCAAAATATATGGAGGGGAAATATGGAAAATTTTTTAAAAATTCTTTAAAAATTTTAAAATATTTAAAAAAAATTTTTAAAGATTGAGGATCAAAGAAAAAAAATTTTATTAAGAGAAAAAAATAATTTTTTGACAATTTTTGGACAATTTTTTAGTAATTTTGAACGATTTTTGGCAATTTTACGACAATAATTTCTTCCTAAACTTTCAAAAAAATTTTTCCTTATATTTTTTAGATAGTTCACTTTATCCTTAATCCAATGACATCGAGATATCGAATATAGGTCTAGTTAATCTAGGGTTATAGGAGCTGGAGTGCGTCTACATTGAATCCTCTATGGGAGGGTGTCGCTTATTTAAAATAAAATAAATATTCTGATTTTTAGCCAAAAAAGTTTTTTAAATATTTTCTAATAGAAAATGATCTCCTCTATTGAATGATACCAAAATCACAAAAAAAGGCCTGACGGCTCGGGAGTTATAAAATTTAAAAGCATACCTATACCCAATAAAATTCTACCTAAAAAAGTTTAAAAAATTAAAAGAAAAAATAAAAGTGAGTTAAAAAATTAAATAAATTAATTTAAAAGAAGCAGAATAAGACTAAAAAGGAATAAATAGGTGGATATGCTAACATAGGAAGGTGGAGGTGATTTTTTATTTGTTCGGAGATTGAACAGAGATCTAAATTTTTAATATAAACGATCTATTAATTAATTAATTTTTTTATTGTAGGGAAAATTGAAGGAGAAAATAAAAGGAGAAATTTAGGAGAAATAATGAAGTTAGGAGAAAAAATTAAATAGAAACTGGATTTTGTTGTTTATTATTAAACACTAATTAGGTTAACCTCTATTTATGGCCTGATAAAAAATTTAAAAAATTTCTCTCGATCTTTAAATGTATCCTCGTGCAAAACTTTAAATAAGAAAAAAATTCTACATAATATGTATAAATTAAAGATAAAATATTTTTAATTAAAAAATATTTGCGATTTCTACTTAATATGCAAAAATACAATTTTTTAATTATTTATATCGTTTGGTTTGCCAGTCCTAATAATATAAATATCTAGAAGTTTAGGTAAATTTTTGGGACAGGGGGGTTAGCGATCGGAACCCCCTTTAAATTTTGTCTATTTAAGACGTACAGTATCCAACCTAGGTTGAAGAATACATCATTCTAGAATTTGAGTTGCAAGTGACTGAGTGGTTTAACAATACCTCTATTAAACATGCACCTTATTGTGAGCCCTAAAAGGGAGTTTTATGACTCTGGCTAAAGCTAGAGTGGAACTAGCTTAGTATTTTTGAGCACAGAACAAAAAAACAGAACAAAAATCAGCGATATAAAAGTAGAGTTAATCGGGCCCGACCATACCGACAAGTAAGAGAATTGCAAAAGTTTAGTCTCGTTTAGATTTCGAAATTTTATGTAAATTTCTGACATTAATTAGGGCTCCCGTTTCCCGGGTTTTTTCTTTTCCCTAACATCACTATAATGTACCGTCAAACTATAACTTCTTTAAAATTTATCGAATACGGGAGCTTGATGTCTTATATTTCCCTAACCCCTTTTTACAGGAGCTAGTCGGCGTTGGGCCCCAAGAGTGGTAACCCACCCTTGGGGCGCGCCGATCCACCTATTAAAAACGAGGGCCTTCTTTTTAACCTTTTTATTCAACAAATATAATTAATAAATAAAAGGCGAGAGGACAGGCCAACTTTTGATCGGGCCCAAAACTTTTATGAGTGAATGAATAAGTTGATTTGGCCTATTCTCTCTCGCCTTTTATGAGGCGCTAAAATGGGCGTTTCATAAAATCAATTATGACATTCTATACGCGGGGGGTGGGGGATACAACAGAAAAAGCGGATAAATAAAAGTGCGGAAAATGTGAAATTAAATTTTGTTTTCTTTATCTGAATAATCTATCTTTTTTGGTATGTGTCGTTTCTTTCTGGCCCAATGTGCTTCTCAATAATATTTTGTCATCCCCATTCTTTGCTTCTATTCTTTTAGCAATCAAATCTATCCCGCGCTAAACGTAATTTCAATTCAACAAATTCCTGCACATGTATGTATTAGATCAAGAAAATTTTGGCAAAAACGGAAAAAAATTGTGTATGTGTCAATGGAGCGCCAATCCAAGTAAATGTCCTTTCTCTTCCTCTCCTGGGGGTCAGCAAATAAGTTTATTTCGAAAAATGTATCCCGTCGCCAAGTGTTTTTTAATATTCCTCAAAATCTTTTCCATCCGTGGGCCAGTTATGATATCCTTGATCCTGAAAACATTCCTCTCCTCAGTTTTCATTACTCTCATGTGGAAACCATTGGCCTTCATCGTCATAATATTGGTCATTGTCATAATATGGGTCAAAATTTGGGTCCATCTTTTCATCATCCCCGTTCTCATTACATCCGTTTGACTCCTGGAATTGCTCCTCATGGTAATATTGTGCATTATTTTGGTATGGATCCCAAACTTCATTAACCTCCGCTAGCGCCGCTTTAACTTCTATTTTCTCCAGTCTTTTCCTTGTATCATCTTTAATTGTCCGATTTAATTCATCAACCCTTTTAGCCTGCGCTATTGCTTCTGCAAATGATGAGGGCGCTTTCATAAAAATAACCTTTTCCCTAACTTCAGGTAACATTCCGGCTTTAAATCTCTCCATGCAAATCTCCTCTTTAAACCTTTTGGCCATTTTATCATTTTCTCCTTTCAAGCCTGTCCTTTGCTCGTCATCTAACTTAATTGAAGAAAGATCCATTCCAAACGCATTCTCAGGATACGCCGCTTCTACTAGATTCATTAAATCCCTTGCAAATTCGTCTAATCCTTCGCCCATCTCCTGTCTCCTTTCCACTAATTTTATGCGTGCGCTTTCCTTATTTGATATCTTTTTTAGCCTCTCTGCCAATTTTTCTACAAGTGTCTTTCACCGCGATTTTTCATCCCCGGGCATTGATTCATAAATCGCTAGTGCAGACCCTTGTAGATAAAGCGGTAATATCTGCGTGCATCTAGTGGGAGTCCAATTGTGTGCAGTGGCAATCCGGTTGAAAGTCCGTAGATAGCTCAAAAAATCTCCATTGCCATTGAAGAAGGTAGGGTATGGAAGTCCACTTGAGCTCGTACCAATATTATCCCCTTTATCCTTTGTATTATCCCCTTCCTGTCCTGAAATGTCCTCTTCTTTCATCACAAGCCTCTATTAATTCTTTAGTCAGTCTTTGTCCGGACTTTATTTTATTATTTTTTTCCAATTTTATTTCAATGCTCGACTTTTCCTAACACTTCAAATAATATTTTCTCTTTTAGCTAGCTTTTTTGCCCACAAAGGGGAACTAGAAGCGATCCTGCAGTGATACGCCCCTAATCTGTTAAGAAAATGATCGAGCTTTTATTTCTCAATTTGTTTTCTCCACGTGCACGTTTTTTTGCTTTGATTCCAAGACTGGCTATAAAATTCTACTAGAGGCCTGTTTCAAGAGATTATATCCAGAATTTTCCAAAATCCGCGAATAAGTGTCCTTTATCCTTCCAACCTTTATCCTTCTCTCACTTCACGATCAACTCCAAACTGAAACTTTTAGCTCCAATTGAACTCCTTCGCTTTAGCCTTTTTCCCTCTTCTCCTTATCGGTAATATCCTCAGAATATCCTTTGTGTTTATTTTCCTTATGCCCCGTTTGTTCCCTCCGTGTATCCTTTGAATGACTCCGTCTGTGTGAAATCCGTGTATCCTTGATGAATCCGCGTATATCCTTGATGAATGAATCCGTTTGTTGAAAATTCCCTCTCTCTTATTCAGCTCTTCAGATATCAATGTGAGCCAAATTGGCTGATTAAAAACTCCTTTTTATAGGAATTTTTCTTTAACTTTGGTTACGCCTAAAACTTGCTTGCGCAAAAAATTTTTAGTTGTAATGTCACAAGAAGTGGTTGTAATTCTTGTGATAAAAAATTTTGGCGCTTCCCAAATTCTTATTTGCTCACTTCCGGCCAATTTGCGCGTTGCTGCAAAAGAAGGAGTCCAAAAAAACTAGTTTAATATATAGAAAAAAATTTTCGATCGCCAAAATTAAGTTGATTGATGGGGAGAAGAAATAATTTTTTTAAATAAATATTTTTGGAATATTTTTAGCAATATTTTTTGGGTGGAGTATGATTTTTTTTTTCATTAGGTGGAGAAAATTACAGGAGCGCCATCTTATATTTCCCTAACCCCTTTTTACAGGAGCTAGTCGGCGTTGGGCCCCAAGAGTGGTAACCCACCCTTGGGGCGCGCCGATCCACCTATTAAAAACGAGGGCCTTCTTTTTAACCTTTTTATTCAACAAATATAATTAATAAATAAAAGGCGAGAGGACAGGCCAACTTTTGATCGGGCCCAAAACTTTTATGAGTGAATGAATAAGTTGATTTGGCCTATTCTCTCTCGCCTTTTATGAGGCGCTAAAATGGGCGTTTCATAAAATCAATTATGACATGATGCAACTCAAATATTTCGGATTTTAAGGACCTATATCTCGGCTCGTTACCCGCCCCCGAATAATTAAATAAAGTTAAACAAAATTAGTATTATTTCAATAATATGTACTTTTTATTCAACATAATATGTACAAATTAAAAAAATATTTTTTGGTTAAAAAAGTCCCGATTTCTACTTAATATAAAATATTTCAATTTTTAATTATTTAAATCTTAAAATCTAAACTAAAACTATACGTCGAAAAAATTTTTATTTATCCTAATTTTTGGAACGGGGGGTTCGAGTACGGAACCCCCTTCTAATTTGTCAATAAAGTAGAGTTTTAGTAGAGATTAGATCCAAAAGTAAATGCTCAAATCTATTTTGAATTATCTTTCTATAATTGGCTGGCCATTGAATGAGTAGGCTAGAATTGGTTTTCTCCAGATTAATTCGGAGATTGCGAAAAATCCAAGGATTTGGGACCCGGACCCCGGAAAATCCGTCCGGATCCGGTCCAGCCCTAGTCACTACTTTGTAACATGCATGAACATTTAAAATGTTTTTTAAAAAATTATTAGCACCAATTTTAGTCAATACCGACAGGCATTTCTTTATCTAGAAAGTGGTACCAGTCGATTCAGCTCGCTGAGACGAATCAAATGGTATAAATATAATTTGTCCCGTTTCTGAGTACAGCCACTTGTTCCTATCTTTGTTTTACTCACTAAAATTATAAAAATATTTTTTTTTTAATAATTAAAATTAATAACACTCAAATTTTTCTTCCTTCAAAAAATATTTTTTTATTTATTAAATTTAAAAACGTAAATTTTAAATTTAAGTATTTATTGAATGAAAAAATAATAAAATAAATAAAAATATTTTATTATTACAACACAATGGAAAATAAATAAAAAAAAGTACATACAATTGTTGCCTACGAGAGTGTTTGACACAAACAAAATTAAAAAAATATTTTTTAAATTAATTTTAAAAATTTAAAGAATTAATTTATTAAATTAAAAGAGAAAATTAAAAAAAAATTAAAGGGAAAAAATTTAAAAAAATTCAAGAAAAAAATTTTAAAAAATTAAAAATGAATAGTGGCATTCGATAGACATTGAATTCTTAATTATTATTTACAATTTTTAATTAAACTTCAATTCCAATTAAAAACATCCCTTTACAACTTAAAGGTTTAAATGAGCGTAGTATACATAGTTGTTGTAAACTCAAGTTTGAAGTTTCTACAAGTTCGCATAAATTAATTGTGTCAAGTTGTAAACTTGTTTTAATAACTAAAACAACAAGTTTTAAAAACAAGCTTTAAAATCAAGTTTTAAAGTTTGTAAACTTAATAAGTTTAAAAAAAGTTGTAAGTCTAGCTTAAGTTTTACAAAATTAGTCAAACTCAAGTTTGTAAAAAATAAACTTGTTTTTATAAAAACAAGTTTATTTTTAGGTTTGTTTTGTACAACAGTAAGTTTTCAAGTTTAATATTTATTGTAAAACAAGTTTATTTATTTTAGACAATTTGTAAAATAAGTTTCAAGTTTGTAAACTTGATTTTATTAAAAACAAGTTTATTTTTACTGTGTCTTTAAAATTGTTTATCTTTTAAAAATTGTTTTACTTTTCTTTTTGTAAAACAAGCTTATTTTTTTAATTTAATTTTTCGTTTAATTTCCATTAATTATTTCAATTAAAAAACTAACGTAATAGTTTTAGATTCATCTGATCGAAATTATTTATTCCTATCACCTTTGTACCATTATCTATTTCATTATAATCGGCTTTAAACCCTTCCTTAAATGGTTGGGTTATCACTATTTTTTGTTTATCATCAAGTAAATAATCGTTTAAAGCAGCTGATAATAATAATATTGAAGAATTGGGAGTACCTGAAAATATACAAAATGTGTAAAAGTAAATAAAATTTGTTGATGATGTGTTAAAAATAAAATATCAAAAGATTTGTTATCTCTATTGAAAAACATTTAAAAAAATTTTAAAGTACAAGAAAATGTTTATTAATTAAAGTTTAATTTTTTAATTTCAAGTTTGTTCTTAAAAATACAAATTGTAAAACCTTTCCAAGTTTATTTAATTGATGCTTTAACATGTTTTTTTCTGTAAAACTCGTTTGTAGTATAAAATTAAACTTGTTTTAGTTCTTAAATACAAAGTGTAAAACTTTTCAAAGTTTGTTTAATTGTTGTTATAAAACAAGTTTACTATTTGTAAAACTTGTTTGTAAAACAAGTTTATTTTTCAAGTTTATTAAGTGAAAAATTGCAACTTGTTTGCTTCTGTTTTTTTCAAGTTTGCAAAACAAGTTTAATTTTATTACAACTTGTCTAACCTGTTTTTATTCCTTTGTAAAACAAGTTTATTTATTTACAAACAAGTACTGATTATTAAAACAAACAAGTTTAGAGAATTAATACATTAAAACAATTTAAAAATAATATAGCTGACCACAAAGTTTAATACAAGTTGATTGTTGTTCTCGTTCTAGAGAGGAACTAGTTTCTGCTCCAGTAACGGACAAAAAACTTCAAAATTTTAAAAATAATTTTAAAATAATTTTTAAAAATAATTTATAAATTCAATAAACATACAAAATAAATATTAGTGACAAAACTGCAACCAAACAAAGTATCAAAATACCCCTAAAATTACAAAAGCATTGTAAAACAAATTTACAACTATATATCCCTACCAATAAACACACCCTCTACTATTCTTTTTGTATTGTAGAGGATTTTGTTTTGATGTTTGTTGTTGTTGGCTAGTGCTACAAACACTTTTCTCTACTAGTTTAATTTGTTCGGTTGTTGCGCTTGGATTTTTGATGTTTTTGTTGTCGTCGGCATCGCTACTATCCTCTGAAAAATTTGAAGAACTACTGGAACAGTCACCCGAAGTGATGGTGCTGTCAGATTCTGTTAAATCAGAACTTGAAGAATCCTCTTTTGGAGTTTTTTGAGTGGAGAGCTAAATTTTGAATTAAGAATTGTAAAAGTTTCAAGTTTGTAAAAGTTTCAAGTTTGTAAAAGTTTCAAGTTTATTTTTTATTAATTAAAAAAGTTTATTTTTAGATAAAAACTTGTTTTACAATTATACTTTAATTAAAATTGAAGTTTACAAATCAAACTTGAAATAAAGTTTTAGTTACAAAACTTAACAGAAAATAAACTTGTTTTACAAAAAAGTTTATTTAAAAAGCAAGTTTATTTTAATGAATTTATTAATTGAGAAATTACAACTTGTTTATTTATATTTTTATTTAAGTTTGTAAAACAAGTTTATTTTCTGTTAGTTGTGTAAAACTTGCAACTTTAAGTTTGTAATCTTGCAACTTTAAGTTTGTACAACATGTTTAGTTATTTTTTTATTGCAAGTTTGTAAAACAAGTTTATTTTTTGTTAATTTTGTAAAACTTGGAATTTTAAGTTTGTAGTCTTAAATTTTATTTAAATTATAATTGTAAAACACGTTTATTTATTTTTCCTATATTGCAAAAACTAATTGTTTATTTTACAAATTGTTTTACTAATTTGTAAAACATTTCCTAATTAATTTTTAAACCTTTTTCTGCTGTCTTTTTCTCTCCTTTTCTTGTCGTCGTCGTTCCTCCAACAACTTCCTAATTTAAATTTTAAATTAAACTAAAATTCAAATAAAAAACACAAAATCCCCTCTACACACTTTCTGTCCTTCCTCCGTTCATTTTGAAACCAGGCGCGGACAATTCGAATATTTAACCCTGTCGCCTCCACCAATTGTTGTAAAATTGGGGTATTTGGCCTTTGATCTTGCCCATAAATTTGTTTAAATAATTTAACTTGTTCCTCTTTTAAATCGAAGAAATTGGCATCCGAGAGCATCATTTTTTAAGGAAAATTAATTTTTAATTTTTAGAATTTTGGGGGGTTTCCTATTATTTTTTAAGGAAATGAAGGTAAAAAATGATAAAATTAGAGGGAAATGGAAGAAGAAAAATTAATTGGCAAGCATTATAAATAAATATTTATTTAGTACTATTAATAGGGGTAATTAAGCAAGCAAAAAACTGTTTTCCCAACTGATGGCTGACGATGACGGCGGAGAATCATGGGAAGGAACAAGGAAGGTTATTTATTTTGTTTCCGTTGAGGGACTATTTTTGTGGTTCGATAAAAAAAATAAAAAGGTTGGGGAAAATAAAGATGAATTTTAGTTAGTTTTTTTATAGGAATAGGGGTTAGATTTTGTATTTTAGTAAGTAAGGTTTAAATTAGTGTTAGACACAGTTCGGTACTCCCGAAAGTATTGACTAGGGTTCTTCCCCGTCCGAAAGTCGGGGAGTTTGAGAGTGCCGCTGCCTACTCGAAAAATTGTCCCCGTGCGCCCCCCTCTCTGTCGAGGAACAACTCTGTTGACTTACTACTCCCGATATTGGTGTTTGAAAATCCATTTGCTTAACACTAGTTTAAACGGATCCCCTCCTGAAGACCCACACCCATAGACACACCCCTGAAGACTTGACAAGTTTGCAAACTTGAAATCAACAAGTTTGAAAGAAAACTTAAGTTTGCAAACCTCTTTGGCCTTTCTAGTAAAAGCCTAAACTTATAACTAGAGACCGGACCGAAAGGAAATCTCGATCAAAAATCTCGATTATCATGATTGAGATTTTTTTCGAGATCTCAATCTCACATCAGTTCTCGTACGACGCTCCCAGTCCGATCTCTACTTATAGCTATAAGGTTGATTATTTTAAATTATTTAATGATTTATTCCTATATTCAACTGCAAATATTGAAAAATAAAACAATAAATAATCATTGTGGTTTAAGATGAAAGTGTGACTGTTTTATTTATTTTAAACTAAAAAAAATTTTTTTAAAGGCGTGATTCAGATTTTAAAATAAAAATTTCCCACAAAAGGTATCATTAAAAATGGAAAATTAAAAAAAATTCAAGGCAAAATAAATTTTTTTCTCTTAAATTAATTTATATTTACAATAGAAAATATTTTAAATTTAATTCCTTCACAAAAAATCACAAAAAATTTTTATTTTTAAAAAAACACCCGTTAAAAGCTCTGAATTTATTTGATAGCCGTATTCTAGTAGAAGCAAAAAGCATAAATTCCTTCTTAAATTTATTTCCCAATGGCATGTTTATATCCAAGAGAGGTTATAACAAGTGGAATTTCTGTTTCAATACCAGGCAGTCCGATAAAGCGGAGAACATAAGAAAGCGAAATAATGGGAGAATGCATAGATGGAATGGTTTGTTCTGGTACTCGCAGAAGGCATTCCTCAGCGTTCTGAATTAAACTGATTAATTTATTGGGAAAATAAACTTGTTTTACAATATTATTCTCTAAAACTTAAGTTTACAATTAAAGTTTTTTCAAAAAATAAACTTGTTTTTACAATCTTAAAAATAAACTTGAAAAAAATAAACTTAGTTTACAAAACAATTTTTATGATTAATAAACTTGACAAGTTTATTTTCTATTAATAAACTTGATTTGTAAACTTAAGATAAATAAACTTGAGCGCTTGTTTTTAATTTTATTAAGTTTATTTAATAAACTTAAACATTGATTTGTAAAACAAGTTTATTTTTTTATAAAAAGGTTGTAATTTTAATTTAATAAACTTGAATAAGTTTAATAAGCATGATTTGTAAACTTAAGATAAATAAACGCTTGTTTTGTAAACTTAATCAAGTTTATGCAATAATCTTAAACGTTAATTTGTAAAACAAGTTTATTTTTCTGATAATAAGAGTTTAAATTTAATTAAACTTGAATAAGTTTTAATGAAGTTTATTCGTAAACTTGGAAACAAAAACAAGCGCAAACTTACAATCTCACTTCTTCCTCTAATATTATCAATTTGATGGGAATCTAACAAAGTTTCAACCAATTTAGTATCATTAGCTTGTTCATATCTGCTTTGAGCGAGAAAATGGCTTTTCAAGACTAATTGGAGGCAGCATTCCCTCAATTGTTTTCTGCTGCCATTTCTAACGGATATACTCACTCGAATTACCTTTAAAATTAATTTTTTTTCCTGATATTTTTTTGCTATAATTTTTACTTCTCCAACACAAAATCCAGTTCTAGGCAGCCCTATTCTTAAGCGTACAACACCAAAAGGTAGAGTGCATACTGTAAAGTTGATTTCATCCTCATAGTCAATATGCCTTAGAATAGCTTGAGGAACTTGATCCAGATAGGACTTGGCAAGGACAAGGAAAGGAAAAATTTCTAGGGCGGAACACTTGAAAAATAGAATTTTTATCAATTCACAAACTTGATAAAAATACAGTAGACTTACATGTTCAGCATTCCCAACTATTTGTAGTCTTATTGTATACCTAATAGAACCAAATTGACTTTCTAAACTGCTAGGTGCCGTCTCTGGTATATTCACCCTCAGATTAAATCTGTGCCTCCCTGGGTTTAAAACAATTTTGCGTTGACAGAGAGGGACCACAATGTGAACAAATTCCTGAGGATTTTTAAAGGTCCTCGTGGACACAAATTATTTTTGATAAATTTTACATGTTCAGTTTCATAAATTTTATCAGTTCTAATATTCACCCAACCAGTTTTTCCAATACCCAAAATTTCTGCAAAGAATTCAATTATTGTGTTGTCAGGATCTGCCGAATCCAATAACACCTTTAAGCTAAAATTTAATCTCCCTCTACAGTAACCCAATTAATCTCCCTCAAATTACTCACAGTTGCATTCAACGAGTCCCCGCTAAATATTCGTGTTTCTGCTAACACCAAATTCAGAGCTATTGAAGGCATCTATTAAAGATGTATTTTATTATTTATTTTTAATAATATTTTCCCAAATAACTTCTCAAGAGACAAATACCCCAACTTACATTTCTGTTCCTAACTCGCGTAAAAAACTCCATTTTAGTTAAATATAGGGATAAATTTTTTGTAAAAATGACAAGAAAACAGCCAAGAAAAAATAATGACAAGAAAATAATAAAAAACCCCACTCATCTCTTTCCGAAAACCCGTCAAAAGCATTTAAAAATTAGTGTATCGATTGACAAGGCAAAAAACTTAATTAATTCTGCGAAGTACTCTCTCAGGCTTATTCTCTCAACAGCTAATTTAGAATAAAAAAGGGAGGAAGCTTCTTCCAACTGTTAGAACGGAAATGGGTGAACTAGGTTTGAGTGACATTTGTTGGCATGATAGAAACGAGGACCGCGCTCTTCTTTAGGTGTAAGCTTTTACAGATATGCTGGATAAAGTTACTATATTTATATATTCCAAAAAAATTTTTGACGTGACCTCACGGACACACCACAAACAAAAATAAATGAGAAAATTAGGAAAATAAAAATTTATCCAAAATCCCAATTTCCTACCTTTTCTTTCCTTTTTTATTTAAATAAATAAACAATTCATTTATTTAATACGTTGTAAATTTAAAATGCAAAAATTTTTCATTTACCTGCATTTGTGTAGGCAAACACCCGCCAAGCTCAATTCCACTCATTTTAATTATTTTTTGTTGTTTTTATTTAAAATTTATTTATTAAACAAAACGGAAGGAATTTTCATTCATTTGTTAGCAAAATCGATTTTTGTCTAAAGAAACCCCCCAAAAAGTCCAAAAAGAAAATGGACTGCCACTAGTTTTCTTTTTTACTTTTTTAAAGAGTATAAGCAATTAATGGAGAGGATTAATTGCCAGAGAGAAGAATTTTTTCATACTTTAGAGGATTAAGAAGCGTAGGTAGGTAACTTGCTCGGAAAATCGTGAAACTATCAAGACTGAGTAAATTTTTTAACAGGAGAGAAACGGGAGACAGTAAAAACCGGGAGAAAGGAAGAAAATCTCGATAGAGGATAAGCACCAATGAGAGATGCTTAGTCTCTCTTAAGGATTATCCATGATTGAGCGAAAAATGGTGATAGGAATTGACTGGAGTTTAAGGAGTAAAATCAACGCTTTAAAAGATGGAAGATGGAAGGCCGAACAAGGCGAGAATCATAAGGAGAGGTGAGGGAGCACGAGAATCAACAGGAGAGAGAACGGTAAAGGAGTCAAGTAAAGGGAAAAAGCACTTTCCTTATTAATAAAATAAATTTAGTTATTAAAGTTACTAATTTATTTAATTTAAAAAGAATTTCAAATAAAAATTGGAAATTATAGTATAGTATATATAATTAAAGCATCTATTATACTAATATTGTACATGAAAATAGAACAAAAAACATCAACATATTGAATTCACCGGAAATGCCATTTAAATATTAGTAGAAGGGTGATAGTAAGTTTAGAGTTCTGTCTTCATCAGTGTCCTCTTCCCTAAAATTAATTTTATTTATTCTTTGGATAATGAGAAGAAATTTAGAGAAGGGGCAAAAGGGGTATTCTAATAGAGGTAATACGTTAGTGCAACTTGCATGTTCCTTTCACACTACTTATAGGCTGAGAGGCACACCCCTTCTAACGTTCCAGTTTGAGGTAAAATATTTTTTCCATGACTTAATGTTATTTGCTAGTCCGCATCCATAGTCAGAAACACTCATTATTTCCCCAAATTTCTAAATAAAAATTACTAACAATAGCAGCACTCAAAGCCTGATCCAAATCATCAATTAAATCTTGACTGTCTTCACAACCAACAGATAGACGAATTAAATTGTCTCCAATACCAAGCTCTTTTCTTATATCAGCTGGGACAGAAGCATGTGTCATCACTGAGGGCAATTCTGCTAAGGATTCATAGCCACCCAAAGATTCCGCTAGCAGGAATAGCTGAAAGAATAATTCATTTAAATAATTAAGTAATCAGATTTTGATCTTAATGCTTTGAAGAGTATGGGGGGGGGGGAGAGTATAGGGGGGAGAGTTGGAATAAGGGATACTTCACTCTCGTAACCCACCGGCACTTTTAATCAAAGAGAACCGAAATCTCAACTGATACAACTTCAAATATACGGTATTCTCTTCGAGTGATGCTATAATCAGGATAGGGGAAAAATAGGGTGAAAAGGTCAAAAACAGGGAAATGCCCTGTAAATAAGGCAAAAGGCTATAACGAGAGTCAAATTTAATTTCACTTGGAATCCCGAGAGGTCTGAATAAGCGCCGGATCCGACCCGACACCTAACACTACCTTTTAGGTTATCTGAGGGACATTTAAGGACACCAATCTACAGGCAGTCGCTCATAAAAACTAAAATAAATCACAAAATCACACCTTCAAGTTAGAAAGAAAGATTCTCGATTCTTCAATACCTCCACGTAAATAAAAAGAAATCATTCCCGACATCCCACTAGACTGTTTTTTGTGTATTAAATGCTGGGGATGTGATTCCAATTCGGGATACAAAACTTTTTCGATTCGAGCATCCTCTTCTAACCATCTAGCGATAGTTAGAGCATTTTTCATGTGTTGTTTCATTCTGAGATGCAAAGTTTTGATCCCTCTAATGACCAAATAGGTGTCGAAGGCTGAAGGTATTGCTCCGACAGCTGAAATTATTTTAAAGAGTTACAAGGGCAAGCATATTTTTGTGGTTTTTGGAAGCTTTAAGGGACCCTAGTGCAAGCTTTAAGAACCCTAGTCCAAGCTCTAAGAGACCTTAATCCTAATCATTTAAGGATACCTAGCTTTAGGTAGTCTCTCTCTTGTGTGTGAGAGATAAAGAGATAGTCACTCATATTTCAGTCACATAATTCAAAAGGTTCTGTTGGCGCGATAATTTAATAATCATTATTTTCATAGGCTTGAGACTGTAAGTTGACCCACAAAGGCCCAGATTCATAGGCTCGAGACTATAACTTAACCCCCAAAGGCCATGAAACGAGCTGAAAGGCCAAGAGTTTATCTCAGCTCTACAAGATGTGTGCCATACACCCTACTCCCCTTTAATAGTTTAATATATCCCGAATTACTCACCAAGCTGTTGAAAGTTTAAATGTTTATCAAGCTCTTTGATATTTGTAACAAGAACACCCATCACAACATCAGAATGTCCATTAATATATTTAGTTATGGAGTGCAATACAGCATCTGCTCCGAGTAGGAGTGGCTTTTGGAAGAAGGGGGACATAAACTGGAAATTTGCGTATTTTAGTTAAAAATGGATGTGGATTGGGGATTAGGCCCCCAAAAAATTTTTAAAAATTTCCAATAAGGGTTGTCATCAAAAATGGTTACCGTATTATCAACAACAACAAGAATGTTCGGATTATATTCTTTCACAATTTGAACAACCAAGCGAATATCAACAACTTTTAATAAGGGATTGGAAGGAGATTCAAACCAAACCATCTAAAAAATTAAAGAAAAATTTTTAAAAATTCAGAAAAAAATTTTGAAAAATTTTAAAAAAATTTTCAAAAATTTCAAAAAAAATTTCAAAAAAAAATTTTTTTCAAAAAATAATAAAAATTCAAAAAAAAAATTTCAAAAAAATTTTCAAAAAAACTCAAGAATTTCAAAAAATTTTAAAAAATTTTAGAAAAATTTTTTAAAATATTTCAAAAAATTTTTCAAAAAAATTCAAAAAAAATCTTTCAGAAAAATTTATAAAAATTTTTCTCACTCTAGTATTCGATTTCAAAGCCTTTCTCAACTCTTCCGGTTTTGTTAAATCAACAAAGCTCAATTCCACCCCATGTTTTGCCTGACTAACAGTGCGAAAGAGTCGTTGCGTCCCCCCGTAACCGTCGTCTGAGAGAATTATGTGTTCTCCTGTATTAATCCAATTTGCCATAGCAGATGTGGCACTCAGTCCGCTAGCAAATACACGAGCTGGAAATTTTTTAAAATTATTTTTGAGACGTTTCTATGCTTCTCTCTCTCATTTCTTACTGTAAGAGAGTAAAAAACAACCCTAGAATAATTGCCACTTACCGAATTTCCCCTCTTCCAAAGCTGCTATAGTTTCTTCAAGAACATCTCTGGTAGGGTTGCCAGCTCGAGAGTAGTCATGTCCAATCGGCTCTCCAGGATTAGGCTGTCTGTAGGTTGTCGAAAGGGAAATTGGGGGGACAACCTGAAAACAATTTAAAGAACATGATGAGAAAACTAAAATTTCTGGGTAACCAGAACTCGGATAAACCCTTAATAATGACTAGAAAAATTCGAAAAATGTACTTGATGCATGTCCCAACGTTGTGGAACAATACCAGCATGAATCGCTGTTGTAGAAAAACCTTTTCGTTTTTTAGCATTTTCTATATGATTTCCATTAGTAAAAGCATTTTCAATTGAATTTTCAAATTTATTTTCAATTTTATCTTCAATTTTGTTATTTTCAATTTTATTATTTTCCACAATTTCTTCAAACTCTTCCAACTTTGTTTGAAGCAAGTCTGATGCTCCGTTAGAATTAATTTTGGAATTTTCTGATGTAATATGAAGATGTTTTAATTCTAGGGTAGGGGAAGAGGAAGAGGGGTCGACTATTTTGGTGTTGGTTTCAATAAGCATTTTTTAATAAATAAATATATAATTTATTTTATTAATTTTATAATATTAATGCACTTAAAAAAGCAAATTACTAAACGTGTAGCATTCCGGAAAAGTTTTCCGGAAAAATAGAAATATTAAAATAGAATATTAAAATAAAATATATAAGTAAAATACGAGAGTAATACTAAATAAAATACAAACTTTCCGGAAAAGTTTTCCGGAAAAACACAATATTAAGGTAAAACACAATAAAAATACAAAAGTAATACTAAAATACAAACTTTCCGGAAAAGTCTTCCGGGAATATATAAATATATTTTTATAGCTAAAATAGACTTGTAGCATTCCGGAAAAGGTTTTCCTAAAAACTGTATATTATATATTAAAATAAAAGTTTCCGGAAATAGAATGGTTTCCGGAAGGTCTAAAATAAAAAAGGCTTATTTTCTATTTTTCGGATTATATTATATTATCCATAAAATATAAAAAAGGTGATATAAAAATTATCTTTAAAGTGAAATTATGATTTTTAATTTTTATTTCTTAAAATTTAATAAAACTAATAAAAATAATTAAAAAAGAGTGAAATAAAATATAAAGGTAATTAAATAATTAATTAAGACACTTATTTCAACGAAATAATTTTTTAATTTAAAATTTAATTCCAATTTTATTTTTTTCTATTTTTTGCTTTTTAATAGCGAATGAAAATAAATTAAATAAAAAAATTTTATTTTTCAATTACCTTACAAAATTTCGTCACAGAAAGAGGTAAACAAATAAATAAGCACTATGATTAGCGACCGGTTTTTTTTATTTTAACGGCTTTAGGGATTTTTGTTAGTTTCAGCTATTTTATTTTATTTTAGTTAGTCTTTGTTCTCTTTATTTTTCTGTTTGTTTTTCGTTTTATTTTATTTTTATATTTGTTTAAGGGAAAAATAAAGAGGAATAAGTGGTCGGTAATGCTTGGGCGCGCGCTAATAAATTAACTGAAGATGAGAACTTTTAGCCTTGAAATTTTGTAAGGATATATTTCATAGTGTCAACTATGTTCTCTAAAAATTTTGAAATTTTTGGTTAACTATTCCTCGTGTTATAATCAAAAGAATGTCTAAAATCGTCATTTTTCCTTGAAAAAGCGGACATTTTTGATCATAACTTGAGAGATTTACGACGAAAAATTCTGAAATTTTTAGAGTATAAAGTTAAGAGTATGAAAGATATTTGTGCAAAATTTCAGAGCTCTAAGTTATAAAATGAATATTTTATAGGCACGCGTCCAAACACAAGTCGAAAGATAACGCGCCCAGAAGAACCAGTCTCGAGGGAGGTAAAATAAAATAAAAATGAGGAAATAAAATAAAAAGGAACTGACAGCCCCAACTATTCTCTTCCATTTTCTATTAATCTCAATTTAATACTATTTTTCTAGTGTGTAAATAAATCTGCTATTTTAAGTGTTTACTAAAAAGATGAAATGGGGAGGATGCTAAAAATATTAAAATAAAAAAATTAAAAATAATTTTCTTGAAGAAATTGAAGAAAATAAAATGGGAAATAAAATAAGAAAAATAATCTTAAAAAATTTTTTGTAGAAAAATAACTAATAAATTTAATTTTTATTTAGGGGCAAGTGTTCTATATTAACGATCTCGTGATTTTCTCCTTGAAATTTTTTTCTTTTAATTTTTTTTCCTTTTAAGGGAGTACAGCGAAAAAATAAAAAAAATAAACCTGTTTTGAATTTTAAATTTATTAAAAAATAATTTCATTTAAAATTAATTGAATTTGAATTACACGCGGCAATAATTTTTTAAATTATCACCGAGTGGAATAAAAAGCCACGTTTTGCTGTCTAAAACAACTGTCAGTATTAAGAGAAATATAAAATTATTTATATACCTAAATAAAATTGTAGTTTGGAAATAAAAAAGAAAAAATGAATTGGACACAGACAATATTTAATTTGTTGAGGATTTTAAAAATACTAGAAACACGCTAAATAACACTAAAAATAGCACATAAAAAGAAGAGTGTAATGTGTGCAGGCTTATATTTAAAATACAAAACTTGTAGCCTTCAGGAAAGTTTTCCGGAAATTTCAATTTCTAGTAGGTAGGCTTATTTCTAGTAGGTAATACTACAATCAAATTGACTTTATAGTTTCCGGAAGGTTGTAAAATAAAATAGAATAGAAAGTTTTCCGGAAAGTTTTAATATTTCCGGAAATAATATAGGTATAAATAATTTATATTTATTATACTTTCCGGTTGAGCAATTTTCCGGAAGAATATTAAATAATAAAATTTAATTACTTCTATAGTTTCCGGAAAGTTTAGAACTCTAGGAAATGATATAGTTATAAATAATTTATACATATTTATTATACTTTCCGGTTAAACAATTTTCAGGTTGAGTAATTAGATATCGTAAATGCTCTAATATAAACCCTGGGCTTATATTCTTCAATGGTGGAATTTGAGTGGGCTTCTATTAGAGCCGGGCTTCTATTAAAGACTGGGCTTATATTTTTCGATAGGCCTCCTTGGGTTGAATTGTGAATTGATAGGCCTCCTTGGGTGTGTGTCGAGCTTTAATTAGAGCAATTACGGTAATTAATATTTAATTAACTCTCTAGTTTCCGGAAAGTTTAGAACTCTAAATTTTTTCCGGAAAGATTTAAAGTTCATTTTAATTACTCACCAAGAAAATTTTTTCCTGAAAAAATTAACTAAGATTTTTACTTAATAAAAAAATATAAAATGAAAAATAAGCACGTTTTATTAAAATGAAGTAGAATAACAAAAATAATTTTTATTTTAAAAGGATAGTGGATGATGCAATATTATTATTTTATTACATTAGCTTATAGTGCAAAAAGCGCTTGAATTGCATCATCACCTATTTTATTATTTGGAAAGACGTGGGAGAAATGATGAAATTGATTTGTTAATTTCACAGACAATATTTTAATGATAAATAGTAAATAAAAATTTTACCTGATTGTATTTTAATTTTTATTAAAATATTTTTTAATTTTGTTTGTTTCTAAATTTTAAGTATTTTTATTGTATTAAAAATTATAATAATCGAAATTAAAATTATACTATAATATTTTCCGGATGTGTTTATATTTCATTTTCCGGATAATCTTTTTATATTTCATTTCCGGAAATATATTTATTTCGTGAAAATATACTTTTCCGGAAACTATAATAAATAGAAACCTTTCCGGAAAATAAATTATGTATTTATTTTACTTTCCGGATTTGATATCTTTCCGGAGTAACATATAAATATATATGTCCTGAAAATATTTTTTCCGGAAATCTGAAAATATACTTTTCCGGAAACTATAATAAATATAAACTTTTCCGGAAAAATAATTATGTATTTATTATATTTTTTTCCGGATTTTAGAACTTTCCGGAATAATATGTGTACTATTTCCCGATATTATATTTCAGAAAATTTATTCCTCCATGATTTATATTATGCATTATATATAGGTATATCCGTATATTTTCCGGAATTTTAATTCATTATTTTATTTAATAAAATTTCTATTTATTATAGTTTGTGCTATTTCATTAAATTTTAATAATTTGTGTTTTCAACGATATTAAATTAAAAATTTTAGATAGACTACTAAAATCGTTGACAGCCTCTACTTTTATTTTTATTAAATATTTTCTAGTGTAGTCTAAAAAATAAAAAAATAAAAAAGAAATTTTAATATAAATACCCCTTAAAATTCCCAAGAAGAAATTTCCTTGAATTATTATTTTATCATAAAATTTATTTTTCTGTAGTAATAAAATTAAGCACTTTTTATTGGAAATATAAATGGGGCCATTTAATTATTTTTTTAATAATTAAATAATAATTAAATTTATTTCTGCTTTAAAAACAAAAATTTATTTAAATAAAAATATTTTTTTAATATCATAAGAAATTTTGCATGATTTTAAAATTAAATTTCTATAAGGAAATTTAAAAAAATTTATGACAGCTATCACGTTTTAAAGTTTACGCGTGCTAAACTCTCACATGGTTTGTATATTTATTAAACGTGATTTTTAATTATTTTAATTAATTTTTGTTTTTGATGGGTGCTTAATTAGAAATAAAAATTAAATTTAGATGACGAGATTCTGCTATAGTTTCTCGGAATTTTCCGGAATTTTTTTTTTAGAGTTAATTAAACCTCCCCGGAATTGTATAAAGTTCTGGTTATATTAATTCCGGTAAACTATATCTACATATTTACATGAATTCCGGAAATTATTTCCGGAAAATTTAGTAAATCAGCTAGGCTATAGCTATTTCTCTCTTTCAGATAGTCCATAATAGTGTTATTCAAATGCGTTTTTTCGGTATCGGTATCGGTATTTTCGGTAAAATACCGATACCGAAAAAATACCGAATTTCTAAAAATTGTTCGGTACCGTATTCGGTATCGGTATTTCGGTAAAAATACGGCGGTATTACCGAAAAATACCGCCGTAATACGGTACCGTGAATAACACTAGTCCATAAGGTTAATCGGCGAACCAGTATTTTCTGTAGACCGTACTGATGAACCGTAGGAACAGCCGTAGGAATATGTGTGATTTTCCAGTTATTTTATAGTTTCAGGAAAGATCATTATTTTATTGTTATAAATAGTATTTTAATTAAAAATCCTTTGTATTTTCCTGAATTTTTTAAATTATAGTTCTAATTTTGTCTTAATAATATTTAATAATTACTCAATTTATACCTACCAATTAAATTTAAATAAATAATTAATTATTTTATTATAATTTTAAAAATATTTTTAAATTAATATTTTTGCTTTATTATGGCCTCACTCACTTCAAACCATATAGACAGGCAAATTTATCACTCCTTTTGGGACAAATTTTCCGATAGGGCTGATAATACATCCATGCTTTTAAATGCGGATGCTGATAAATTTGAAGCTCTTGACAGGCAAATAAATTAAAAAAAAAAATTTTTGAAATTTTAAATATT